TGCCATCACTTGACATAAAGCACACAGAGGTCGTCAGTTCACATATATGCAGTGCACAATAAGGTTTTATTTGTATATATAGGCGTATTTTAGAGCGTTTATTTTTTAATGTATAGATAGAATGTTTGAGTACATACAATAATTTATATTTTTTTACGGCGTGAATAGAGATAATAGAGTATATAACTATTATTCAGTAGAAAAGTATAAGATTGTGTATTTATATGTAAATAATACAAAATTTAAAAAAAAACGGGAAGAATCTCTTAGAAAATCTTAATTATTCCTATCTTAATAGATTAATTCAATTGACATCTAACAATGCTTGAAATAAATTAGTATTCATTGTCAGAATCACTGAAAGTGAATGCTATTTGATTACATGTGTATTGAGTACTAGCATTTTGCCCGTTATTTCATAAGCATGGAGTTCAAAAGTAGAAATATTAATGAAATAGACTACTTCTAAATGGCGTATTAAGATAAAACATACACTAGATTTTAAGTTAGACCTTCAGAAACACAACTGTGAAACTACATCCAATTCGGTGGAGTAGTTTTTCCGTGATGGTAGAACAAACATACATTAAACAAAATTTCGAAAAAATATTGTTTTGGTATCTATTGGTCTTATTACGATCCCTCATATTAATTTTTCTTAAATACATTCATTGTACAGACATCGTCTAGTTACAATTTTATTATATTAGTAAGATTTTATGCATACTTATACTTATATATTACATCAAAATAATAGTTTTGAATTTATATTAAGTAATATACCCGATTTGAGAAATTCTTAATCGAATTAGATACTTGCAATATTGAAAAATGACTCGTATTACTTGCATACTAAAGATTGGAGTCGTCTTAAATTGCGTTTGTTTGTATAGAGTCGGTAAACAATATATCTTCTTTATCAGTCGCTAGTATTTTAAGCAATATGTTATTAGAGGTACAATAATAATAATACGTTTCACTTCTAATGCTCTTATTAGAAAAATTCTAAATAAAATACTCGTAGACCATTTTATAAGCACAGTAATGCAATCAGATACGAGCACTAACGATTTCTTTGTCCAAGACTGGAGGTATAATTTGATTTATATTTCCATTTCCGACAGTTCATTTATTTAATGGAAACAAAAATTATGTTGTAGCAAATGTGGCACGTTAATGGAAGGCGGTGTATAGTATGGTGCCGCCCTCTGGCTCTTAAGACCCATATCAGATGAAAGCACGCGCTTTTTGAATCAACCACCTAAGCGCTGCATTTGATATACATACCGAGATATAATTATAATACTTATATGAAGAAAAGAATTGTAATAACTATCGTAAGTCATATTATATCAAAATATTGTTATGGGATTTATTCACTTAGAAATTTGTCAGGTATCCCCAAAGTTTATACGTAAGGGAAGCCGATATAAGTAATAAATAAATATGAATATAAACTAAATTAAAAGTAACTTCAACCTTGTTTAATTTTAGTAATTTAACTAGTTTAAAACATTGTGGTTTTACTTCACAGATTTGCAAAATACTAATTTCATGATAATGGGTCGACCATTATTATATTTCAGCTGATTTAGGTATCCTGTAAATATAATTAATACACAATTAATTTAATTTACATTGACGCTTTTTTATACTTTGGGTTTACTGGAAGAAAATTTTTACAGAGTTAAGCTCGCCTTAAGTAGGGACATTATTTTTCTTCTATTATATACCTAATCGTTTGTGTTACTAGCATTTAAAAAATACGACATGTAGTGTAACTCTAATTAGGAGAAAAGAAGATTGTTAATAATATTGCTAATAATATTCTTTCTAAAAACAATCGGAAACAATTTTTATGAAATTTGTTACGATGTGCCAATGGACCTACATTCGTTCTCATCTCTCATTGGTGGCTCCCTAGCGTATACCGATAGCGCAGGTGAGCTAACCGTTCAATTTCATTTTCAACCATTAGAAAAAACTAACTATAGATAGTTTCTGCTGTTGAAGGTATAAGTTTTATTCTCACTAACACAAGTATTATAAATGAAAAAAGCGAGTCTGTTTGTTTGTTATCTTTTAGTGATTTAATAACTAAACCGCTAAATTTAGTTATTAAATCACTACAATCTATTAAATTTTGTATATACGTACTATAGATACTCTATGTATTGTTATTATTGATTTTTTCTAGGCAGAAAAATCTGTGACGCTGCGACTTTTCCAAAATATTTTGTGCTCGCCCTTTTATTAACATTGGCTTCTATGGATATATGTATGTATGGAGTATGTAGGTATAGGTTGCTCCTTATCTCGATCAGTGACAAATAGAAGATGTGGGTAAAAGCTAGTAATTAATAAAACATCGTAAATACTTCATTAATTATTAAAGCCCTTGTTTGTGTTTACGGCATCGTAGCTCCTAAATAAAATCGATTTCAGTTCGGTTTTTAAGTTAGGATTTTAATCTTGTTAGTTTCTTGTCTTGTTGAATGTCTATTTAATTTATCGCAAATTTTTTTATTGTATTTATTTAATATTTCAGCAGACATTTTCAATTTAAATTCAATGAATTTTAGAACTACAGCATAACAAGTACCAAAACAAATGATTCTTTTTTTTGTAATACATTTCTCAAAACAAAGTAGTAAAGTTTCAACGGTGCATGTTCATTATTAGAAAACTTTTTGGACAAATCACTAGACGAACCCTTGTGGCGGACCTTCCTCGTAAATCTTAACCCTTGATGAAGTCTGTAAACACATCTGTGATGTTTACTTTTGTGGGATTTCATATAATATATTATGATGTATGTATACTGAAAATAAATATTATAACACTGTCTGTATTGGAATTTCAACTTTATGTCTTATGTGTACAGTTATTTTTTATTAAATCGCATTGCTTTTGTGCCTTTACAAATACAGCTTTTTTATTAAATTGAATTGCTTGCCCATGCTTCTGTTTGAAGAGGAGTATGACAGTGAAATAGAGTACGGAAGCGTAACATCTTAGTCCTTAGACGAATAAGTGGCAAACTATAGGCATCACAGTGTATTCATTCTGTAAATGTATTGGTCCTATTTATCTGTGTCTATAGGCAACGAAAACCACTTTTTATGAGGTGAGCCGGTCGTTATTTGTCATTCCGAGTTGCATAAAAATTTAGAACTAAGATTTAATATTTAAATTAACATAATAAATATTGCTTTACTATTGAGAATTTTAGGATATAGTAGTTGTATAGAAAATTTTTTTCTATCACAAACAAAAAATATATACTAATGAACGACGTAAGTTTCTCTACCCAAAGGTTGTCTGGAAGAGATTGCTTAGCGATAAGACCGCCTTTTGTATCATTTCTTATTACAGTTAAATGTGTTTACTATTCTATAAATGGTGCAATAAAGTGTACATAAATAAATAAATAAATAGACGGTAAGTTTCATGGACACATAAAAATGAAAATATTTGCTTTTTTACGCAGAATTTATTCAACCTTTCATTACTATTATAATTTAAATTATATATATATTTATATATAATATGTTATTATCATTGTATACAATGTGCACAATGAACATCTGCCATTGAATATTATTACACAGAATCATGTGTTTGTAGATTTTGCTCCGTAAAAAAAATCGACTTCAACTGTGGCAAAATCAGTTATTTCTATTTAAAAACTAAACTGAAGGTATTTCATTTCGGATAAAAAAATAATTATCCAAATCGATTTATAACTAATGACGTAACAAACATAAAAACAAATACAAACAAATTGAGAACCTCCTCTTTTTTTTTATTCGAAAATAAAGAAGGCTTTGAGAACTTCTTATTTCTAGAATTTGTTTAATCACTAGCAAACTGCTATGTTAACTTCTTAAACTTAATCAATCTATAGATGTTTTATTTTATAATTAATGTCTCGATTTAGATTCTCGCTAGTGCAACTGACTTTAAGAAACTTCAGGAAACTGTGGATGTAAGTTATTGCGTACCATTATTTAAGAAAACAGTATTGCCAACATTTTCATATACATTAATAGATAATAATTAATTACTTGATTGACATTGTGGTGTCCTTTAATTGTTATTGGTGCAAATAAAAAAAAAATTAAGAACGTGTCGAATATACTGAGAAGTAGTATAAGTATGTCGTGATGTTAGTTTGAATTTAATCTATTTAGATTATAAAAAAATAAATAGAAAACTATAATTTTACACAGTGTACAATTATATTATTTAAGTAAGTGCGTAGTTATAGTAAAGTATGAAAGACATTACTTCTAATGGCCGGGGGGGAAAGAGATTATCAGCAATGGAGTTTGACAGCCCCATTGCTAACAATATGCCCTATTAGGTCGATCTCCACGCGGTTTCCCCTGGAAACTATCATGTCTAATTTATCGTTTTCGTCACGATGGGCTGACTGACCTGTCTTCTCATCCTCACCTATTATCCTTCATTGGTGCCCCGCCAGCGTATACTGATAACGCAGGCGGGGTTATCATACCATTTTTACCTATTAAAAAAACCCCTAATGGCATTCTCTACCAGTCAACAATAAGGCAAGCAGAATATTAAGAAAAGGGAGAAAAAAAGAGATTTAAAAATTAAGTAATATTTATATTTAATAGATATTTAATAATTAATTAATCAGTTTCATTACTTTTTTCACTGGAGGATTTTTTATTTTATTATGTTCTGATATAAATACTCGTATCTGATGTAAATCAAATCTTACTGCAACAACATTAATAAATTATCGGGTAAGAATTAGCGAAGATGTCGTGTAATTTAATTATAAAGAATTTTTACTATTGATCTCAAAACTATAAAAACAACACTTTTATTATGTACATAAGTTCTCGTTTATGTACATACATTATATTATTTAAAAAAATATTATTTTCCTACAACATCTTTATTAGTACAACTGCACGTTTATAACAATACAATGGCTATATAAGAGGTAGGTAATTAGTATTTTTAATACTTACATTGTCAGGTGTTTTTTGAGTTGGTAGTAATGCTGAAAATAATTTTTCTTATTGCCATTACGGTGAATGTGTTGATTTTGGTGTCTTCGACATGTAAGTACTTAATAGAGTAATAAGTTGCTTTACGCAACTTATTATTTGTGTAGGTTTATTAAATGTAAATTTTTATTAAACATATTTTAAAACTTTGTTTTATTTTTTTCTAAAAAAAAAAAAAAACTATAGTGATTATACATATTATTAGTTTATTTTTAGAAATATATTAGCTTGTTGCAATTTGTCTAAGGAGGCCTGATGGCTATACAATAATACAGGTTATTTAATTCAGTTATCGATTTTCACAAAACTATACAGTATATTAAGTAAATAAAAAGAGAAAACAAAACTTCAACTGTAATAAATTTGCAACGAATGTGAAACTTTTATACGATATTATTTGTATACGACAAACGATGCCTTTAATGTTTACAATGACAAATGCTAAGAATCATTAGTATTGTAACAAGGTCTGTTTTAAATTTTTCCTGGATCATAATTTTTGAATCGTGTATATCAATTACATGTATTAATGACAGGAATGTATTAAAAATAGAGCTTGAGGTTTTCAGTACCGTCTATTTCTTATTTTGATACATTTTAACTTTGAAAATGACACGTATGTACTTGTACGTAGACTGTCTAGATATTAGTTACATTATTCTTAGAGTTGAGTCTTATGGGTAAGGCACCTATTACAATGTAGTAACACTTATTGTGTATATGAGATAAAATTGTGACATAGATTATTTAGATATTATACAAAGAAATGTCCAGATTTATATTGTTAGTCAAGATGTGAAACGAAATACAATAGTTGTCTAAGCAATTCCATTTATAGATCAAAGAGATGGTTGGTTGGACTTTGATTTTCTGCGCATCTTTCGTTTTCTTTCTTTATAGAAATGCCTCGCGATTGACTACTGTCTCACCTGTTAGGAAGTGACCATAAGGTCGAAGATGGATCTCGCTGTATTTTATTACAAAAAAATGTGGTTTATTATAGATATCTTTTATTGTTCTGATGTTAATGGTCGAGGTTGCCTGCTCGGAGTTTTTGATACCTTATTCTATCTTATTATATTTTTTTGGTATTTTTTTTTTTAGACACATGCGGTGAAAATGAGGAATATGAGGATTGTCCTGATACTGTTTGTAGAGCAAAGAGATGCTCTGATTTAGGTTTTCCGTTATCTTGTCCTGATGTATTACCAGATGGTTGTTGTCCAGGACAATCTGGATGTATATGTAAATTTGGTTACGTTAGAAACTGTGATGGCGTTTGCATACCCTCAAAAAATTGTCGTAAGTTGTAATAAGTTAATATTATTTCTTATACATAGTTACTAAGTTGGTAAATTTTTTATACGTAACTGATATTACATATTTATGTTTTTTGTCAATAGATTTTTTTAAGACATATACATTCGAATATTTTGATTTTTATAAATAAAATCTTTTGTTTCACTATTTATTTAATTAATATTTAAGTTAGTTTTATTTATCTTAAAATGTTGTTTATTGTAAGTAATTATAAGTTTTTTACATTACCTTAAATCGATCAACTTAATCATTTTAGTAGAATTATTTTAAGTTAACAAATATTTTTCGATTAAAAATAAATATTGCTATATGAATATAAATGAAGAACAGTTTCGTAATAATACATTAAGTGTGTAATAAATAAGTAGATTTATAATATTTCAATAAAAACAATTACAGCGTCGTGTGGCGGTGACGAAAATGCAGTTTCAGGATGTGGAATAAATTGCAATAAACATTGCTCCGATATAGGCGATGAACCTAAAGCATGCATCCAGCTGTGTTATCCAAATGGATGTGATTGTAAAAAGGGTTATTATTTGGATGATAACACTGGAAAATGTGTTCTTCCTAGTCAGTGCAGTAAGTAAAAAAATACTTTAGATGAAAGTAATGTATGCTACCTACACATGGGAATTATTATAAAATTTAATTCATTATCACTTTGTGATTTTTTTTCACGTTGATATCAAGTGTGATAAATGATAAATGTGATTTTCGCTTGCAATGACTTAATGTCGTACTCGCTATTTTTTGCTAAGTGGATTATGAATTATAATTTTTTGAGAGTTAAGGCAATGTGATAAAGTCTATGTTTACACTTGTTGTTGACAGAAAGTACCAATCAGGTCGGAGACGCAATTCGTGGATCTATAAATAATTAATTAATTAAAATATATTAACATATAAATTAACAAAATTAAAAACGTCAAATACTCAATAACAATAACTATGCATATCAACTACTTTAACTGTATCAATTACATCGTTTTTTTTTATACTTAGAATGGCAAAAAAGCTGACGGCCTACCTGATGGAAAATTGTAACCGTCGTCTATAGACTAAATGTTACAACTATATACAATGATATCAACTATTTCAATTACAACAATTATAAAATACCGGTTACATCCACAACATCAGTTACTTTATTTATCTGTTATATTGGTGTTATCTTTGTATAATATGTATTATATATATTTACAAAAAAATATATGTTTATCCGTTGTCTAGTACCTATAATAATAATCTCTACTTACGTATTAATTTATTTAACTACTATTATTCTAAATTTTTAAATAAACATCAACAACACTTTACAATATTGTTGGTATTGTTCGGGATTTTGATTTATACTCATATATAGATTTTGGTGCAACATTGTTAAATGTGGGTAGCATCATATTGTAAGTAAATAATATGATGCTACCCATATTTAACAATGTTGCACCAAAAGTAAATTGAACATTGCAAATGAGTGTATTTATGTTTTAGATTGTACCGTCTTATGTTAAGTCAAAGGAAGTTTTTAACTAACCACTGAGATACAGGCTCAGCCTAGTTCGGTGGCTAGTAGATGTAACTTGGTGTGAATTGTTATTAAATATAGAATTATTATTATTATTATTATTATAGATTTTTTTGTCGCTTCATTAAAGGTGTAGTATAGAAAAAGATAAAATTTTAATGAAATTATATAGGGTTTCAACCATCACGGTACGAATACAACTTCTAATGCCACTTTCAATTTAATGCATTTGAACTTTATACATTATAAAATAATTACTGTAATAATTATTTTCCATTATCGGTTTTTAATTATTACTTTTCTTTATTTATATTTCATAATAGAAAAATTATTAACTTAATTGGTTTTTTATTTTCATACAATCCATTCTAAATATTTAGTACAGCTAAAAGATCGTAGATATAAAAAAAAAAACAGTAACTTTGCCTCAAATATGTCGTTGGCAATATTATCTCATTTTAACACTTGATATTTGCTGTGTGTTGTGTAAATTTAATTTATAAGATAGGATATTTCACGGATGGTAACGCTAAAATTGAATTGATTAGATTGAGGGCAGTGAACTAGGAATTTAGAATCTTTGAGTGCCATAGCTGTTTTAGAAACTATTCAAGTTACAATGTCATTTCATACTTAAATTTTTAATGTTATATATTAATATGTACAGTATTTATAGTGATTAATTAATCAACAAATTATCAATTAAATTAATTACTAACAACTAATTAGTGATTATTGCATTTAGTATCAAATAACTTTACATGAGATAATGTTTTCCATTAAAATATTAACAAAGTCGATTTTCTACGGTAGTTGTCTATCTCTTTTCTTTTCTTTTACTAGAATTTATACGGGATTTACGTAATTAGAAATACACTTTGTAATAGCACAGACAAATGTATTACTTTATCTATGGTAATAAAAAAACAAAACAAATAAACAATTGCTATAATATTTTCTTAGAAATTCGTCGCAGAGTTATTCATTTCATTTTAATATAAATGCTTGTAGCTAATACGCCATCAATTTAGTTAGATGCTACAGAGTTTTTATCATCATGTTTCGTATTCAACATATTAAAATTAATTGAAAGAAATGCAAATATTGTTGTTTGGCGAATTATGGATTTTATAAGTATATATTGTGCACAAATCGAAAACATAGCTTTTATTAAAGTCGATCTTGTTGTCATTATATATTATGTTGTGACTTATTGTTACTATATATGTGATAAATCATATCTAGAGATAGGAGTGAACTACAAGATTTATAATATTTGAAGTCCATGTTTTTTTTAGGTTCAGGACAATGTAACTCAGTAAATATTTCATCATCATCATCGAATTCAGCATCACAATCAGCATCACATTCCAAGACTGATACTAAATGTAAGTTATATTTTTTTAAACGTAGTGTATGTTGTACGAACATTCAGTAATTACAGTGGTACCTTGACATACGAGTTTAATTCGTTCTGTAACTTTGTTCCTATCTCAATGTAATTTTCTTCATTGAAATTAATTGAAATGCTATTAATCCGTACACACAAAAATCCATTTTAGTTTTTTTTAAGTGTTAGTCTAAGGTGGGAGAAATTGTTAGCCACCAACATCCACCCCGCATGTTGGGGTCGTGTGCAGCGGTGTTAGTGTGCGATTCCTCGTATCTCAAATCTTGCTCTCACCTCAAAGCAAAATATTGGTCACTCGGCGGCTCGTATCACAAAACACTTATATATCGAGGTACCACTTTATTTGTATTCTAATTTTCGAGTAAATAATTACATAAGTACATATAGTTTTAGTATGTATATATAAGTTAAAGACATTAAACAAATTGTTTTATCTATATGATGTACCTTTGTAAATCCTGACGAAAAATCAATTGAATTCAAGACAGAGAGAAAGGGGAAGGATTTTCACAACAAATTTTAGTGATCAATGGTTATCAATATATATACCCTGGCAATTCGACCTTTACGCGATCATCTTTTAGAAAATATCGTGGTTAAATCCAAATAAAATTGTGACAATAGATCAAGTAATTCTTTAGGAGACGGTTGCCGATTTCCATTAGATGGTACGTGAGTTTGTTTGCCATTCGAAGTTGCATAAAAATCTGACAACGCCATAAACTCCATTACTAACAATAGACCCTAATAGGGTTAATATTTTCCAAGATTTAACTAATTTGTGATTAGTTTTTGTTGAATTTGTTACGATGCGTCAACTGACCTACTTTTATTCTCACCTAACCCATCCAGGGAAAGGGATTGTTAGTATTGGGTATCTAACAGCTCCATTGCTATCAATACACCCTATCAGATCGACCTCTACGCGATTCCTCTGGAAACTATCCTGATTTATTTTTTATGAATTCTTCACTATGGGCCAACTGACCTGTTTCATCCTTATTTATCATCTTTCAATGGTGCCCCGCTAGTGTATACCAATAGCGCAGGTGAGGTTACTATTCCATTTTCACCCATTAAAAAGAACCTAACTCATCTTTCACTGGTACCCTATCAGTATGTATCAATAGCACAAGCTGTATTATTCCGTTTCCAATAAAAAAATAAAAAAACAACGTCAACGTAAATCACAGACGGGATTATCATTTCATTTAATTCGACTAGAATATAGATAGACTAATATAGTCCATTGTAATTTAAATGAATTAAAAAAATATTTTTTTTTTCTTATTTTATATTGTCTTATTTATATAAACCATTGTGATTCTTGAAACGCACTAAATGTCATTAGACAATTTTGGTACCCAATTCCAACGTTTATAACCCCTTTTTAATATAAATAAAAGTCACCTTTTCTAAAATCGGACTTGTATACACATTTTTCTTTTTATGTCTTCGTTTCACGTCGCCTGCTTCATTCCTTTACAAAAAGGTCCCACGGAAAAGTTTTTCAATAATAACTTCGAACAATTTATTCTATTGAAATAACAAAAACAGTTACGAAAATCTAAATAGCAAAGGTGAAAACAATGTTATATAATATAATATTATTATTTATTGTATATCTATGTATAAAACTATTTTTTTAATATATTCCTACAGTATTCGAAAGTATTATTACTACTAGTACGTGTACATATAAATACAAATAGTACAGTACCTTAATAAAGGAGAAATATTATTAACAATTTATTGTATTATTTGCCAATAATTCTTTGATTTTAGATATAAATTGACTTTGTTAAATCAATTAAATTAAATGTCACAGTATTATATGTAATTTCCGTTGTTTAGTTAATCTAGCCTCTAGGTTTTAAGTAATTGCTCTTAGAATAACGGAAACAATGTAACTTTAGAACTTTGAAAAGTCTGCCTTTTTATAATAATTAGTCTATTAATTAGCTCTTTTATAACAAACGACTTTTTCCGACGCGTGTCGTTTTTGTTACATTTTTGGACTCTGTTTTATTTATTTTGTATATTTACTTAGTATGCCAATTTTCACCTGCTTCATAATTTTCATGTCTACTGACATAACATCGATTTGGTTTATAAATGTGATATCAAATTTATGACATTCAGTATTTCAATAGGTGATTCAGTAAACAATATAATATTACATTATTTGTACAGCTGCACGTATATTTAAACAAGTGATAAAATTTATAATAATATTATTATTTATTTTAACTGCATTTTTTCTTATATTTTATGACTTTTGTATAAGATAAAGGGATAAATTTTAAATACATTTTACTAGTACCCGAATTTGGTTTTTGTCCACACAAATTATTAAAAATAAATTATATTGACCTTTATATGCAAGTTTACTCTGTCTGTCAATATTATGCCTGTGGATTCAATTGATTTGGAGTTTAAGAGCTAAGGAAAAAGAAAATTTCTATGGAAAGAAAAACATTATTATATATACCTATAACAGAAACACTAATATTCAAAAGTTGACTGGAAAGATCCATTTTATGGGATAAGTCCATCGTTGTACTAATTATATTTTTCTTAAGAACTATGTGTTCTATAATTTAAAACTTTGCTGTACAATAAAGTGTTACAAAGAAACAAAAGAACTATATAGAGATAGAAGAATTTACAATAATACAGTCTTTACAAATACCACAAGAATTAAGTTTGAATTATTACAGTTAAATGTTTTGGACAAAATGAAGTATACAATCCATGTTCTCCAATCTGTCCGCCACAAACATGTGAAGCCTTGGGCAGAGTTTACCATTGTCAAATTATTCCGACAAATAACAACGGAGAGTGCAAGCCGACTCGTAGATGTAAACTTGGTTATTATAGAAATTTAATCGAATGTATATTTGAAGAAGATTGCTGTGAATATTAATTTTCATTACAATTTTGGAGGAACTTTTACTTATGCTAATTAATACATATATGTTATTATGATTTGAGGATAATTTAAAAAGGTCAAGAAACGTTATATTTTGCAAAATTCACGTTTATGATAAACTTCTCGTAAGGTTCTTTGTAAATCTATCACGAAAATAAAGTTGCAAGACTCAATTCGAATGCATATTCCATATTGTTTTTTGTCGTTTCGTTTATGGTCACCTGTTTGTCCTGACAGGTCTTTAAACTAAATTTGGAGTACTTATACATACAGAAATTTCGTGATTAGTAAGTTATTAAAACACATTCGTACCAAAATTTGCTGAGTTTTAGCTTACTGAGTGTAGCAATGATAGAATTGTTTAACAATATTATAAAATGTATTGATTATTTTTCAATATTTCTGACTAATTACATAAAAAGCCATGAAACAAGCGAAATAAAATGTTCAATGTTGCCACATTTTGACACTTGGGTAGGTAATGATTTCTGTGAAATTTTGTACATGATTATGAAGATTATTAATAATATATTATTGGTAATGAATAATAAAGCAAAATTCCTTGTAATTTTTTCTTAAGTCCTCAGGAATGGCATCGCATAAAGGGTATCATAGGCGACATAGTATCCTTTGTTATGTCCATGGTATTATAATTATAATTTATTTAAAAATGAATAATTTATAAATAACATTTTTAGATTTAAGTGTTAACCCACTTTGCATAAGATAAGCCCATAAGATAAGTCGCCATCTCGTATTCCGTTCTAAGTAGTATATAAAATACTGTATACGGAAAAAATAATCAGAATTTTCGATTTAATTAAACTACTAATTAGTACCACTGTACTGCACTCGTTATACGTAGTATAAAATTAACGCAATATCTAAAATATTGAATACTGTTGAATTGTATTAATTTTTTTTCTATCAAGATATTTTTATTATTTTATAGTTATAGTAAATTAGTGATAATACCCTACATAATGTTGGTTAACTGTCCATAACACTTGAATACCATGGACAAAATTTTACTAAAAAAAACATTCTAATTCTGAATTTATTTCTATTAGGTACGATTAAACCTAAAAATGAAGAATATATGTAATAAAAATAAAACGAAATGTAAGTTCAAGGGAATGAATCAGTTTAATCGGTTTTAATAGCAATTCGCAACATATTGATGTAAAATTTTTTTTTTGTCTAACATAGTTTTACTAGTCTTAGTTAGGAATCATTGGTGGTCTATTATATTATTATTATTTATATATCCTAAGTCATCAGTTATCAAGTTTTGTTTTTAATAATGCTACTTTTGTTAATTAGTAGTTTTTTGCTCGTCACTTACGTACTTACGCGTTGTTTTTAGAAATTATTCCTCATATTATAAGTAGTAATTGAGATTTTAGTAAAATGCACTGGACCAAATGAATACTTCCCATGTGGCAGTGCATGTGACAATGTTTGTGCTATTATAAAGACGCAGACGAGTTTGGTATTGCGTACCGAGATTATACAAATGAATAAATATCAAGATTAACATTTTATTTGAAGTTTTATTATTTTATAATCGATGCGTACATGTACGAGTTAGCTGCTTAGACGTTTCACATCTTGACCTCTTTCGCCGAATAGCCAGTTCCTTGCTAGTACAATTGGTGTTAACAATCATTAATGTTTGCTTGCAACGAAAAATGTTCCTGTGAGGCGGATTACATCTATATACGAATCGATCAGTGTGAAGTTACATTTTTATTAAGTTTATGAAAGCTTCAGTTTTTAAACATGTCTTTTTTTATTTTATTTTTATTTTATAAATAAGTAAAATTTAAAGATCTTTTTCTTATAAGTATTATATAAAAAAAATAATTATGTGAATGATTTATTTTTAAACTGTTTAAAAAAGGCGAATCTCGCGTTTTTATTTAAGTGTGTACATATGTTATATGATATGTTTTTTAAATCTGAGTCGATTTTGATAATTCCTTTTGTAATTAATTACTGTTACATTCTCAATCGTGTCTTGCATTACTCGTAGTCTAAGCGTTTTGTTACGATTAAATTCAATGTTTCAATAATGGGTTTTCATCGACAGGTGATGATGAAGATGCTCTGCTACAAGGAAGTATCGATTTTACTGGAAATTTCTTATATGTTAGTATTTTTCCACAAACAAATTTATCTATTTATTTACCTAACCTTGTCTTTATATCGTGCTCTTTACTCACAGATTGTTGTTGGATTGCTTTGTGATAAGAATACCTTTTGTGTTCTAAAATTTACCTTAATTATTTACTGTATTCCTTATTGGTGCCATAAAGCGTAAAATAAATACGTTTTAATTTTTCTCTATTTTAAGTCTACTCATTAATATTCAAGATTCAAATATAGGAGTTTGAAGTCTTAGAAAAAATGTTTTAGTTTTCCTAGTGGTGTGCTACTAGAATAGGGTTAATAATAGTGGATCCCACTGACATAAGCGTCAAACTTATTTATTTACGGATTAGTATATATATATATATATATATATATATATATATATATATATATATATATACATATATACATATACATATACATATATATATATACATACGATTAGAAATTTCGATGTTATTTTTAAATGTACTTATTTTGTAGAGTACCCAATTTCTTTGTCTTTAGTATTAAATTTTTAGATACATAAACTTTTTATTTCAGGAAGTTATCAAAACATATCCATTAACTAGCGTAGTGATGTCACCGGTTTCCGTTTTGATTCCTTTAGCGGAGTTAGCTCTTTATACAAATCCTGGGGATTCGTACAATCAACTGATGAACACGCTCAATCTTACGACCAAAAATGAGGTAACTGATCAATTTAAAACAAATTCAATTAACAAAGATAATTCAATGAACTAGCGATCCGGCTCGGATTTGCACGGGCAGATAAAATGATCGAAAATAATATATACCTAATTTAAATTACTGATTAATAATGTAGCTTCCTATAGGTGAAATTTTTTTAAAACGGTTGAGTAATTTTTGAATTAAAAATTAATAGATAATAAATCTTTCCTCTTTGTAATATTAGCATGGATATTTTTTTACTATTAGAATGTTTTTCAATAATTACAGATTCGAAGTGTTTTCCCGGTGCTTATAAGTTCGCTGAAGTCACAAAAAGAAGCTATATTGGATTTGGCCGCGAAAATTTATGTGAACGAACAATATCAACTCACCGATAATTTTGAAAACGATTCACGTGATGTCTTCGAAGCTGAAGCGGAAAATATTGACTTTAGTAAACCTGAACAAGCCGCTGACACTATTAATGCCTGGGTGTGTATGATTTTTTTATGTAAATTTTTAGCTAATCTATAATTTTTTTATAATTATTATACAGTTTACTCCTGAATGCGAAAGGGGGCTTTTAACTATGCGGAAAAGCATACCTGAGAATACATAATCTTTACCAATGATTAACAAGAATTAAGCTAACGTGTGTATATAGATATATATTTTGCTCCTGGTGACAACATATATATGTATCGGTAAATATATATTTTTTTATATTTTCAGGTTGAAAAAGAAACAAGAGATCGTATAAAAAATCTGGTATCGCCCGATATATTCAGCGCTGATACGCGTTTAGTTTTGACCAATGTTATTTATTTCTTGGTAAGAGTATTAATTTTATATATTCATTTATATGTAGTATCATTTGAATTAAATATTCATATGAGTACAAATTGAAAATTATATTTGTTAATATTATTATAGTATAATTTGCAACATTTTTTTTTATTTACAGGGCAATTGGCAGAATCAATTTAATCCAAATGACACAAAAAATAATGATTTTCATGTCAATAATGACATAACTATACAAGTACCGATGATGTATAAAAAGGGTAATTTTAAATATGCGGAGAGTAAAGATCTCGATTCTAAAGTAATGTAATCTTTTATTATATTTACTCATACCTGCCTTTTAACATACGGACTGCACCGATTAAGCTAATCACCAACATTTTTTACTTGAGATCTTTATGTGGAGTTCATACTTCTATTTCTTTTTATCAGCTGTTTTTTTATGGATAAATAACTGCACGATCTGTTGCAGTAGCATTTTCTATCAAGCGGACAGTATAAATCATGAATGCCTGCATTGAAACAGAAACTCATTATTTTCTGTGGTGATGCAACACGAGAAGCATCATCATAAAAATATTCATTATAGAAAATGACACTTATTGTATATCTTACCTCGTACTTTATTATGTCTACAAAACTATAATATTATGCACCCGAATCCAATAATTTCAGTGGCAAAACTTATTCTTCTAACTGAAATATGGCCGTACAAGCATTGCACTATAGAATATATGTAAATGCGACAAAAGTAACTATGCCAAGGACTCGCAATAAAAGTTTTCCCCTCTGCTATTTTTGGTCACTTATGCACGTCAAATATTTTAATGTTTACCATTCAGTTAAGTTGCATATAACATTTCATATTTTTATAGATCCTGGAAATTCCATACAAAGGAGGAAACTTTTCGTATGTAGTTTTTCTACCAAACAATGTCGAAGGCTACAATGCAGTTGCAGAAAAACTTAGAGATCCCGATGTATTTAATACAGCTCTTGATCTGTTGAAGTACGAACCTTGTTTCCTTTATATACCAAAACATGAAATAACTACTAGTATCGATTTAGCCGATATTCTTAAAAAGGTAAGTTATATTTTAAAATGTAAAAATATGATATTACTCAACTATTTGTTTTATTTTATGATAATACGATATTCAATGTAATGTTGACATTTCAGCTAAAAGTAACAGATATTTTTGATATTAACAAATCGGACTTGAGTGGAATCCTGAAAAGCCAAGAGAAACTAGGCGTATCGGCTGCACTACAGAAGGCCAATATAAAAGTAGATGAAACAGGAACTGAAGCGGCAGCTGCAAATGGTATGTTTTATGAATTAATAAAAAAAAGTGAAAAATCAGTATTATTTTTAAAATTTTGAATTTCTTATATTAAATATACGTAAAAGTAAAAGTTATTATAGATATAAAAGTGTCTATTTGCCAGTAAGTACAATATTATAGCAATAAATAGTATAATGTATGTGTTGTTAAAATTTAGAAGAATAATAATTTGTATCCCAGGAAATTTCTTTGTTGGGAATAGAATAATTTTCATTTTGTAATTTAGACATTACTATTTATTTTAGTAAAATATTGATTATATCATTTATGCTGTGATAATAAATAATTTTTATATTGGAAAGCTACTTTCCAGTCATTATAGGATTTTATACTATATTTTTTGTATACTTATCAGATTTAATTAGTGGCAGCAGTAGTAATTATCTTTTATTAGGATTATGTTAATTAACAAGGATAATAATTAGTATGACTTTTTTTATTTAAAATACTACGTGTATACCAAATTTTATGACATTGTTTGAGTTGTTAAGATGCTAAAAGGATAAACAAAGAAATAAACTTACTTTCATATTTATGATGTTAATAAGTAGACTTGCAAACATCCGTATTAAAGGAAGTCGTGCTTGCAGTATCACTCACGTGGAGTCATAAAATACTCGTATAGATAATATTTAAAGATATTAAATAAATTCATTACATTTAATTGGATTTCAATCCATTCAAGGTTATGAATTTATAATTTTTCAGTTAAAATTACATAGATTGTTTACGCATTTACAGTATTTTTGATAATTTATCAGTTTGTAGTAATGAACTTAAAAATATGTAAGCATATTGAGAAATAGAAATATTCTGCAATAGTTTTACAGAATATTTTAACAATTATTAGAATTTATATAATTTATTTTCAGCAATTGTTGGGACTACCGCAGGAGTACCTTCTATCACATATACCTTCAAGGCAGATCACTCTTTTCTATTCTACCTTTTAATAAATAGGAATCCATTATTCTGTGGAGCATATGCTGGTGAAGGTTTAAAATAAATGAAACAAAAAACATTTGAGTCGAATCAAATGGAAAAAAAAATGTTTTACATAAAAGTGGAAAAAGAAAATTTATGTTGTTGTTAATGAAATTTTTATTACAATCTTTATATTCATACTTAATAAATATTCATATTTTGGAATGCTTGTTTTACTGTTTGCTTTATATCTGTAAAATTATTACAGAAAATAAAACATTAAATGCATACGTTTTAAATATTTCGGTAACCTATAATATACTAGGAGTTTGTTGATTTTGAGTCTCTGAATGTCTGAATTGCAAATACCATAATTTCTTAGGTTTTTTTTTTTCTATAAGCGATGGTGTTTTTTTAGCTGTTTGCATATCAAATGAGTTTGAATGAAATGAAAAACGTAATTATCTGGCTCTATTATATTTGTCATTCGCTATAATTAATATAATAGGAACAAAATTATTGAAACCTAAAAGGAATTAGTTTCAGTGAAGATTATTATAATATAAATAAAGTTACAGATATTTAATTTTAAGAGAAGTTATACCAATAGAAAAATTTTTGATTAGATTCTTACATATAAAAAAATACATCATTGAAATTAATAGCTCATAGAAGTGTTATGTAGTCATTTATTAAGAAATGTTTAAGAGAGAGAACAACAAAAGGTTATAGTGCGTTTAAGAAATTGCAGGCGGATTTTTTAAGAGATTGCAGTGTATGAGATAAAACAGAGAGTCTATTCTACAATTTACATGTTCAAAGAAGAAACAAACGTTTATACGTGTACATATGACCACTGTGACACGCACAATGAAAAATGGCCACTGTGCGCCGTGGCCATCACAGTGGCCATACTCAGGCGCTGTAATAATGATAGTATTTCTATTGTTGTTCTTGTTTGTCTTTCTTATATTAAATGAATTATTAAGTTAAACTTATTTTATTAGAAATAAGTCAATAATTATTTTGTATCAATGATTATGTTCCTCGAGGTGGAATTCATTGTTTGAAAAAGTTGGTTATTTGAAAATTTGTTCCGAAACACTTTTACGCAAATCAAAGTATGACTATCATTTCAAGGAGGTAGGAGATTTTATAAATATTTGGGCTTTTGCAAGGTAGGTGAATTTCAATTTTTGTTTTTAAATATTACCTAAAGATGGAAAGTAACTTAGCAACTACTAGACACCTGCAACGCCCAGTATATAACATACTTTTGTGACAATATGAAAATCTGGACTAAATCTAGATATTGCATCATTATATTCATGCCATATTATTTTAATCATATGTTTCAAAGTAGAACACAGAAAAAGGTGAGTGTATGATGTTTTTCTCTTTGGTATCTACAAAAGAGAAACACCGTAAAAGCACCAAAAGGTGACAAATGAAACCCACTTTCATATTTTTAATATAAGTACGGATACGAGTTGTATATACCTACCAAGGTATAAGTACTTTAGTGGCCCAACCAATCGTAATGCAATTATTATATAATATTTGGGATGCAGAAGGACATAGGCTACTTGTTATCCCGGTCAAGCGAATAGAAGATACGGGTAAGGACTATCCTACAATATTTTATTAGTGTTGTAACTGTTATAATTATACGTAGATTAGATTTAATAAGCAAATCATGGGCCAGTGGCTCGATACGAATATTATGACCAAATAAAATATGTGACAGTTTATTGGTAATAATTATAAAAATATATTTCTTTATAACAATAGTTCTTGCTTAGATATGTCTATTTCTTTGCTGTGACAAAAGGAACTCTCTCAAGCTTTATACTTGCTCCATACGTACAATCGACACACCTCGACTGTAATCTTTGTTTACGTGATTCTGTCGCTAATCTCCATATAATTTGTATTGAGACTATTCTAATAAAAAATATTTCAACTGCGATGTCTTATACACTATTTTTTATTTAAATAATATTGCTATATTAATCGATAGAGTTCAAAATAAATATACAAAGTGCAATTATTCGTAAAGCTAAGTAAGTTGAATCGCTCAAATAATCAGTCAAGCTAGGAAGATTAATTTTTTTTGTCGTATTTCGACTCATGTTTTTTTTGGTGAAAATAATATTATTATTACTTCGCAGTTAGGTGCTAAAAGATTAACACTAGGCTTCAAGTAGCTATCTAATAAATTGCCTGAAAATGCTTTGTTTAGTAATGAAACACGTATTGCAAAACGCGCATGAACAAAATGACAGTCGGAGATTGATGGCTAATATGGAAGATTTTGGAACTTCTGATAGTAATAGTGGCGGTCAGTCTTCGAGTGTTGGTAGTCACACACATACTAATGGTAGCGGAATTAAAATAATTGTAATCAAATAAAATATTCTGTTTCACTGGTAGAACACTCTCTTCGAAGTATGCTAACGTTTTCTGAACGTCTTGGTGAAAATGATCTCTCTCCGTAGAAGGAAGAACCATGTTGGTTTTTAAATAGGATGAAAATGGAATGCCAACCCGCCTGTGCTATCTGTAAACACTTGCTAGGTAATAAGCGAGGACAGTATTTTTTTAATGGGTGATAATGTAATGGTAGCTCTGCCTGCGCTAACGGTATACCATTACCACTGGCAAGGCACCAGTGAGTGATGATAGGTATCGATGAAAGCAAGTAACTAACCTGCTTTCAGCGTCACCTGTCGTAGGCCATCATGAGGGAATCCACTAGATTTAACTACGATGGTTTCCAGGGTGGAAGTCTACCTGATAGGGTGTATTGCTAGCAATAAGGCGGTTATACCCCACTACTAACAATCCTTTTCCCCCGAACGCGAGGATAGTATTAGGTCAGTTGGTCATCGTGACAAATTTATCTAGAATTATTCACGATGGTTTCTAGGGAGGATCACACGAATGTAGACGTGATGAGATCTATTGTCGACAACGGGGTTGTTAAACTTCATTACTATTTTTCCTTTCTCCCTGTCTTTACTAAAAATATAACGGATTTTTAATGAGTGAAAATTGAATGTTAAAGACGTCTCTGCTATCAGTATATACTGGCGGGGCATCAGTGAGAGATGATGTCACCCATCATTTCTCACTGATGCTCTGCCAGTGTATACCAGGATGAAAGCAGGTCAGTTGGATCATCATAACGAAATGAAGAAGAATTAACCACAATGGTTTCCAAGGGGGTAAGTGGTAACAATGGAACTCTTAGACTCCATCACTAACAATCCTTTTTTCCTCTCCTATGATGGTTTTTTTATTTGTTTTTTAATGGGTGAAGATGGAATAGTAATCCTACCTGCGTTATCGGTAAACGCTGGCAGGGCACCAGTGAAGGGCAGATGAGTATGAAAGCAGGTCAGTTGGATCATAGTGACCAACTGAACAAGAAATAACCACTACGGTTTCCAGGGAGAACCGCGTGGAGGTCAACTTGATGGTGTATTGCTAGCAATGAGACTATTAAATCCCATTACTAACAATCCCTTTCCCCCCTGCCATGATGGTTAGGTCAGTTTTCGGTAATTGTTTCTAAATAATTGATTTTCAAGAGTCATTATTTTTCATTTCCTTGGTGTGGTGAATAATCAAAACAAATATAATGTTTACTCTACTCAATATTTACTCTACTACAGCAACCAAAACAGTTAGTATTTACTGCAGTGTTTATCGGAATAATGAAATGTTAATAGTCAAGCACCAAAATGAAATCGTGTTTTAGATAGGATGTTAAAATAATTGGTTTTTACCTGCGACTTTAGCTGCGTGAGTCGGGTGTATTAACTGGACGGGATAAACAGAAGCCTATGTCTTTCCAAAAACAATATGTACTATACTATGATAATTAGACAACCAAGTGTTAACAAATAAATAAACAAACAAATTGACTTTCACATATATAATATTAAATTAGTAGAAATAAGGTCAGGGAGGATATATTATTTTAGTCTAAAAAAATATATCAATGTTACAAAAGGCTATGTTGAGGAGCATCGTGGATTTCGAAGTATATTGGTGTATTAAATAAGTAATTATTTCTAACTTCCATATATTTAGTAAATAAATTTACAATGCAAATATAAAAAGAAAAAACAACGTCAGGGAAAGATAAATATAAAAAACAAAACAAAAGGCTTCATTTTCCAATTTCTTAACAATATAAGTGCAATAATGTATGTATGCAAGTAGTAGAAGTTGAATCACCTTCAGATTAATACTTTTGTAAATAACAATGGCTAATTTATTCATATTGTTGACATTAATTGAATAATTACTTAGTTGACATTGTGGTACATACCCACTGATATTGACGTATCTAAAAAACAACTCGAGAAATTGTTCATTGTATATACAAGTTTTTCATTTAATTACTGAATTTTTATTATTTCAATATTATCTTTATTGAAACAAGTGCACGAACATATCAACATGTTTAGTATATAAGAGGTACGTATCCTTGGTAATACTTACATTGGAAGGTATTTTTTAGTCGGTGGTAATGTTCAAAATGTTTTTCCTTATTGCTATTGCGGCTAATGTGTTTCTTTTAGTGTCTACTACAGGTAAAATAAATAAAATATTAAACGTTATAAAAGAACAATACATATATAGACGGAAATTACACATTTAAGTGTTAGATTTTATTATTATTATTATTAATTGGTAGGCAAAACTTGATAGTCTGGTGATAACACTAGGAATTGTCTTTTATTTTTTATAATCCTTGTATACAAATAGATGTAGTATTTTTATTTGTAAGACAATATTTAAATAATTTATATATCATACTAATCTGAAGTACTTTAATCGATGATAAAAATGACAAAGTTCTCAAGTCAATGCATATATTTCTTGCAGTGTTATTTTACACAAGTCCTTTATGTTACGTTAACCATAACTGTTTCTGGTTTTGTAAACGGCAGCGAATTTAGAAAGATGGAGTTTCTAAATGTAACTGTATTTTGTGTGTCTATTATTAGAGATAATTGACCATGTGAAATATTTTCTTCTAATAAATCTCTTTATAAACTATAGATAGTCTTTAAAATTTTTATTTTATGTTAATTTTGTCATGATTAATTTTTTTTTATTAAAACCTTAATTTATATTTTAATTGATATCTGTTTAGTATATTTATTGATTGTTTAAGAAACATGTGGAGAAAATGAAGTATACGTCGATTGTCCTGATACTGTCTGTGAACCACAGAAATGCTCGGAACTAGGTTTCCCAGTACCTTGCCTTGCAATACCTGTGAATGGTACTTGTCCAGGCGATCCCGGCTGCATATGTGAAACTGGTTATGTACGAAACGAATGCGGTATCTGTATACCTTCTAAAGATTGTCGTAAGTTGATAATATTATAATTTAATTAATAAGATCTCGAGCTTTACATTGCATTATGCAATACGAAATAAGTGTAATAAAAATTTCAAAAATTTTAAAGTATTTTTTACATAACTAGTTCTTAGTTGTGTACAAAACAGCTATATAATATGAGATATTCATAAGAGATATAGCGTACCTCAGATTTGATTTAGTTATAGATTAGACACAGGAAAGTGTTTCACCGTACGTATAAATACAAAATTATAAAAGTTATGATTATCTGATTTGAATTCTGAATCGAAAATATTGGTCGATAACCGAAGTTCAATGGAAAGTATGTGGAATTTTATTCAATATACCTTCAATGTCTAAATATAACATTATTTAAATATATAAAAATCCCATATCATGAAGTTCATTTACATTAATTTCTGAAATCGCTTCTTCGGATTTAATTAAATTTTATAAATGTTTACTTCCATTTGAGGGATAGAATAATTTTCATTTGGATACGAAGAAAAGGATTCGGTAGGCAGGGATAGGAGGCAAAACAATATTTACCGGGTCGGTTAATAAATATACGTATATATAAACATGGTCAGTTACTTACCAAAGAGCTTTGAACTCTATTCGGGCATGTCATAACATGCAATTATTCACAGTCGCTTTTACTACTTTATACAAAATTTTATAATTTGAAATAGTGGACACCGTAACCCATGTTTTTTATTAATGTTTAAGTTATAATCCAGTAAATTTTTTTCAATAAAATATAATGTCTACAGCTTCATGTGGTGGTGACGAGAACGCCACAGCGGGATGTGGGGTGAATTGTAACAAACATTGTTCCGACATAGGCAAAGAACCTGGGGGCTGCATCCAAGTGTGCTATCCAAATGCATGTGATTGTAAAGACGGTTATTACTTAGATGATAATACAGGAAAATGTGTCTTACCTAATCAGTGTAAGTATCAATTAAACTAGTTTGTTAAACAACTTGTATATAATTATATTAAGTATTATTATTAACTAATTATATTATGTATTATATGAAATGATATCATTGTAAAACTGATAAAGTATTAAATATTAATTTGCTTCAAAATAGGGAAAGAAGGAAGTTTTTATATTCTATGAAATTTTTGTGTGCCAATTCTGAATACTCTTAGATAATTCTTTCTATAATCGAAAGATTTTAGATAGATAGATAGATAGATACTCTTTATTGTTTCCTCCAAAAGATTACAATAGATTTTACCATGTTGTTTTATAATTTTTTTTTACCAGTAACTTTGCTATTTTTCTTAAAGAAATTTTAAATTTATTACTGGGAAATATAAGTAAATTTAATCCCTAGTTGATGTATTGGAATTGTAAAGGGCATTGGAGTTATTTAATTTAGTTGCCATTTAAGTTACGAATATAACTAATTTAGGTGTTATTATTTACTTATTCGTTAATTTCATAATATCCAATCTAAAATATTTACAATTTTAGGTACAAAATCAAACCATAACTCACAAGAAACATCTTCGTCATCTAATTCAACATCGACATCATCATCATCAGCGTCAAGTAACAACAACAATGGCAGTAAGTATTGTGTTATTATACAATCGTTAATCTACAATAACTCTTATCATACAAATTTGATAAACACTTTGACAAAAACTTCTTGAGTATTAATTTTGTTACCAGTTTTTTGGACGTTATTAGATTTGTCGAAAGTTTATGTTACGGTATAAAAAACAACAAGTTCAAATTTCATTAATCATATTTACAGAAATTGTAGCAGCGGCACAATAGCGCCTTTTAGAAAATCCATATGACTTATAGAAAGTATTTATAATATTAACAAAAAATATTCTAATATCCTAAGGAAATTTGAAAATAAAAAAACATACAAAGTATTTTCCAAAAGAATTGAGCATATTTTTGTTTTTAGAATCTACATCTAGTACTTCTTCGCTATCTCAAAGTTCAAGTTCATCCATTTCTAAAAGTTCTACATCCGGAAAATCATCATCAACTTCCTCATCATCAAGTAACGCAGCATCAAGTTCGTCATCATCTGGTTCATCCTCATCTAGTTCTGTATCGTCAAGTTCATCATCGTCATCTTCAAATACTAATAATTCAAATAGTGGTAAGTTAAAAGTAAACGAAATGGATATTGAGGTTGTTATTATTGTCATCATGATCATCTTCAATTACAAATATCTAAATATTTAGTACAAAATCACATAATCAACATAATCATTTTTTTTATGATTGTTTCGTTGTATTTTGTCTTGAAGAAATAAGGCAGTCTAAAAATAAGAGCTAAGATAGGTAATGTATTTTCTGAAAATAAAGATATTACACGCTAGTCTGGAGTGGAAATATTCTGACGAATGTTATAAGTATATTGTGATAAAAATATTAAAGCTGATATATTGTTAATTTATGTCACAAATTTCTAATTTCAGTATCGTGTGGAGGAGATGAAAATGCAAAACCGGGATGTGGTGTAAACTGTAACAGACACTGTAAAGATATTGGCAAAAAACCAGGTGCATGTATCTTGGTATGTTACGAAAATGGATGTGATTGCAAACCTGGCTATTATTTAGACGATAATACTGGAAAATGTGTTTTACCTAGTCAATGCAGTAAGTCCTGTTCGGTTTATTTAAAATAATAGATAGGTTTTTTTTTACATAATGTAATTAAGTTTACTACGATAGGCAGTTACTGTATCTTATGAATAGTTTCTACACTAAATACATCAATTTCCTGTTGTCAACATATGTAAAGTTACATATACAGTACTAAATATTTACATAATTATTAGAATGGTAAACAGATTGACAGCTCTCTGATGGAAAGTGGAAACCATCGTCTATAGACATGAGATTCTTTAACCTGGAATATGGCATAGCTATTTAGCAGCAGATAATAAGTGAGTAACGCTCAAAGTTGTCGGTGAATATGTATACCTGGGACAATTTTCCGATTGGCTAAATTAAACTTCGACCGAGAGGGCAACCGACGAATTAAACTCAGCTGGGCAGCGTTCGGTAAACTACGCCACATCTTTTCGTTCAAAATACCTTTGAATTTGAAGGCGAATATCTTTAACCAGTGTGGGTTGGCAGTGATGACTTACATAACCGAAACGTGGTCCTACATGATTGCTCGTATTCAAAAGCTACAAGCTACTTAGCGGGCTATAGAGAGAGTTATGCTCGGAGTCTCTTTGCATGCAAGTATCCGAAACGAGGATATCCGCAAAAAAACCAAAATAACCGATATAGCCCGAAAGATAAGCAAGCTAAAGTGGCAATAGGCCGGTCACATAGCACGAAGAACCGACACTCGATGGGGAAGAAAGGTTCTTGAGTGGCGACCACGTACGGGTGAACGCAGTGTAGGACGACCCCCCACTCGATAAAGTGACGACCTGAAATGCGTTGCAGGGAGTCAGTGGATGTAGGTGACTCAGGACCGTTCTTTATGGCAGTCTGTGGGGAGGCTTTTATGTCCAGTAGTGGACGGATAATGGCTGATATGATGATAATGATGAATACTCATCCATGACTAATGTTTCGTTTAAAGTTTTTATTACACCTAATTATTATATTTTTAAAATATTAACTAGATAACATTTTTATGATTTTATAAGTGCAACATTATTTCACTGTAGTTTATTCCATAGAAATTCCTTTTTTAATGCAATGAACAACTATTATTTTAAAGTAGTAAATTGAGATTTTATTTTAGAAACCATTTGAAAATTATCCAAAATTTTACACTGACTGGTAGTATACGAGAGCTTTATGTGTTTAAATCGGTTGAATATTTGTTGAGTTTATCCAATAGAAAGAAATAAATCTTTCTTCTTTATAATATTAGCTTGGATGAATTAAATGCTGAAAAGCTTGACTAGTCATGTATATTCATCATATCAGTCGTTAACTGTTCATTGCTGAACATAGACCTTCCCAAAAGGTGGGGTTTTGTCAGTAGTTGCCAGGTTTGGAAGAAGCTGAGAAGAGGGTGTTGCACGTCCCTCAACTATTAAGTTCCCTTAGACGCCTTTTATGATATCCACGGGAAAGGAAAAGGTGGCTCATTCTATGCCGGGACCACACGGCTCAAACTTATGTACATTATTATTTGATTATTATTAATATATACAATAACAAACATTTGCAGCATTACCATGTGGCGTTAATGAAGTGTGCTCAAATTGCACCAATGCTGGTTGCGAACCAAAGACCTGTGCTGAAACCGGAATACCGTTACCATGTGATCAACCCGATGAGTGTTTAAAAGGGTGTATTTGTAAAAGCAATTATCTGAGAGCAGACAATGGCACCTGCATACCTCGAGACCAATGTCGTAAGTCAAAATAGTTTCATCTAATGTTATTATTATATAATATATGGGTTAATTAATGTTATTTAGACCTGTACTTTTGCGACACTTTAAGAACTATATTAGAGTTAATATCCAATATTTTTTTGTAGTAACAGAAATTTTAGGATGTTCTTGGCAGTGATATTCTTGATCTCTTCAGGACAAAGTGTATATTTACTAAAGGAGTTTTAAGAATAAGTGAATTTGCTATTCTAAGTTGGATAAAAAAGAAGAAATTAAAAAAAATCTTAAATTATTAATTTACTTATACTTGTGTATATGTCAACAGCGGCTTGTGGAGGAGATCCAAATGCACAGCCTGGTTGTGGAGTAAACTGTGGTAGATTGTGTTCGAATTACAACGATGGACCAGTGCCATGCCCCCTGATATGCAATATAAATGGCTGTGATTGCAGAGAAGGATACGTTTTTGATGAGAATTTGAAAAAATGCGTTTTACCTGAGGACTGTAGTAAACGTGAGTATTGTAACAAGTTTTAGTTTTTATGATGAATAGATACATCTCTTTGCATATATATATATATATATATATATATATATATATATATATATATATATATATATATATATATATATATATATATATAAAACTTGTCAGTATTAAAGCAATGATTTTATTTTAGCAATATGTACTGGGCCTAATGAAGTATATGACGACCATCCTATAATATGCCCGCCTCAGACCTGTGACAGTATCGGCAAGAGTTACTCTTGTCCTTCTAGACTGACTTCATCAAAAGGTGCTTGTGTTTGCCGAAAAGGTTACCTTAGAAATGAAGATGGCAAATGTATCCCGAAGGAAGACTGTCGTAAGTATATAAATTTAATAGAATTTTAATTTATGTCAACTACTTTTCCTTCAGTGAAATTAAAATGAAGGTGCATTTGATAAATGCTAGAAAAGATTTGGTTAGATATATTTTTTTATTGATATTGTGACCACATCAAAATATCTTTACATGCTCATTGCTATAAAATGATAAAAATAATATTATTTTCTAGTATTAGTATTGTTATCCTAGGATAATTTAACCCTAGAATGTTATAAAAGCCGAACAGAGAAACAAAGAGCAGTAGAAGTAGTAAGTAGTTCCACTAAAATGCCCGCCTATATTATTAGGGAGAGAGATTTGTGCTGAGTAGTGGGCTGTTAATACGTTGCTGGGATATGATAGGAATTTTTATACATAATTTCTAATACAAAAACGCTGACTCAGCACTCGTCTTGTAGATTCTATCTTAGAATTAAATAAATATATTAGTGTTATATTAATTTCGTGCCTTGGTTATTTTATTACAGATAAATGTTTAGGACAGAATGAAGTATACGATCCATGTCCTCCAATCTGTCCACCGCAAACTTGTGATGCTATCGGCAAAAGTTACAGTTGTCCTAGTATTCCTACAAATCCTACTGAAGTACCCGGATACTGCAAGCCGGCTTGCAGATGTAAACCTGGTTATTATAGAAATCTAATTGATCAGTGCATATCGAAGAAAGATTGTCGTGAGTATTGCGTTTAATTTTCAACCGACTTCAAAAACGGAAGAGGTTCTCAATTCGGCTGTGTATTTTTCTGCCTGTTACTTCATAACTCCGTCAATTATAAACTGATTTAGAAAAATCTTATCATGCTTATTAGAAAGGATTTCTTTTCTAATTGATCCCATAGAAATTTTATCAAAATCGTTTTAGTAAATAATTAATTATATTTTATCGTACACAATTATATATTATTATATTTAGTTAAATTAGAATTGAAATTAAATAGTTTTATTTTTTTATATAGAAAAAAAAAAACATTACGGTAACATTTTAATAGGGATAAAACATAATGATGAATGACGAGATATTTCATAAATAAAAGTAAGTGAAATAAAATATTTTATAATTGTAATAATAAAATTTTATATTTTATAATTTTTGGTTTCAGTAAAGTGTACAGGACCGCATGAATACTTCTCATGTGGCGGCGCTTGTGATAACGTTTGTGCTACTATAAAGAAACAGAATCAAACCCACTGTCCGATTATTAATATCACTTGCAATAGAAAATGTTATTGTGAGGCGGATTACGCTCGGAATGTTAATGGCACCTGTATACCAATTGACGAATGTGAATGTATGTTTTCTTTTTAATTATTTTATATAAATACTAGAATTGCTTGAATTATAAAACAAAAAACCCAGATCGGTATTTGTTGTTATAATAATGGTATGACTAATTTGACTCAGACATTGTCTTATTGATTCTTTATTAACTTTAATATAAGTTTGAAATTAATTTTCTAGATTGTAAAATAAGTAAATAAAATTTTTGGAGTAACGCACTCATGTGCATATTGCAACAAAACTTTTGAAAGCAGGGGCATAACGAATATTTAGTTACGAGTATGTTACAAAATAAACCTAAATGGTAAAATTAAAGTCCTAATTTAAATGTAGAACTACGGTTCTCTTAAGAAATAATCATACTGTCACTCCATTAAACTAGCCATTAGGTAAGACAGTTGGAGTAACGACTGGAAAGGATGCAGAAGTTAGAGCGTTAGATGTAAAAATTCCTAATGGTTTTATTATGAGAATTAGTATTATGACAGTATGTCCCTTACCGGTAGATTATAGTAGTAAGTAAATAGAAATAATTAGTTCGTATTAATGAAAAATTGCACTGTTATTTTAACATATTTTGTAAAACAGATTTTTGATATTTAAAAAAAAAAGTTTTGTTTTTAAATTTTTTTAAAACTTTAATTTACTCCATATTGCAAAAATACTGTTTATCTGTTTTTTTTTTTGTCATAAGATACCGATATGTTCAGTACGAATAAAAATATTAAAATATTAAAATATTAAAGTATTTCCTTATTGTTATATATTTCTTTTTCATTTTCTATTGTTTCGTATATAATCTTTCTTTTGTAAATATACAATATATGCATGGCAATATACGGCATTTAATTTTAATTATAATAAATTTATACTTTTGTATTAAATTTTCTGTAAAATATATAATAAATTCAGCGATCAGCTAGGAATCGAAAAGAAGTTTTTCAAACAGTTTTGTGGCACAGTTGTAATTACCACAACCACAACAATTGAAAAATGCAAGCATGTTGAATGTTATAATTAGGTAAATATCACATACGTTTCGCCAAGCATATTGGCCTAAAATAGTAGGGGTGAGCCTACCACCGTCACTAAATCAAATAATAGGCACGTTATTGAATTAATAACGAAAAATGATTTTTATGTTATTTGTTTATATTATCAAAAGCTTTACATTTTATTAATATAGTAATGTAAAATATATATTGTTAAATGTAAAGCATAATATATAGTAAAATATTAAAAAAAAACCTCTGCCAGATGACTGCACATCAACTTCAATTGAAGGATCAACTGGAGGAGATGATGAAGAGGATGATGATGAAGAGGTTCAAAACCGCTTAATACAAGGAAACACCGATTTCACTGGAAATTTTCTTTATGTTAGTATTTTTTTGTTTACACCTTTAGTAGATTTTTGCTTATTCTTTAGACCATAGATCTGGAATTTCTTTTTTCTCATTATAATTTTGAAGACGACTACATTATTAACTTGTTTTAAACTTATTACGACATTTAATCATACAAAAAGTATGTAACATATATTTTTTTTATTTCAGGAAGTCATTAAAAAGAACCCGTTAACTAGTGTTGTGATGTCGCCGTTCTCAGTTTTGATTCCTTTAGCGCAGTTAGCTCTTTATACTGAACCTGGAAATTCTTACGACCAACTGCTAAACACGCTCAATCTGAAAAGCAAAGATGAGGTAAGTAGGGTATTTATTTTTAAATATTTACTTATTTTTTATCTCTATATATCTATAAAACTAAATTAGTTTACGCTGGCAGAGTATCATTAGAGTAAAAAGATGAGCAGCACAAAGATAGCTGGTTACCTGCACCTGTACTAGGCCAACGGCAATGACGGGGGGAGGATGGGATGGGTTAGTAATGTGGACTGCTGGACCCATTGTTAGGAATATATTAGATCGACCTCTTCGTGGTTCTCCTTGGAAACCGCTGTGTTGAATTCCTGGTGTATCATCAATGTAGACTTCATTTATAATATAAAAAGTGCTGTTGGTATATACTGACGCAGTACCAGTGAGAGATGATAGGTGAGATTGAGAACAGTCCCTCTAGTTAAGTTACCTGATAGGATACATTGCTAGCAATGGGGCTATTAGACTCCATCACAATTCCTTTTCCGCCTATTTGACAATATTGCAAGAGCAAGTAATTTCTTTATTTTTATATTGTTAATTTAATAAAAAGCCATACCAATATTGTTTATTAAATAAACATGCAAAGTATAGAAAAATATACATAACTTCTAAAATTACGAAATCGTAAACTATTTTAAGACGTAACACTATTGCAATTCTAAAAGAGATAGCCCTGATGATTGTCGATCTCGCCCGCACAGAGCAAGATAGACGGTAAGGTCTCTTAAACAGCCGGAATAGGTTAACTATGCTTCTTTTTCTTAGTATCAGTGAGGAATAACAATCGAGACTGAATTTGGGTCAGTTGGCCCATAATGACCAATTCATCACGAATTAACTACGATGGTTTCTAGTGCGGATTGCGTTGAGGTCGACCTGATAGAGTAGGTATACTGTTAGAAATGGGATCACTTGACCCTGTTGCCAACAATTCCCGTTTCCTCAATAATTGAGAGTAGTAAAGTTTTATATGAGCATTTTTTATTGGAGATTTTGATATTATTGGATAATAAAGTTTAAATAAATAAATAAAAAAGTAATAGGTATCTTTTATTTTAGTCTTTTCGAATTGCGACGTATGAAGAGAGAAATGGCTAACATAGTATATGTGTTGTTTATAGGTAGTGGTGGTTATCACCTTCCTCAATTTTGACAATTTCCGTAGCGTAGTAGTGAACACGTTGCTAAAACGAGGTCCCGGGTTCAATTTCTGGTCAGGCCAATTTAGGAAACGAACTTTTCTGAATTGGCTTGGGTCTGTGTGTTCTAGGTTTTAACTCCAGTATTTATTATCTGGCCCCTCATAATACAGGTTTTCTTAGCTTGAGGAACATGCCATTGTCGGCGTTTTAAAAAAAATTGGTCATTAGCATATTTGTGATTCTTAGTTCATATTTATATTTTCTTTTTTTTATGAGAATGTCAAACAAACTAACGTACCTCCACTGATGGAAAGTGGTAACTCTTATCTATAGATGTGATCAGCACCATGGAAGCCACAGAATATACTGTTATGTCCATGGTACCCCTCATATGTTGTTATTTCTGCAGATTACGATGCACATATTTAACTATTACTAATAATGTAATTTCGAATATTCTTTAGATTCGACGTGTATTTCCGGCACTTATAAGTTCATTGAAGTCACAAGAAGAAGCTATATTGGATTTGGCCGCAAAGATTTACGTGAACAAACAATATCAGCTCACTGACAATTTTGAAAACGACTCACGTGATGTCTTCGGTGCTGAAGCGGAAAATATTGACTTTAGTAAACCTGAACAAGCCGCTGACACTATTAATGCCTGGGTGCGTATAGACGATTTTCTATAAATTTATATTACCAATATGTTCTGAAGAATATTCTAATGTTGCGCATGAGATTCATGGTGGAGGTTACATTGCATCAAAAGGCCGACCAATAAGTTTATAATGGGAATGAAAATAATTTTATTATTAATATAACACTTAAAAAAATACGAAATGTCTATTATGGTAGAGATAATTACAATTTAAATTTAAAAATAATAAATACAATTAATGAAAAGATAGTACATACGAGTATATAGAGATTCACCGAATGAAATATTTATTGGCATATTGTTGTTTAGTACTTAATATTTTAAACTTATTTCGATATTATGAATATTATGATTATACATATGTATGTATAATAATAATACATATATATGTACATGACATAATAGTAGATAATAATAGTAATAATAGACAATAATAATTAGTCTTGGAATCTTGTTGCTTGGAAATTGTATTATCCTTTAGTCCATCACTTAACTGCTTAATGTAATTATCATATTACTGTTGCTGTTTATCCTGGCTTGATCAGTTAGCACTGTGTTGGTCAAGAAATCAACCGATTTCTCCAACTAAACTGTAAATGTCTTAATATCAGTAATATGTTTCTCATAATTTCAGATTGAAAAAGAAACAAGAGAGCTTATAAAAAATGTTGTATCAGCCGATATGTTCAGCGCTTACACTCGTTTAGTTCTGACCAACGTTATCTATTTTTTGGTAAATATCTTTATTACTTTTTATTAGTTTTACAGTGTATTTTTATAATTAATCTTAAAAATATTTATTGATCATACATACCCTGATAGTCATATGTTTTTAATAAAATAAATATGTTTTGATTCACAGGGAAATTGGCAGAAACAATTTAATCCAAACGATACGAAAACTGAAGATTTTCATATTAGTAATACAGACACCGTTCAAGTACCACTAATGTATCAGAAAGGCGTTTTTAGATATGCAGAAAGTAAAGATCTCAATTGTAAGGTAATAATACATTAACAATAATGCGCTTGATGTCTGTTTGATGTATTTTGTTTTAAAATAAATTATTAACTACACGCATATGTAAATAGACTTTAAAATTTATCATTAATGTTCAAAACTAGATACATAATAAGTACACAATTATTGTGTCGGCAAGTAATTGTATTTATCTGGTTGTGTTTCGGTTTAAACGATGGAATGGAACAGTGAAATTACAGCATTCGGAGACGTTAAACCTCAGAAATAGTAATATATGAGCGACTTTATGTTATAGTATATGCTGTGATGTGTGATGTGGTGCTCTTAATATCCGTCGACTGCGATTATTACTTTTCATCAGGTGGGGAGTCTTTTTACTTTCCAATCTAATAGAACTAGTTTAACATAAGTACATTTGTTTTAGATACTAGAGATAACATATAAAGGAGGAAATTTCTCATATATTGCTTTCTTACCGAATGATGTAGATGGTTACAATATTGTTGCTGAAAAAATTAGAGATCCTGATGTATTTAATACTGCTCTTGATCTATTGAAATATGAAACCTGCTACCTTTATATACCAAGACATGAAATAACTACTGGTATTGATTTAGTCGATATTCTTCAGAAGGTAAGATAAAATTTTTAAACAATTAGTTAAATAAAAGTATGAGCATTAAATATTATTTATGCCAGTTTGTCTGTAAGAGATTGCTTTTAGCGGTAAAGCCGGCTTTTGTATATGCACATTCTGTATAAATAATTCTTGTATATATCTCTCTCGTGCGCAATAAAGAGTTATTATTATTATGTTTGATATTTGTAGGTGAATGTTACTGATATTTTTGATACAAAAAAAGCAGATTTAAGTGGAATCTTAACAAACAACGAAGAGCTAGGTGTATCAGCTGCAATACAGAGGGCGAACATAAAATTCGATGAAACTGGAACTGAAGCTGCTGCTGTAAATGGTACGAATGTATTCCAATATACTAACGCTCCTGTCGTCCGTGTGCTTAGAAAATACTGATTAGTTAAAAACAGCTATTCTCCATCTCAAATACTACGTATTGTTAAACTTCATAACAATTGTTTAAGCTGTTTAGATACTAAAAAGTAACAAACAAATCCACTTTCATATTTATAATATCATAGTAGCTATGGATGCAGTTTCATTAGCGTGACCGCAATATAAAATATTCCATGTTTTTATATGTCAAATACTATATATATCTTTACTAAATTTCATAAAGATAGGTCCAATTATTAAAACGAAAAGAAGAAACTAATAAACGACTTACCTTATTTATTACTTTAGGATATATAAATTATAAGCCATTCTTCAGAGCCGAGTTACTGTACTGTAAAAATAATATTGGAACTACAAGTTCCTTGTTATAATTTTTAATTACTACATTATGTTTATTGTAATTCGATAAATAATGCACTATTATTTTATAATGATAATTACTTTCTATTATTTCAGTAATAATTGTGGGTACAACATCAGCATCACCGCCTGAAACTGTGTATACCTTTAGGGCTGATCATCCTTTCATATTCTACTTGTTACTTGAAAGGAACCCATTATTTTGTGGTGTTTATGCTGGAAACTAATATATTCTAAAGAAGTTGAAGCAAAACTAAAAATGACTATATTTATATAATACAGTAGATTATAAGTGAAAGATTGTTTTCGAAAGTAAAAAACTTTTTTGTTAATATACTTTTTAATATATTCCTTTTATTTATAAGAACCTACAATATGTATTGAAACTTTTAAAGTGAATTAAGATAAAAAAATATTGAGTCGTAAATCGAAGAATACTCATTAAAATAAAAAAAGATTTTTAAATTATTAGGTTCCTACATTTTCAAATTCTTGTTCTTTCGCACGGTTTGATGTGACAATCTGGATTTGTCAAGTTTCTGCATATTAAAAGAAGTCAGACCTTACTGTTCAAACTCTATGAGATCTAGTATTTGGTATTAAAATACATTAGGGCCAATTCTTATGTGCCATTTCTGTAAATTTGTCTTTAATTCCAATATTTTAATTTGGAAATTTTGCGAAATTATTGTTGGCCCATAAGACCATCCTAAAATAAATTGTAATATTTTTTACTTATTTCTATTAAAAAAAATAGTTCATATTGGTCCCAACAATACATATTTCACTGTGATATAAAATTGAAATTTTAATTTTAGAGATAGGTATGGAGAAATGGCGTCTCAGAATCGATCCCATATATATTATTAAACTCTTCAAAAAATTTTATTGAAATGAAATCAAAATATACTTAATACTATTGCAATAAGGTTGTCACTAGAGCAATAAATAAGTTAAATCTAAAAGACAATTTTTAAATTCGACAATGCTCTTGTCGGATATGATTAATTAATTCTTTGATTATTTTTTTGTCTATTATTGATTATACGTATACGTTATAGTGAATCAACTTTTATTTACACCTTTTGAATGTAAAACATGTGTAAACGTGGTATATAACCTAAACCGATATACGTCGCACAATTTCGAGTTTGATCGTGGATAGAACCAGCGTGAATTGGTATTTTCCAATCGTCGTCCACAAGGTCAACATGAACTTTTTTTATGAGATGAAAATGAAATGATAATACTGATTGCGATATTATTATTTTTATTATTATTAGTGTATATAAATGCCGGTAATGCCTTGGATGGTGTGAATGAAGTCAAATCTGCTGACATCAGTGGTATAGCATAATTTTAGCAAGGTAATATATATTTACCTGTCACAGTACTTTTTTAAGTAATTTTAGATCTACCCACCAGTATTTTGGGAACATTTTATCCACATGCTCGAACCACCTTAAAATGCCCTTTCTCATTAACGAGAGTACTAGTTTCATACAAAATCAACATTTATTGTTACTAATTGTTTAAATTATGTTTTAATAAATGATTAATTACTTAGCTGGAATTGCAGTTTTATGATACTCGTATTGACGTAACTACAAAAAACAACACGAAAAATTGTTCAACGTATACAAAAGTTTTTCTTTATACATATTGAATTTTAAGTATTTCAATATTATCTTTATTGGAACAAGTGCACGAATACACCTACACGATTAGTATATAAAGAGGTAAGTATGCCTGTCAATACTAATATTAGAAGGAGATTTTTTGAGTCGGTAATAATGTTTAAATCGGTTTTTATACTAGCCCTTGTGGCCAATGTTTTTTTCTTAGTGTCTTCTGCTGGTATGTATAAATATTGAAAATTGTTTTTTTTTTATCAAATTAGAATCAAAAGCTGTGAAATAATTGGATTTTCTAAAAAATCTATCATTAATGCAAAGATCAAATTAGTTAAATAAAAAAAAATAGATCAACATCTGAAAAGTCATTATCAAGTTTATCATCTCCAAATTCATTATCAACGTCTTTAAATACTGACAAGCATAAGCATAGATATTATTATAGTTCATTCAGAGATAATATACCTTTCTAACAGTGTAAAAGTTTTCATTAGTAGTTCCAGAGATTAACCCGAATATCCGAACTTACAAATTTACCTCTTTATAATATTATATATAAGTAAAAGTAAACATATTTTCGTGTGTGAGTATTAAGTAAAAATTGTGTTCGTGATTTATTTTTACAGATACATGTTCAGGACAGAATGAAGTATACGATACATGCCCTCCAATCTGTCCACCGCAAACTTGTGATGCTATCGGCAAAATTTACCATTGTCCTAATATTCCTGCAAATCCTACTGAAGTACCCGGATATTGCAAGCCAGCTTGTAGATGTATATCAAAATATTTTAGAAATCAAAACAATGAATGTGTATCAGTAGAAGAATGCAGTGAGTAATAATTATTTATAATAACTTTATTTACTACTTCTTCGTATAGTATTATACGAGTATGTATAGTATATGGTGTAGAACGCACTATACACTATACGACACGTAAGAAATTTTTTAATTATACATATACCCACAAATCAATAGTTAGGTAATTGTTTTTAAGATCTAAGTATATAAACAACTGTATTATATTCGAAATAAATAAATTTATTTATAGGTATTATCTTACAGTCATCAAATAATCACCAGATAGAAACCTAGATACTTGGTAATTAAATACATCGTTTTAGTAAAAATTGTGCACGTTTATATTTATTTAGAATTAGGTGAATTCATATTGTCTATTTATCATATCAGCATTTAATCAGATCCAAATTAATTTAGAATTTTTTTTATACTTTCAGAAAATGAGAATTCTGACAGCTTGTCTAATGAATAGTGGTTATCGTCCCCCATAGATAGCCACAACATCAAGAAAATAACAAAATAGTTACTGGTTGCCTATGACACGTTTCTGGAAGTATTACCTCTTTTGTCAGAAATCCACATTAAAGACCTTGGTGGTGTAAAGGATTAATTAACTGAGATTAATTTACTTTCACCTTTTGATTACTCCAGGTTCGAGTTTTGCAAAATTCAAGTACTGAAATTGATTGTACAAGTATATTTGTATTGATGTTAACTTCTTACTGCATTGTGTGTGTTTTCTAATATATAAAATAATATGATTACTTTTTTAATGTTTCTCTATTATTTTCACTCGCACTACTACTGTTAATTAGTAGTAAATTATATAAGTAAAAAAGAAAAACCGATCAAGTGTGAGTTGAATTCATACGCCGAGGGTTTCGTACGTAAATATATAATTATGAGATAAAATTACCTTTATCGCACCTTTCTTACTAAACCTAATATTATTATTAATATTATATCCATAATATTAATTATAAAATTAAAAATTTATTATTCTTATTAGTAGTCAAAACTAAACCACATAAATGAGTTGGTTTTTGGAAGATTAGTGATATTTTTTTTAAAAACTGTGCTAGGTAAAACAGCGTTTTATTTTTTGTGTAATATTCTCATACACCTTTATAAACTGTAATTATTTAAAAATTTTCGCTTCGGAAACCTCGGAGATAAAAGAGAATAATTTTTTTTCTTGCATTTTCGATTATAACTAAAAAATTACACATCATAAAAATAAATAAAAATTAAGATTTTATTTTCTCCACAAATTTTAAGTGAGCAGAGAAAGCCTTTTCGTATGACATCCCATTTGGACTAGTAGATTAATTTTGTAATTTTGAATACCCTTTTAGATCTCCTAGTAAAGAATTTTTTTTTTAATTATGTTCATTATGTGCTAGCCAACATTATGTAAAACTATTCTAAATTTCGAGTCGATAGAAGGAAGATAGTAGGTGCTGAGATATAACGTTGTTTATTTTTGTTTTATTGTTTTTGTATTAATTTAATTGATTGTTGATAGTTATGTTAAATTTAATCAATTATGTGGATCAATTATTCACTGCCAACTCTATACTTTGTACATACCAGATCTTTAGAATATCTCCGGTAACTGAAAAAAATCAATAATAATTAAATGAATTCATCCAAGCGATGGTGGTAGGTAGGATTTTATTACTCTTACTGCGTAGAACTCCCGTCATTATTATCATCTTAACCATTATTTATCCATTGTTGAACATAGGCCTCCCCCATAGACTGCCAAAACAAACGGTCCTGAACCATCATCCAGTGACTTTCTGCAATCCATTTGAGGTCGCCATTCCATTCTACACTGTATTTGCATGTACAGGGTCGTCACTCAAAAACCTTTCTTCTTCATCGGTTGTCGATTATTTGAGCTATGTGATTAGTCCATTACCATTCAGCTTACTTATCATTCGGGCTATGTTGATTACAGTTCTTTTGCGGATATCCTCGTTTCGGATTCTATTATGTAAATAAACTCCGAACATAACCCTCTCCATAGCTCGCTAGAAACTTTAATACATTTGGTAAAATGTGAGCACGTCAAGTTGTTAAGTTTGCCATAATAGCAACAGTTGACAAATACCCTCAACTACTCTATTAGGAATTATAATAAGGGATTGCTTAGCGATAAGGCCGCCTTTTGTATCACTTCTTATTATTATTTACAATATTTGTTATTTCTCTTTTTACTTGGTGCAATAAAGTGTAAAATAAATAAATAAATAAATATATATATTAGTAGCGGCGCGTTCCGGATTCGCATGATTTTTATGAAAATAAAATACTGCTAACGTAGCTTATATTTCATTTTCTCATAGAGAATGTAGCATTCTATAGGTGAAATAATTTTTAAGTTTTTGAGTTTAATCATACTATAGATTAATTGATTGCTGTGTGTGATGTTAATCTTCATATTTTCTCATTTCTTATTTAAAATAAAAGAATTTGGAAGTATGCGCCATATGTTCTCATCTAAAATATCTCAAAGTTTAAAGACAAAGGTTTTTAACTAGTGAGTGTTGCCAGTGGTGACTTCTGGAACTGAAACATGGTCCTACATAATTGCCCGTATTCAATAGTTTCGAATTAGAGATCAGTGGATACGGGTGGTTCAAGACCGTTCCTTATCTATGGAGAAGGTCTATGTTCAATAGTGGAGAAATAATATTTGATATGATGGTGATGATGATTAGGTGAGATGTAGTCGCTTTGACTATATAGGTGCTATAAAAATCTTGTACTTATAATATTTCAAGAGTTTAACACTAAAACAGAAGGATAAGTAAAGAAACGAATAGAAAGAGAGAAGAACAAGAGCCCAAGTTTAAAGAAATCATCTGAAAAATTTATAGCTTACTGAAACTTCTTACTATAAAGTATTAATATAATTATTTTTAAACCACAATAATTTTCGTTAATTCAGACAATAAAAATGAATCAAATAATATCAAATTACAAGGAACTAATTTAAAGCAACACCCCCCCCCCCCACCTCTTTTTATTAGCGCACCAACGTCTTGTCAGCGCTACCCTCCTTTTTTGCGCTAGTGTTCCGAATCAATAGATTGTCTTTTTTTATTTTGCGCCGACATATATATAACAACATAGCATTGTCTTTTTTTTGATGGATGATAATGGAATAGTATCCCCGCTTGCGCTAACGGTATGTGCTGGCGGGGCTCCAGTGAAAGATGATAGGTAAGATTGAAAAGGCAGGGCAGCTAGCCTATCCTGATGTACATATACACCAAAGATACACGACAGTTTCCAGGGGGGCCATGTGGAGGTCGACCTGACAGAGTATATTGTTAACAATGGGACTGGTAGCCCGTATTATTAATAATCCCTTCCACCCCAATGTTGCATTATTTCAATATGTTTATAATAAATAAACCGATTAAGATTTGTGAGGAAAGACAAAACATTGGAATTTTGACGAGATAAATGCCAAGTTATAAGTGAAAGAATTATTAATAACGATCTGTATCTCGCGGCCCTACTTGTGTGATCTAGTATATAAATTTATAATTATTAATCTATATTAAATTAACTGTGTAATTATAAGTAGATCATTGTAATTATAGCTGTATACACATATGTTTGGAGAGTCAGTTAGAACTAAATATTGTGGTTCTAATGTGCAATCGCCATGTGGTCCTGGCATAAAATGGACCACCTCATCTTTTCCCGTGGGTGTCGTAAGAGGCGACTAAGAGAATATGACGATCGAGGGATGGGTTCCTCTTAAAACATCACCAAATCTATGTACGGTTGCGAACTCGCTTGCCAAGCGTAGTAACAACTGGCAAAACTCCTTATGCCGGAGGTTTATGTTTAGCAGTGAACAGTTAATGGCTGATATGATGATGGTGATGAATTTGTAATCGATAGCTGGTATTGACGTAACTACAAAAAACAACATGATAAATTCTTCAACATATACACAAATTTTCTTTTATATATACTGAATTTTAATTATTTCAATATAACCTTTATTGAAACAAGTGCACGAGCATATAAACATGATCAGTATATAAAGATGGTAGGTATCCCTGTCAATACATTTAAACGTAGTTTTTGAATTGGTCATAATGTTCAAATCGATTTTTCTACTAGGCCTCATGGCTAATGTGCTTCTCATGGTGTCTTCTGCAGGTATGTAAAGTAACTGAATATGAAAGTCTTACTATTAAAATCAAAAGCCTCACTGCTTTTGATTATTGGATTAAAAAAATCATAAAAAGAAAAAAAATCATTAATTATGATAAAGTCTATAAAGTTCTATTAATTGTAAAAAAAATACCAAAATTTGTTTTAATTGATGAAGATATCACCTAACATTATGCACAAAAAGAAACTTTGCCGGAATTTAAATTCCTCTTTTCTTTTTATTGAAAATAGATTTCATTTGACTGGCATTGTATTGGTTTAAATATAAAATGGATTTTTTTACGTACTTACCTATAGTTATTCTTCCCGTTCTCAAGTAAAATTAGATATAATATTTCTTGCATTAAATAAATATTGTGTTTTCATTCAGATTCACTATCTATCACCTCTACGTCATCTCAAAGTTCAACATCTGGGATATCATCATTATGTTTTTCGTCATCAAGGTCATCATCTTCAAATTCATCTTCAACATCTTCAAATATTGTTAGCTCAAATAATTAAACGATGGTATTTATTACAAATACAAGCATGTTTATTTAAAATATGCTCTTGATAAACAATTATTAATTTTTTATGACAAATAATTAAGCTAATTGTTTGCTCGATTGATTCATTACAGACACGTGTTCAGGACAGAATGAAGTATATAATACATGCCCTGTTACCTGTCCACCGCAAACTTGTGCGGCTATAGGCCAGACTTACAGTTGTCTTAGTATTCCGGTAAATAAGACCTCAGACCCTGGATATTGTCAGCCTGCTTGTGTATGTGAAGACGGTTACCTCAGAAATGATAACAACGTTTGTATACCCAAAGAAGATTGTTGTAAGTATTAATTATTTTTAATTACTTTATTTATCATACAAAATTAAGATTAATGAGAATAAAAATTAGTGTCTTTCTTCAATACTTGACATACTAGAGGGAGACTGTACAAAAGTCGATTGCTTGGGTATCTCTGTCCCATTCGTGTTTCTACCGTGAAGCAGTTGTGTTTGCATGGCTGTGTTTCGGTTTGAAGGGTGGGATATGACGTGAATTTACAGGGTACAGAGGAATAACATCTGAGTCCTCAGGAATGGCAACGTATGGGGGTTATCATGGACGAAACAGTCTACTCTGTTATGTCCATGGTACTGCTCATGTTTATAGGCGACGGTTACCACTTTCCATCAGGTGGGCCGTTAGCTTGTTTGCCATTCTAAGTTGTATAAAAAAAATAACAAGTTACATGATTAGTTGAATCGCTAAACCGTGGTAACAAACATAAATTCACATTCAGGGCTTTAATATTAGTAGAGGCTAGCTTTACAATCTTTTATATTATATACTATCATAATGATTACTTCTCTAAAAAATGTAAACATATTTTACAATGTTTCGCTTAAGACGAATTCATAAAGTATTACACATACACTTATCGAAACTTTATTTAATTTAGATTTTATTTTATACTTTCAGAAAACTGCAACAATTCTGACAGCCCCTCTAATGAAAATCGTCCACCATATATAAGTACAATACTATGGAAATCACAAAATATTTACTGGTTACCTACGGCACCATATTTAATGGAAGTGTTACGTCTCTTGTCAGAAACTGACAATAATGGCCACACTGTCTAGGTGTAATGGTTTAACACCCTCTCTCACATTCCGATTGTCGCGGATTCCATCTCCGTATAATTCAAACATGTACATTGATTAATATGTGTACCAATAATGATTTGTATTGATATGAACATTTTCTATGTATTACTATATAAAATATAAACAATATAATTATTTTTTATTGTTTCTCTATTATATACTCTTACAATTTACGTACTTAGTGGCGGATTTATAATATTATTTAAGTACAGTTGTCATCATTATTATCATATCAGCTGTTAACCATCCTCTGTTGTACATAGAGCTCACCCACGATAGAAACACCCACGTAATATGAAGGGGGTTTTTTTACAACACAGGGGGCAAACGAGCACGCGGCTCACCTGGTGGTAAGTGACTACCGCCGCCCATGATTACCCACAACACTAAAGGCATTGCAGGTGTGCTGCCGGCCTTTTAAAAAGGAATACGCTCTTTTCTTGAAGGTTATGTTGTCGTATAGGTTCGAAAATACTGCTGCTGGAAGTTGATTTCAAAGAGTGGTTGTGCGTGGAAGAAAGTGGAATATAATTATATAAAAAAACACTGTAATAATTATGAGTATATTTAAAGATATAGATATTATATTAGTATAATATTTAATTCTAATAGTAATAATATAATAATTTTAATTATAATAATATATATAATATCAAGTATATTTTGCTGTGTAAAAAAAGACAGCTTCAATCATAATAAAATTATAATGAAGCTCTCAGCGAGATATTGACAACGTTGTGGCTTGAGCTGAACATAATCACTTCGAATTTATTTATTACATCCACTGGGTGAGCCTTACAGTCTTCCAATATGCTCACACAGGAAAGCATGAGTACAATAACATATAAAAAAGGAATATTACACATATATAACAAGAATAATATAAAAAGACTTAAACAAAAACCTCTGAACACAAATACTCTGTGGTCACTCGACGAAACTCCAGCAAGTTGGAGGCAAATACATCTAATTGCGGATACTGGCTCAAAATATCATTGAGTAGTTTCAATGCAAGAGATAGGGGAGCCTGCTTAGCGAACTCTGTTCTTCGTAACGGAACATCAAATAAGTGCCGTCGATGTGCTCGCACGTAGTTACTGGGCGCTCCTTTTGATATTGATTCCAGTACAGTTTGGTTACATTTTTCCCCCCGCACTAATTTTAACATATACTCAATTGAATTTAGTTTTCGTTTCACTTCAAGTGTATTATAGCCTACCATACCCAACAAAAACATACTCGGGTATATATGGGGATAAGACACCTTGAAACCATACTGTTTTTGGTACAGCCATCTTACAAATTTCTTTTGGATTTTTTCCACCATAAGTATATATTTAGACTCATGTGGGTTCCAAATAATTGCGTTATTTTCTAATTTACTACGAACAAAAACATTATATAGCAATTTAATAGCTTGTATGCAATCCAATTTTTGCGCTTGTCGCAATACAAATCATCATACAAATAAGTGATAAGGCAGTTGGCGCAACTTCAAGATAAAGGTGCGATATTATTATTATATTATTCATTTGTACGATGCATTTTAGAATTAAATTCATTTATTTGGAACCCTCATGAAACAAAATACAAGATAATGTTGGAAAGAGTTCAGAGCTTTGCACGTTTGCTATACGAGTACAGTAAACTTTACGGCTACTATTCTTATTTGTAGCCATCGCTGTTTGTATTCGGTATGGTAGGTTTAATATACGAGGTAAGGCGAAAGTGCTATTTGATGGTGCACTATTATCGGTTGGTCAACGCAGAATAGACAATCTTGCATCTCTCCATCGTTTTCTTTGTACGCATCCCAACGCTGCATGCGATTGCGTGTTTGTCGATTGCTCTCGGCAACTCCGGTTCGCACCTGTATTGCTCAATTTGCTCCCATTTATCAGGCTATGTCTCTGCTCAATTCTCTGATTGCTCAGCAACTAGATATTGATATATTTAATGACAAATGAGATACATTATTTAAATATTGTTTAAAAGTTTTAAGTTTGTAAAATAAACTTATGGCTCATATGTTTTGGGAAACTGTAAGTGTGGTGATCAATTTATAATAAAATATAAAAGTAAAAAGTATAAAAATAAGTAAATAAGGAACATTAAAGTATATTTTATCGATTACAAATAAAATTATTAAAATTGACCAAGACATACATGATGTGATATGTACATAAAAATACAAATTAATTGAGAAATTTATTTAAGTGTGACATTTTTTATGTTACGATTAAGAGAAAAATAAAAAATTGGAATTTTCGTGTGTAGTAATAATAATAACCGAAGCTTTCACACTAAATGAATAGTGTATTGACAAGACACTTATAAACATTCCATCTGTTAAGTTGTGAGGAACTCTACTGGAAATTGTTACTAATTTCAAGTATGTACCTAGATTATATAGTCACTGATCACCTCATAGATAAGTAAGAACACTGTGCGTTAGCAATACGAGAAGTATTGTTAGGACTGCCTCAGTTTTGTAGTGTGCCAGGCATTTTTACGAAAGCAAGATTGGGTTTTCACGTAATCGATATGCTTCAATACCGCGGAGAAAATACCTAGACCATATATAAGGCTCTGGGCTAGTAGGTATGTGAAAATAGATCTCACACAAAGTATTACACAGTCCAAAATAAAACATAAAATAAAAAAAATAAAAGATTTGAACAACCTGTAGATGCTTGGTAATATATCGGTCTTGTATAACACACGCAGCACTTGAATTGACACTACGATTGTATAGGAGATATGAGTATTCATTAGAACTGTTTGTTTTAGTGAGAAAATATAGGTGTACATGTACTTATATATATATATATATATATATATATATATATATATATATATATATATAGCAGAATGTACGGCATCCCAGACGATATATACGATGAAAATATATAAAAATTATAAAATGTGTTCATATAACCAATTAATGGCAAGATTTATTAAGTTATTACCTAACTTATAATATTTAAGCATAAAATCAATTTTTATCTAATCTAGTTTTAATTAAAAAGAACAGGTAAGATGTAGGGCCACATCAAATGGCGTAACAACTTAATATATAACGCTTCGAAAGAAAGAATAGAACATAAATGAGGAAGGGGAAGACAAAGAGATAACTATATTGCTTAGACAAAAGAGAAGTTGGGTGTTATGTCTTATAGAGTAGTTAAGAATGGCTTGAAACGGAATCAATAGAATTAAAAGGAAATTATAACGGTCTACTTGATAGAAAACGGTAACAGTAGCCTATAGATATTGAACAACATCATGGGTATTACAGAATACACTGTGATAGTTATGGTGTTACCCTACTTTAGTCCTCAGTAATCAGCAACACTGTAATTACACTGCCATATCTTATCCTTCAAGTCAAAACATAACATTGCAAGCGTCTGTGCATGCAATGCTATGTTTTGATTCACGACAGAATCACGAGTTGCACAAAAGCACCACATATAAGTATAGGGGTAAGAAGGATTATCAGTAATGGGGACGTTTATTCCCTTTGCAAGTAATACACTGTTAGATCGACATCCACGCGGTTTTGTCCTGGAAATCATCGTGATTAGTTATTGGTGAATCCGTCACAATGGGATAACGGGCCTTTCATTCGAACCTATCACTGGTGCCTCGCCAGTGTATACCGATAGCGCAAATAGGATTACCATTCTCTTTATTCTCTTATCATTTATTATTAGAGAGCGAGTGAGAGAGAGTAAAGTAAAATAATCTTTGAAAAATAATAATAAAAGTAACAACTTTATTTCCATTAAATTATTGTATTAATTGTTTAATTACGTAGCTGATATTGCAGTCCGATGTTACTCATATTGACGTAATTATACAAAAAAACAATATCAGAAATTGATCAGGTTTTTTATTTATACAAACTGAATTTTTATTGTTTCAATTTTATCTTTATTGAAACAAGTGCACGAGTATATAAACACGATTGGTATATAAAGAGACAAGTATCCTTGCTAATACTTACATTTGAAGGCGATTTTTTTTTGAGTTATTAATTATGTTAAAAACTATTTTTATATTAACCCTTGCGGTTAATGTATTTCTTTTAGTGTCTTCTACAGGTATGTAAAACATAAAACATCTTAAACAATATAAGCTAAATAATAATATTTTCATAAATCATATATAATATTATTTTTATCGGATTCAATTTAATATTTCTTTTTATCTTTTTATATTTTGCATAATTGGTGCAATTTAAAGATAAATTATTTAATTCATTAATGAAAGAAAGAAACGTATGGCGTTATATTCTCTTGCTCTTTATAAACCGACATGTGATTTCATATTTATATTTACATATAAAGTTCTTATATTTTTAATTAATTTAATAGATTATTCGGCACCGGTAACAACTGAAGCGTCATCAGGAGATGATGAAGATGGTCAAAACAGCTTGATACAGGGAAACACAGATTTCACTACAAATTTTCTATATGTTAGTATACTTTCTTATTCTACCAGAGGTACAAACAAACAAACAAAATTTTGTACAAAGTCTACCTCTGGTAAGACTGAACATATATTACTGCCAGAGGGAGACTTTGTACAAAAGTCGTTTGCTTGGGTACCTCTGTCCTATTCGTGTTTCTATCGTGAAGTAGTTGTGTTTGCATAGCTGTGTTTCGGTTTGAAGGGTGGGATATGGCAGTGAATTTACAGGGTATAGAGGAATAACACCTGAGTCCTCAGGAATAGCAACACATGGGGGTTATCATGAGCGAAACAGTATACTCTGTTATATCCATGGTACTGCACATGCTTATAGATGACGCTTACCATTTTACATCAGAAAAAAAGAAAGAAAATTTTATAAATTTTCGTAGATTTAACTGTAATCCATTTCATTTAAACCATTTTTTCTCATTATATTTACCAGTATAGATATTTTTCGACTATCAATGAGTAGAAGCAATATAAGTTTGAAAGTTTGTTTTCTGTATTAATTACATAATATATTTTTGTTTTAGGAAGTCATCAAAATAAACCCACTAGTCAGTGTAGTAATGTCACCGTTCTCCGTTTTAATTCCTTTAGCGGAGTTAGCTCTTTATACGGAACCCGGAAACTCTTATAACCAACTAATAAACACGCTCAATCTTAAAAGCAAAGATGAGGTATAGTACGAGTATTCATTTTTTACTTTTAATTATTATTTTTGTTATATCTTCAATAAAAATATTTGAAAACTTTTTTACTACATAATTCATTATTTTATTACACAGAAAATAAGCAAATATTGTGTTATTAAATAGATAGAATCTGTGGTACGAAATTGTAATACAAATATCTACTTAATTAACAAATTGTAATCATAGAATGTCTACCAACGGCTTAGAGACCATTTTCTTTTTACTAATTATGGCCCAGTTTATAAGCAACTATTGCCACTTTCATTTTAGCCATTTTAATTAATCTAAAAAGATACTTCAGTGATATACACAATTTAAGTAATAAAATTAATAATATTAAACAGTTCTTGATAATTAATATACTTTAAAACGTTTCTAAGATTCGAAATGTATTCCTGGCACTTACAAGTTCACTAGAGTCACAAGATGAAGTTGTATTAGATTTGGCAGCGAAAATTTATGTAAATGAACAATATCAGCTCACCGATAATTTTGAAAACGATACACGTGATGTCTTTGGTGCTGAAGCGGAAAATATTGACTTTAGTAAACCTGAACAAGCCGCTGACACTATTAATGCCTGGGTGCGTATAGACGATTTTATACAAATATTATTTAAAGGATATTTTTAAGTTTAAATCAAATGATTAATCTGTATAATATTCAACGACTGAACAAACAATTTCATATTAAAATTAAATTTATCGTTTAGAGATGTGAGTACTGATTTCAACTGAGATAACATAACTTTTTTATTATTATAAGATATGCTCACAATTGTTGTAATAATAAATTGACTGAATAATATTTAATTCAGTAGATTATATAATAATAATAAAACCCGAAAAATACTTGGGCTTAGAGTAATACAGTTAGATCTTTTATCCTGCACTAACTGTAAGCCAGCGACAATATCTGATCTTTTTAAAACGTGAGAACGCTTAAAGTACTGTCGTTACAGAGACGATTAAAATAACGTTGCATTAGTAAAGTAATTTGCAATTATCATGCAGACAATAGATAGCAGTAAACTAATTAAATTCTAAAAGCCCTTAATAGTGCATAATAATGTATTAATGTAATATATGCTTTATAATTACAGGTAGAAAAAGAAACAAGAGAGCTTATAAAAAATTTGGTATCGCCTGATATGTTTAGCGCATACACACGTTTAGTTTTAACTAACGTTATATATTTCTTGGTAAATATTAATACATATAATCTTCTGATATTGTTACTTTAACTTTAGTACTAGTTACACGTAAATTCAAGAAGGAATTTGTATAATTTACATACATTACATTTTTCAATTCACAGGGAAATTGGCAGAAACAATTTAATCCAAATAATACGAAAAATGATGATTTCCATATTAGTAATACTAAAACAGTTCAAGTACCACTGATGTATCAGAAAGGTGTTTTTAAATATGCAGAAAGTCAAGATCTCAATAGTAAGGTAAATACATATATTTCGAACACAGAGAAACCAACTGTATATTATAGGACAAAGTTTTGAAGATGTACGACTTGCAATTAATAAGAAGACAAAATATATAATTATTATTATTCAGCTCAAACAAAGGAATAATTATTTTATTTAATGCAAAAATAATTATTGTCAATATTTCTGTCAGTTATTCGGATTGCCTAAGATACTAAATTTCGATATTTTATGGATAATACTAGAAAAAAAAATCATACATTCCAAGTATATAAAAAGTAGTTACTATACTTTAACATATAAGTATGTTAGTTACAAATGTATAGATTAGTCATAATGTAAATAAATATTTGTTACAGATACTAGAAATAACTTACAAGGGAGGAAATTTCTCATATATTGCTTTTCTACCGAATGACATAAATGGTTATAATATAGTTGCAGAAAAAATTAGAGACCCCGATGTATTTAATGCAGCTCTTGATTTATTGAAGTATGAAACATGTAATCTTTATATACCGAGACATGAAATTACTACTAGTATTGATTTGGTAGATATTCTTCAAAAGGTAAGAAAAAAATATAAATAAGTAATTACAGATACTGTATAGAATTATAATATATATATTAAATACAACATCATTATTTTTAGGTTAACGTTACTGATATATTTGATACTACTAAAGCAGATCTAAGTGGAATTCTGACAAATAATGAAAAATTAGGTGTATCAGCTGCGATACAGAAGGCAAATATAAAGTTTGATGAAACAGGAACTGAAGCAGCAGCTGCAAACGGTATGAATAATACTATGCACATATAAAAATCATTAGAAAATTATAATCTGATTGTGAATGAAATTTGTATAGTATATCTGTTATTTTAATAGCTTATATTCTAGATGAATATTAAGAAGATTTTTAGCGTGTTTTTATTATTTAATTAATAATTTCTGTAATAATTATATCTATACCGATAAATAATTAAATTTCCAACATTAACAATGCTATTTTACAGTATTAAAATATGATTATTGTACAGTATATAATTTGGAAAACTAAAAAGCTCTGTTATGTGGTACTGCTCATGTCTATAGGCGACGGTTACCACTTTTCTTAAGGTGGGCTGTCAGTTTGTTGGCCGTTCTAAGTTGCATAAAAAAAGCAGTGTTCGTTTTATTTTCTCAATAGTTGTTTCTATTATTTGGAACTTGAGATGTTCTTTCGAATTGAAGGTTATTTACAGCTTAAAGTAATACTTTTTTACTAAGTAGAACACTAGCTTAACATGCATTAATTAGATCTTCCATATGTGTTGTGAATGAAATTATAATACTTCATTTTATATATTCGTATAACATTTTGTCTGTGTTAGTTTTTTGTTTTTATTCAGTAATTTATTTTGAATATTTTTTCAGCATTGATCGTAGGCGTAACAGCAGTATTGCAACCTAAAACCGTATATACCTTCAGAGCTGACCATCCTTTTATATTCTTCTTATCACTCAAAAGAAATCCATTGTTCTGTGGTGTTTATGCTGGGAACTAGGACATCCTAAAAAGATCGAATAAAAGGCTATATATGATATTTTAAGTGTATCATATACACTAATTGAAAAAATTGTTTTTGATAATAATAACAAAAGGTTTTTGTTATTATTTTTGTCGAAAAATATAATGTCACTATACTTTTATTTATAATAAATCTGTATCTTGGAATTTTTGTTTTATTATCATTAATAAGATGAATGAATGATATTAATTTAATAAGATGAAAGATGCATGAATAAGATTATGTTTAAACAACTATATATATATAACTTTTTATATCTTATCTTATTTTCGCATGTAGGATCAGCTAAGCCGTTGCACGTCGACCTATATGGATCTTTTGTGCTTCTCCCTGCCTTATACCATCATTTCATAGATCATATGTGTTACCTTAACGATATCCAGCGATTTAAGATACCTGTAGTCCCCTGGCTCTGGATAAGCCGTTCCCAGTAGACTCATACGTATACTTGCCAACGAATCGCAGTTGCACATCAAGTGTTCCATGGATTCCAATTACTTCCCGCACAGTCTGCACAGTGTGTCCGATATTGATTTTGTCACGATCGAATTTACTATTTTCTTTGCGGAATATCACCCTGTTATAACTAGTTTTATAAAATAATCGCTTAATTAGTTATACTAATGTCATACAATTGAATAATTACTTAGCTTTCATTGTGACTCATACATATATAACGATGGCATTGACGCAATCGAAAAAAAAGAGGGTAAATTGTAATTATTGTTTAAAACTTTTTGTTTTATATACACATAATTTTTATTATTTCAATATTATTTTTATTGGAACAAGTGCACGAGTATATCATCACGATTCGTATATAAAGAGGTAAGTATCCTTGTTAATACTTATATAGGAAGGTGTTTTTTAAGTTAGCGGTAATGTTGAAAACAATTTTTCTTGTCGTTATTACGGTTAACTTATATCATTTAGTGTATACTGAAGGTATGTAATACATCCCGGTCACATGGACGAAGTCGCGAACAAAGACTAGTTTTATTACAAATGTGTAGATGTTTGTTAGTTCTTAGTATCGTAATTCAACTAGAAATATTACATATTATTTTTAAAACTTGTATTCATTTTTTATTCGACGTCTATATACTAACTATAAATAAAGGGATTTTAATGAACTTATTGTCATTTTGTCGTCTTCGTCAAATGTTACGACTTCATCCGGAAGTCTTCTTCAGGGGGCGCTTGGTGTTTTGCGTCATAGTGTCTTGCCTCCAGCAACTACGGGCCGCAGCCCGCATAGCCCGTGATGACATCAGCAACGAAGAAGAGAGTCCTTCACAGTTAGCGATAACTACATGAGACACAGCTACTCATCTCCGACAAGTACATACAGAGTTTATTCTTGTGAATTCATGAATTCATATCCATAATTATTATAAGCCATATCTGATTATAAACATTTATCTAATGAAATCTCGAAAAATAATAAAATATGTTTTTATATTTTATAAATACAAAATTGTAACAAAAGAAAAAAATCTAGAACAATAAAGTGACAAATTTCATTTAATTACACTAGTACTTGAATTTTATAATATAAAATTAATTTGATTCCTTTGTATTTAATATTGTCACATTTAAAATTTACTTTTAGATGCATGTGGTGAAAATGAAATACTAGTAGATTGTCCTGATACTCTCTGCGAACCTAAAACGTGTTCGGAATTAGGTTTCCCGATAGCTTGTCCTGGAGTAACTGTAGATGGTAGTTGTCCAGGGCAGCCTGGCTGCTTATGTAAATCCGGTTACTTACGAAATGATGACGGTGTTTGCATACCTTCTAAAGATTGCCGTAAGTTGATTTATAAGTACTTTCAAATATTTATGTAAATTAATGATATGATTTTTAAAATTTAATAGAACGACATGCCCATTCCAGTCCCTAGTAAATACAATAGATTTATACTTCTGTGTATACATCAATTATAATAAAAAAAAGTGCTACCGATAAATAAACATAATGTATCACAATTGTGCTATTTAAAACAAATTAAAAATACTGAACGTTGAACACTGCAATTTAAATTATGCATTTGTGAACAGCGTCCTGTGGAGGCGATTCAAATGCAAAGCCTGGTTGTGGAATAAACTGCGGCAGACTATGCTCAAATTACGATAAAGGCCCAGTTGGTTGTCCTAAAATATGTAAATTCAACGCATGTGACTGTAAGAATGATTTTGTTTACGATGAAACACTGAAGAAATGTGTTTTGCCAGAAGATTGTGGTAAATATATTCAATTTAGCTAGTAAACATATAAATAAATTAATTTACTACAAATGAATTACACTAGCAAACTTGTCCACAAGTTGGGGCTCATGTTTGATTTTTTTTTCAATATATGAATAGAGATTGTAGACTGAATTAATCTTAACGAATAATTTTAATATTAATAAAAAAAAAATGAAAAGCTCGAGCTTCACATGTACTTAGATCTAAAAATGATATAATGCTCCCATAACGAGAATCAAATGCCCACTCATTCATTCACAAAATTAGATTAAACGTTGTCGTAGCTAGATTATATACACTCTATTATACTTATCTTGAGTAATATATCAGGTATTTTGCATTATCTGTTAAAGAATATGTGGTTTATGTTATAAAGCGTTTTCGGAAATTTGTTAAACATTCAATGAACATCCTAATATTCTTTATCATAGATTCAACATCTAATGCCTCTGCATCATCTCAAAGTTCAAGTTCATCCATAACTAAAAGTATAACATCCAGGCAGTCATCGTTTAATTCATCATCGTCTAGTTCATCATCATCAAGTTCATCTTCATTGTCAAGTTCTGTATCTTCAAGTACATTGTCATTGTCTTCAAATACTACAAATGCTTGTAACTCAGATCATGAAAACAACCGTAAGTCAAACAAAATTTAGTGTATCGACTTTTTTAAATTTTATCTTAGGTATCATATGTTATATATATCTCATTATCTAATGATAAAATTATGAGTTATAGTTAGAATAATATTCAATACAATGACTGTTTATACGCTGAACCAGATCTTGTATTCTAGAATCCCGGTGGTAAATTTTAGAGTTACAACATTAACAATTATTCCATATCCCTTTATATTTATATACTAAACCAATAAGTTGATTTTAGCGAAATGCACTGGACCTAATGAAGTATATGACGAACATCCAACGATCTGTCCGCCGCAAACCTGTGACAGTGTTGGCAAGAGTTACTCTTGTCTCGCTTCAGTAGAGCCATTAGAAGGAGCCTGTGTTTGCCGTAAAGGTTATCTTAGAAATAACGATGGAGTATGTATTGCTGAAGAAGATTGCTGTAAGTATTTTCACTTAATGTCAGTATATTTGTGTGATATATAATATTTATTGATCATTGATTTAATGACTTGGGCTACTAAGACATTCAGCTATGATTTCATATTTGGATTAATCTTTAAGAATTTGTTTTTATTTAGTTTTTAATAGAATTTAAATATTTTAACAACTATTAAAATATTTGAAGTTATTAAACATGTTTTATTATTACCACAATGTAATTTTAGCTTGCGGTGGAGATCCTAATGCAGTACCAGGTTGTGGCGTGAACTGTGGAAGATTATGCTCAAATTACAATAAGGGACCGGTAGCGTGTCCAGAAATTTGTAAATTAAATGGCTGTGATTGTAGGAAAGGTTACGTATATGATGACAATCTTCAAAAATGTGTGCTTCCGAAGCAATGTTGTAAGTTTGTATTTCCTTTATTCTTTTATGGAACTTGGAATGGTAAATAAGTAATTACTTGATTGAAAATAGTATCCGCCATTTATAGACATCATCACTACTAAGATCATAGCAAAGTACCTATACTAGGATGCCCGTGGTTCCCTTCATGTGTAGCCATTCTTAAGATTTGTCTAATGGCTCTATACTTGTAATTTTTTTACCATATCTCACTCTTTAAAGTGAAACTCAGAAATACTTATAAAGAAATATACAAAATAGTCTATATAAAACTTTTCACTAGAGTATTCACTAGAGTATTCACCGATCCGTATCTGCAACATATATAAATATATAATATCACAAACTCTGTGGATTTGTTGTAGCACCAGTGTGTGGAGTACACGAGGTGTTTTCAAACTGTACCAATGGTGGATGTTCACCAAGGAATTGTTCCCAGTGGGGGAAACCTATACCTTGTATCAAATTAGACCCTTCAGCTTGCAAGAAAGGATGCGTTTGTGAAAACGGGTACTTACGAGCTGACAATGGGACTTGTATACCTGATGACCAATGTCGTAAGTAAATCAAGATCATACAATACGCCATCTACTATTAAATTATTAAGACGAAATTATTATTCGTTACATTAAATTTTGTATTACTATTTTGTATTGGTAATTTAATATGGAATTTTGATATTAAACTTTCGATTGAAAAGAGCAACAGTTAAGTTTCTTGCCAGTTCTTTTCAGATGAATAATTATGCTTTCCGTATTGACCAAAAAATAAATAAATGGCGTATCCATGAGGTCTAAAAAGTTCTGTATAAATAAACGTTATTCAAATTGTATTCTTTTATTTATTTTTTTAATCTGAACTCGGCTACCACTGCTAGAGAATTATTATATAGAAAGAGCTTCTGTTCTTTCAGGTTCTCCTCACAGAAAACTAAATTATAAAAAATATTGAAGACATAATCTCACAAATATTATATCTTCTTATAGAATTCGTTACTTTTCATTTATGTAGGTATATGTGCAAAATTTTAATTCCTATCGAATTGTGTTATATTTATGATCTAAATATTTTTAGGTAAATTTTATACCCCAATTTCGTAGTTTGTTATTCGTAGTCCGTATTTTATTTCTACATTCAAAAAGCGTAAGTATACATTTACCAAGTTTTAAATATCTTGGATCACTGATTTAAGCTATACATTGATCTATGAAGACAATAATATTATTAATTTGAAATATTTACTACAGTAACAACAATATTGCATGTAATAACACAACATATTTTGAGCGCACTCTGTTAGCTAATTAATTTACGCTATAGATCAAAACAATTCACTTACTATTTGTAAGTAGCAATCAAGTACTTAACGAGGAGGGATCCGTCAAACAACACTTCAACCATAAACTTAAACTAAACATAATAACGTAGGTATATCATTGTGTTTTCTATTTTATGGATGAAAATAAGATGGTAACCTTGTTTGCGCTGTCGGTATATGCTAGTGAGGCACCAGTGAAGAATGATAGGTAAGGATTAAAGGCAGGTCACTTAGCTTGTCGTCATAGATTCATCAAAAATTAAGCAAGATGGTTTTCAGGGAAACCGCGAAGAAAACAAGCTGCCAGGGTATATCCCTATTAATGGGGCTATTAATCTCCGTTGCTTATGTTACGAATAATGCTTTCCTCCCACTTCATCGTGTATAACTAGTGCCGTTAAATCCAGATCGTTACCAATTTTTTGTGAATTCTGCGTCTTTGCGAATTTGTCAAATCCATATCGATTTATATATTTATTATTTTAACACACAACTTTGTTTGCGTGATAAGGATGTATTCATTATGTAGGATAAAAAGTAGTCTATAGTCCATCATATAGTACCTATGTGTATATGTTTCACTACAGTTATGTCGTTAAGGCGCCAAGAGTTAAAAAAAAGAAATTTCATATGCACATTCATAATACATATAAGTAAGGATTATTATGTGTTATCTCACGTTCGTTTGGTAAAGTCTTAAGTTATATTTTACTGACTGTATCAGTGACCACTTTCACGAGACTGGAATAAAAAGTTATCTTTCTGGAAGTTAAATACTAGATGCATTCAAATTCATGACGACTGGTCAAGAAAGTATAAATAAAGGAATAACTAAACTTCAAACAGACAATGAATATCATTAATAATGCATATTACATTATTTGCTTTATTGAATGTTACTAAAAACAATTATGTATTTTGATTGATATTACAGCTAGGTGTTTAGGTCAGAACGAAGTATACAATACTTGTCCTTTAGTTTGTCCACCGCAAACTTGTGAGGCTATAGGCAAGACTTATTATTGTCCTTTTGTCCCGGCCAATAGAACCGCAATTGAGGGATTTTGCAAGCCGGCTTGTAGATGTCAATCTGGTTATTATAGAAATCTAATCGACCAATGTATATCCAAAGAAGATTGCTGTGAGTATTATTGTTAATTTTCACAAAGAGAAGTTGACTAGATTTAATTTTAATCGAACCAAATCAATCGCAGAAGCCATTAAGTTTGCACTGGTGTATGAATGATAGAATCCATTGCTGAAACCTTGGAAAGTTATTGTTGAGAAGTATTGGAAATTTCAATAGCGAATCTGAATCTGAAACAGTAAAGATGACCAGTCAACATTATTCGAAACTGTTTACCGAATTATGTTTACTTGATTGCTCAGCTATTATAGATGTTGAATATTTTAAGATGAATATAAAAGAAGTATTAAGAGCAAATACTTGTTGCTCCTCTCCTCCAATTTTTGTTTAGTATAAATATGCTAAGAGACACTGAAATAATTTAAAATTTCTCAACATTTAAGAGCAATTTTGTATATGATTTTGTAAGTCATATCAGGTTATATCTACGAGATCTTTTCTCGATTTTTCTGCATGATTTTTGTTCTTTTAGTTTTTAGTAAAACTGTGAACGTTATATGTAGTGTAATGTATATAATGTAATGTATGTTGTAGGTATAATATAATATATCCGTTTCGAAATTATTGAGCTAATATTATTATTTGTTAATTTTAATATATTTTTATGATTTTAGTAAAATGTACGGGACCACATGAATACTTCACATGTGGCGGTGCATGTGATAACGTTTGTGCTACTATAAAGACACAGAATCAAACCCACTGCCCCATTATTAACAAGACTTGCAATAAGAAATGTTATTGTGAGAAGGGTTATGCTCGTAATGCTAATAACGTTTGTATACCAATCGATCACTGTGAAGGTACCATTTTATAATCTTTATTTTATCTGGTTAAGGATATTTCACTGTAGGTGTCTTACTAAAATCACAAATATTAAAGTAAATAATAAAATTGTAAAGATATTTATTACTCTCCCACAATTGGGTGATTTGGATTCTGGATAGATTGACAAAGAAATTTTGTATATCTGTAAGCATGTCCTTTGAGATAAAAAAGAATTTTCCGAATAGATTTGGAACTGACGAAGTCATGAGGTAACAAACATAAAATAAAATAAAAACCGACTTGAGAATCTACTATATTTCTTTTTGAAGTCGGTTGAGAATAATCACGCCGTTAATAAAGTTACCTCGACAATGTGGAGACAGTAGTCTAATGTCATGGGAAAAAGTCGTTTTATTTTTCAATTTATTGTATTTTCTGATAATGACAATAGTAGTAGTGTCCAATAGCAGAGCGTAAAGGTAAGACAACTCATAAGTTGTCTTACCTTTACGCTCATATTCGCTTTTATTCATAAATAAACATGGATAATATAAAATAATAAATAATATAAAATAATAACAGCTTCCCCCGTGGGCGAATTGCCTATATTTTGACTATTCATATCGTAATATAATTTTAGGCCCGGTTTGTGGAATAAACGAAGTATACTCAAATTGCTCAAATGGTTTATGCAAATTTGAATATTGTTACCAATATGGAGATCCTGTGATGTACTGTCCAAAATTCAATACAAGTAATTGTATTGGAGGTTGTGTATGTAAAAATAAATATTTGAGGAACAGTGATGGAGTTTGTATACCTCAAGCGCAATGTCCAGGTAATTAGCATGAGAATAATAATTATGAAATAAAAATATTTATTTATTTATAATAATAATATACAAATAAGACGTAATTTTGTATTATCACTAACATTTTGGCCGTTATTTTGTACGTGTGCCGGAATAAATATACCGACAACAGAAACTTCAAAAAAATATTATTTTGGCATCTGTTAGTCATATTAAGACTCCCTCATATTAATTTTTCTTGTCCCCCATCCTTACATATTAATTTCATATTTTCCATGTACGGACATTGTCTAGTTACAGTCTTATTATATGATTAAGATAAAATAAAATTATAAAGAGGAAAGATTTCATTTTCGGTTATAATAGATGAACTCAAAAAATATTATATTGATTTCAAAATTTCTGTTACTTGTAGAAAGCGAGTAACATAGGATATACACGTATTTTATTCGTATTTTTCAAAAAACTACTTGAAGGCGTAGCGGGTATTAAATATTATTATTATTATGAACCATTAGTATTTTATTATAAATTGTCATTAAGAGACTTATAAGTTCTTAATAAAAGTTTATAATAAAATATCGTTTTTGTTTACAGTTCATTCTTTTTTCAATACACATCACCATATGATCCATTTCCTGAAATATAATTGTTATCCAAAATATAATCAAACTCACTATATATTTGAATATCTGTTAATAATATATTTTGTTACGCATGTTTTTTTTTGTTAAAAAGCTACTTTGCCAACAACTGTAGCACCGAGAGAAGATGATGAAGACATTCAAAACCGTTTGATACAAGGAAACATCATTTTCACTGTCAACTTTTTATATGTTAGTATTTTTCGTGCAATATCAATAGGTGTTTTAGTATCTAATTCATCTATAATTTTTATTTTGTTTGTACAAACTATACATGTTATTTTCTTCAAATGAATAGTTTTTTATGTTCATATTTTTTTTACTGTAAATGTACATTAATTTTTTACATAGCGTTTATATTTAAAATTATGAATTAAGAGTCGAAAAAATTAATTGAACAAATTAAATTATCATTCTCTCTATCCGTCAAAATTAAGAAATTGCATGTTTTAACTAATAATTATGTGACCCACAATACCATTTTTGTATTTGAATATGAATTACTAGTTAAATAATAATAATATTATTTAAACAATTTGAATTGTGTAAAGAAATGTACCTTGTTATGTTTGTAAAAAATGTTTTTAGGAAGTTATCAAAAATAATCCACTTACCAGCGTAGTGATGTCGCCGTTCTCTGTTTTGATTCCTTTAGCTGAGTTAGCGCTCTATACTCAATCAGGAAACTCTTATAATCAACTGCTGAAAACGCTTAATCTTCATAGCAAAGATGAGGTAAAGTAATAGTCTTTAGTTTTTTTTTTCTATTTGTGATTAAAATATTTTAGAGAAATATTAATTGAATTTTATGTTTTGTATCTTGACAATTAATAAAGTATTTTTCAATGTGTATAAGATACGACGTATATTTCCGAGACTCATAAATTCGCTAAAGTCACAACAAGAAGCTATATTGGATTTGGCCGCGAAAATTTATGTGAACAAAAATTATCAGCTTACGGATAATTTTGAAAAAGACTCTTGTGATATTTTCGGCGCTGAAGCGGAAAATATTGACTTTAGCAACACTCAGCAAGCTGCTGATACTATTAACGATTGGGTATGTATCTACATTCATATATATATATATATATATATATATATATATATATATATATATATATATATATATATATATACTATAATTAAATATTTAAAATATTTACTATTTTGTGCGATAAATACGAGATGTTTACAGAAGTGACAGACATAGTCAAGTTTTATGAACAAAATATAATAACAGTTGATTTTCAATAATATGTAAAATAGAAAAAAATACAAAAAAAAAATCCTTTTCAAAATAAATAGACATGTTACATTTCTACCTTATTGTCATAGTACCGGATTCTGTTTCGTATTCTTACGAGTATTTTCGGGTATTGTAACCGAAAATAAATGTCGGGGCTTCATTGATGTGAAAGTTGGTGTCAGACTTTCCAAGTAACTCGAATGCCTGCAATTTAAATACTTAATAAATAATAACATGCTTTCTGGAGTACAAAAATGTTCAAAGAAACATATCACTATAATTTATCCAAACTCATCCAAAGTCGTTCTTTGATACAATAAGTTCTAAGAATTTATCTTTGTTTCACTATTTATATTATATTCTTAATATTTTCAGGCAGAAAAAGAAACAAGAGAGCTTATAAAAAATCTTGTATCGCCCAATATGTTCAGTGCCAGTACACGTTTAGTTTTGACAAACTTTATTTATTTCTTGGTAAATATAGTAATATGTCTAATTTTTATTATTATTGTTATTACATTTATACTTTAAGAAAACTCTAAATAAATATATCAAATTTTAACTATATATACTTAATTATAATATTGAAATATTATCTTAAATCCATAGGGAAATTGGGAGAATCAATTTAATCTAAACGACACGAAAAATGACGATTTTCATATAAGTAATAATAAAACTGTTCAAGTACCCATGATGGTTCGAAAAGGCGTTTTTAAATATGCAGAAAGTGAAGCCCTTAATTGTAAGGTATTGTTTTCATGCTTAAAATCAAGTTTTTTTTTAATATAGCATAACAGGCGTACTCTTATGACTTCACATTGTAGTATGTACGGATTAATAATGGAAAATAAATATATAATTACCCTGATTAATTATTAAATGTTACTTGAGTTCGTTCCTGATAAGTGGTTATTTTGTAATCACCAAGAAGAATTTGCTAAAGATTGTGAAAATGAATAATTCTTATTGAATCTGTCAAGCTAATAGTCGAAATTGCAGATTAGTGAAGTTACATACTTATAGATTAATAATTAAATGGTTTTTGCAGATATTGGAAATAACATATAAAGGAGCCAACTTCTCATATGTAGCTTTCCTACCTAATGACAAAGAGGGCTATAATGCAGTTGCAGAAAAACTTAGGGATCCTGATGTATTTAATACAGCTCTTGATTCATTACAGTACAATACGTGTTATATTTACATACCGAGGCATGAAATAACTACTAGCATAGATTTAGTTGATGTTCTTCAAACGGTAAGATAAGGTTTTATACAATTACTATATATTCGTATAGTATTTTAAGTGTATTAGTTTTTACATTATATTATGGTATTAACAGATCAATGTTACCGACATATTTGACACCAGTAAAGCAAATTTGAGTGGAATCTTAACAAACAATGATGAAGTAGGTGTATCAGCTGCTATACAGAAGGCTAATATAAAACTCGATGAAACAGGGACCGAAGCAGCAGCTGCGAATGGTAAAATAATTTAAAGTACTAATAATTAAATTCTACAAATTATATATAATCATATATCTATCATACATCAAGCATGTAATGAGACTTATAGTGCATTTTTTACTTTGTTATTTTAGATAGCAATAATAATGCTATTTGTGTAAAAATAAAAAGCTAGTATCAAATAATTCTTTACAAACCCTTTTCAATCCGATTACCTATTTCTGTTATTATTATGTGATTTGGTTAATAATGAGATAATTCTATAGAATAAATACAGTAGCAATTCTTTTTTTCAGCAATCGGTATGGGCATAACATCAGTGTCTCAGCCTCAAACTGTATATACCTTTAAAGTTGATCATCCTACTATATTTTTTTTGCTGTTCGAACGAAATCCATTATTCTGTGGCGTTTATGCTGGAAATGAATAAGTGTTACGCTTTAACAAATTAAACATTAATAAATTATTACGTATTTATTTTAATGTAAGAAAATACTATTAAAGTTTACTATTTGTATCATAAATTCCTGGATGAACTTAATTATAGCAAATATATAATGTTATTTAAAATGCTTGTGCCACAGTTTATTGTAGTCTTATTTTATTACCACCTTTTTACTATTACCCTCTACGTACGTTACAGAATAAGGAAATTTAATGAAATAGACTACTTCTAGAGGATATACCAATATACAAAATTTTAAGTTAGATCTTTAAGAAAACAACTGTGAAAATCTCATTCAATTTAATGTAGTAGCTTCGGCGTGATGTTAAAACAAACATGTCCGCTGTTAAGAAAAACAGTGTTAGGAGCCAACTCGCCTGTACCCAGATTATGTAGGATTCTGAATGCTCACAGCGATCAAATTGACAAATTTTGGATCCATCAACAGCAGATATAACTTATTGAGGAAAATCTTAGACATAAGTTCTTAATCTACTTATTATTCAGATATTGTTATTGTCATTGTTAATAATTATTAAAAATTATAATAGTGCATGTTCGCCTGTAAAAGACTTTTACATTAGGCAAAATTATTTTTTGTGTTGTTGATTTAGTAGCATGTAAAATGTAAAAGTTGTAGGTGAACCTTATTAAATAAATAAATAAATATAAAGATAGACAGATAACAAACTCAAAATGTTTTTATTTTTCAGTTGGTCTTATTACGACCTCTCACATTAATATTTCTTAAATATTTTTCATGGAGATATCTACAATTTACATAGTTACAATTTTATTACATTAGTAAGCTGATGATGAAGTTTCGAAATTGATCGCGTGTATAAATAATAAAAACCATTTTAATGAAGACATTGAAAAAAGTACAAGTATTTTGAATAATATTGTGTAGTTAAAAAATACAACTGGCATTAAAAAGTTATTGCAAATATTTTTATTTTGTTAACATACATATATTTATATTAACAATAAATAATCATAATTTGATATTTCAATTTAGTATTTTATTGTCCGAAATAATGTGTTGAATAATTACAATACATAGACTTGTCACCAAATGTTATCATATTTAGAATAATAGAATATACCTAGCTTCAGAGCAATTTCTTAGAAAAATTTGTTTATCACTACAGGTAACACATGAGTAGTGCCATGACTAGTTTAGTTAATACGGCCTATGATGTGATGGTGGTTTTTCACTATGAATATTGCCAGTTTGTTTTGGATATCCCATTTAGCTGGTAATTGTTTAGACTCTTTGTCTTTCAGAAATGATTATTTTAGGTTTAATAAAGTAGTTTTTGGAACGAATGTAATTCTCGGCCAGTGTTAGAAATTTCAGAGATGTAATATAATCGGGAACAAAAATGATTAAATTTAAAAGGATCGGAACATAAAATGTATAAGCGCCTTCTATTTAACAATTAGGCGATTACCAAAATGGCCAACACAGTCCTCGGCATGTAGACAGTTTAGAGGTCTAGTGTTCATAAATATTATTAGAAAATATAGTAATTAAATTATGTTGTATTTTGAATTCGATATGCATAAGAATCTCTTGCATTTTAAATTCCTTTCCACAAGGCTTCGAACTTAGTATACAGAGGAATTCTTCATTTATTGTTTAATGATAAATATTTGGTGTTTACTAGATTGACAAATAGTTATCAGTAGGTAGAAATGATAATCGTTAAGAAGAAAAGTATTTATAGTTTAGATATCTAATATAATTCATAGCAGAAAGTTAAAGATGTAGTATTTACAAGTTATAAGTAAGAAAAGACGTTAAAAGAAGTACTGAAAATTGTAGAAGAGTATTTTATTCAACAATTAGGTTTTTTAAAATGATGACTGATATGTAACTTAAAAGATATAAAGAACATAGGTAGGCTTTCCCCCATAAGGGGGTTTTTACCAGGAGTTGCCACACATGACAGGTGGATTGACAACTGCAATTAGGATTTGATAATGTTTTGAGAAAAATGATGCTGCCCATTCCTTTACTGTTAAGTTCACTTAGTTGTCTCATACGACATCCACGGGAAAAGAAAGACATGTGGCCCATAATATGCTGGAACCACATGCCTGTATTAAGCATAGTTGCCATTATTAGCTTAATTATATGATGCATATGATAAAAACTATCACACTGTAAACACATGTGCAAAAAGGACATATAAGTATTCTTAAAAAGTAATAACTTATTATTTTTATTACTGAAATCGGAAATAGTATTAAATATATTTTTATGATTTCGTGTTATTAAATCGTGCTCTTTTTTATGACAAAATACTTTGTTATCGACAGCTTAAATTTATATACAACACACGAAAATTAAAACGTGTAAAATAATTTTCATACTTTATTATATAAACAAATCGATTTAAATGAACAATAACATTTATATTGACTTTGGTTTTCGGTTCTGTAAAAAATACAATCAATGAATCAAATTTACAAAGTATTTTGTAAACGGTCTAGTGAAGCAGAAATATTTTTTGAGATCTTATCATTTTACAAAATGGCGGAATAATATTAATGTAATATATAATATTATGATTATTTGTAAATAATTGATATTTGGATGATGATATTATTTTTCCTCAAACAGCAATAATATATGAATATCGAAATTGAAAAAAAAAAGAATAAAAACTATTCCTGTTTGTGTTAAGATTTATAATTGTAGTTATTTACCTAGCTTGTTTTGTACTAGAATTTTTATATTATTTACAATATTATTTTAATAATAAATCTGGACCTCAATTAAATATTAAGCTGAAATGACCGCGTCAACATAAATATCAATTCAATTCGCAATTACACGTCAATTAACCTCGCTTTATATATAACGTCGTCTACATAATTTATACCATGATCAATACAATAAATGATATTTATGAGGTGTGCATATAACATTATTGCCCTCAGTGCAAGATGATTATTAAACTTGAAGAGTTACATTAAATTTATAGTAATAACATTTACGTATATTAGCTTTTTAGTTAGTTCTGCTTAATAGTAACCTAAATAAAACTGAATAGTTTAATATTATGTTCAGAGCACTATTATACCTACTTGTTCAACAGTTAGTCCATTACCCTAAGTTTGTCTCGAAAAGATTGCTCTCAGCAATAAGACCGTTTACTGTACTTATACAATTGTACCGTTATATTGTTTAATGCAAATAAAGTATTCTCATTAATTCATTAATTCAAGAGTTTAATTAATATATATTTAAATAATATATTACTATATAAATATTTAATGTCAGGTAATGGTAGATAAATTAAGTAGGGATTTCTGTCTGATGTTTGGATTAGGTTCAACTAGCCGTGGTCACGTGGAAAAAAGCAAATACTCTGTTGATTATTAAACACCTAATTCGTGTTATGATGGCCAGGTCAGTATGTCTATGTTTCGGTGATTTTATGTCAAAGTCACATCATACGATAACATAATTACTCCACATTACTAATACAATAAGTAAAGAGGATTCTTCAGGGTCGGCAACACGTGCGTAATATTCTTAGTATTGCAGCCGTTCATAGGCTACGGTAACTGCTTACCACCCGGTGGGCTGTATGCTTGTTTGCCATCTTAGTGGTATAAAAAGAAATACAATTTGCCCTGTAGTCCCAAGATAAAATAGGGCATCCCTTCTTTTCTCGTGGGTGCCGTAAGAGGTAAAAGAACTTAATGGCCGAAATATGAGCAACAGCGTCGTTCTTAAAACATCACCAAAACCTTGATAAGTTGATAATCCGTTTTCCAAGCGTGACAACGAGCCAAACCCTCCTTTTAAAGGAGGTTTATGTTCAGCAATGAACAGCAAACGGCTGATATGACCATGATGACTAATACAATTATTTCATATATTACAAAAATGTAATAATTGTCATAAATGTAAAAATCGTACGTTACTAAATAGAAAAAGTTAAATAACTGTTCAATTTGTTAATTAAAAATTGACTCGCACAACATATTAAACGATGTTGTCCTCATGTCATTGTTATGTTAATTATGTTTACATAAACAGGTTTTGTGCTAATACGTTACAATCAATTTAATTCGCATGATACAAGTATCAATCGTGACGCACGGTAATGTACGAGTATTTTTTAATGATAATTATTAAAAAAAAAAGTTATACACAATAACTATTAAGGGGAAATTTATATTGTTTTAATAGTCATTGTGAATTGTTTAAACAAGTGCACGACGTGACTGATGACTATAAAAGCGGTAAAGTCCTTGATGCATAGCCAGAGAGCGTTTGTTTGTGAATATGTTGAAGTTAGTTTTGTTTGCAGCCTTAGTGGCTAATGTGATATTTACAGTGTCGGCGACAGGTATGAATTAGAACTGTATGGTTTGTAATAATATAATAACGTACTAATTGTTAAACAAAATAGTTTAACTATGGAGTAAACGATTACTAGCAATTACCTACAGCTTGCAAGGTGCTGCATAGAACTGCATCTTATAGAAAGTAATACCACCAATTAGTACTTCGATTCCAGTAAATTTATATTTATAGGGAGTATAAGGTGCTTACTGTGTATAGCAATTTAATTTCGTTGTACGGGTGAACCCATAAAGTATTTTTGCTGGCGTTGCATTTTACTTTACAGATTGCAAGCATGAATGAAAACACGTTATAAATACGAATAGATTTAACACTGAAACTATAAATCGTTAATCTGTGACTAATAATTTAGTAGTGTATTTATAATATGTTTAGCGATTTGCAGGCATATTGAGTGTTACGTTCACTATATTGGAAACGGTCAATAAATGCCTCCGATTGTCTCATTAAGAATTATAATCGTGACCATATTTGTTTGTTTGATCATATTTATTATCAAAATAAATATGTATGTCTATAAAATAAATATGTATAAATATTCAAAAAAAGTATTTCACAGAAACAAAGAAGTTCAGCAGTTCGTCCGCGAGTGTATCATCATCATCATCTTCATCATCATCCAGATCATCTTCATCCAGTGGTTCATCTACATCAACTTCCTCTTCGAGCAGTCAATCTAGTAGTTTATCATCTGCTTCATCAAACTCCACGTACTCTAATTGTAATAATACAAACAATGAAGGTAATACTCGTATTTAATGAATTATTAAAGATTTTAATTGTAAAAAGAAACATATTACACAGCATTTGTTAAATCTGAAGTAGATTTTTTCATAACATAACATAAAGTAACTAGGTTATTGTACAACGAAAGCAAAGAAAATATATTCATAATACTATAAACTTTAATGGGGCAGTTAAAAGCAATTGTCAACTGTTACAGCTATAGGTAATATAAAATCAATACTCCTTCATATTTTGTATAAATATAAGAGTAATTTGAATTGAATATGACAGAGACGAGTTTACCGCCTTCATTCAGATTAATTTGTTAACGGTGTTGTAATCACCGAAATATTTGTTTCATCTCTTTTGTTATTTTTAAAACATATCCATTTTTTAATCCGATATCTATTATACATATATAACGCGAACTGTTTTGACTTTATCCAGAAGTCTCCTTAAGGGGGCGTATGACGTTTTTCTCCTCTTTTCTTTCTTAAAAGAATGCTAATGTCAACTAATGAGTTCAGATTTTCTATAGTTTTTGGTATTGGAATAGAACATAGGTTGTTTTTTTTCTCGTCCAATTAGATAGATAGATTAATTCTTTATTTTTTTTTTATTTAATTAATGTCTACATTATACGAATAAAGTCACAGGTATAGTTAATAACATAAGAGAAGCATTCAGAACGAATTTAAGTCCTATTACATGTTATTATAATATAATAAATGCGAAAGTTTGTAACGATGGATAGTTGTTTATTACTCTTTCACGCAAAAAATATTGAACAGATTTAAATGAAATTTGAAACATAGGTGGTTTATATTCTAACTTAGCTCATAGGACACTTTATATACTCACGTGGGTGAAGAAAAAGGCTAGTATTCAATAATTTAATAGTTGTAAGATAAAAAAATTACTTCAAGGTTATGCTAACCTAATAATCCAAACAATGATCTCATATTATATAATTGATTTTATATTATAATGTACTTACACTTGTTATTTTGGGAAGCTCCACTGTTGAATTATAAGTATAAACATACACATTTTCTTATACATTTGTTAAATTTTGTTTTTTATAATCTATGTAAAGGCATAAACATTTGCACGTTTCCATAACAATATTCAATTAAATTACCAAACTTTTTCAATATACTCAGCATGTATAATATACGAGTACCTCCATTCCTATATATGGATTGCATGTATGAACTTTGACAAACAATACCTCAAAGCAATTGAAATAATAAATTGATAGAAAAGTGCGTTTCAATATTCACAAGAAGTTTGAAATGCCTTAGGAAACTCCACTTGTCGTTTTTCCTTGCTGATTGTTACCAGTGAACAGTCAATAAGGAAAACACGTGTAATGTTTTATTATTTCAGTAATATGGCCATTATAAAATTATAACTCTTATTCCATAACTATAATCTTATAACTTTTTGAGCTGTACTCTTGTAGTTTAATTGATCCATCCGCGTCTTAAAAAAGAAGGCAATTTATTATTTATAATATTTAATATATATATATATGTATATATATATATATATATATACATATATATGATATATTCTTTAGCAATATAAAGGTTGTAAGCCTCTTGGTAATAAATAGAAATGAAGCACAAGTTCTCACAGTTCATTTATTTTAGATATCATACTATTTAATCATATATTTACTTATTTTATTTAACAAATAATATAACATAAATACCCAACTTCTGTTCATCCATTGGTACTTATTTAATTATAGCTTCTTTAGGACATCCATCAACAATAAATGTGATATATTTTATATAACGATCACGTGGTTCACTATACTTATTCACTCTTGATACGTCAGGGAGCTCCGCTCTGTTCAACGGTTGGACAAGAAGTGTCCCCCACCCAAATAACAATCTTTTATATCTACCTATAGGCCGAATTCGAGTGAACAAGTCAGCGAGACCACGTGTTCTTACAATTTCATTACTTACTAATTTAAAAAAAATATTAAATTAATTTAAATTAAAATAATTTAAATTAGTTTTATAAATATTTATTGTCATGATACTTGAATAAAAAATTCAAGTATAAAAAAATTAATATAATTTAAAATAAATATCTAACACGCGCGATTGAACATATATAGTTTATATCATATCAGTCTTCCCCATAAAGAGTTTTGCCAGTAGTTGCTACGCTTGGCAGGCGAACTGGCAACCGCAGTTAGAATTTAAGTGATATTTTAAGAGGGAAGCTGCTACTCACCCTTTCTAACATTAAGTTCCCTTAGTTGCCTTTTATGACACCCACGGGAAAGAAAGGGGTAGCCTATTTTATGCCGGGATCAAAGGTGGTAATTTATATAATTACAGTATACAATTGATTAGTGACATGTTGTATATATGTATATTATGCTAATTATTCAATATATAGATGTCGCATCAGAGAATTGCGATCTATTTTGGAGTCGCGTAAATTGACTTATACGAAATTATTTTTTTCTTTTTAGGTAAATGTACTAAACCTAATGAGGTATACGAGATATGTCCTCCTAAGTGTCCATTTAGAACTTGCGGTATCGATGATCGATTAATCGATTGTATGCCGCCCCCACAAGTAGGCAACCCTGAGTGCCCACCACCAGCATGTAGATGTAAGCCTGGTTTCTTCAGAGATGACAAAGGAAACTGTGTCGAATGGGAGAATTGTCGTAAGTAATTAATGAAAGTTTCTAATTGAAACTTGAAACTCGAGTCTCTTTTAAGTATAATAATCGTAATAATCAGCTTCATAAATCTATTATGTAACATTTCATATTTATTGACGTGTGAAAAAAAAAGGAAAATTTCCCAAACGAACAGGTATAACAATGGCCCTACGATGTTATCCTTAATTTAAATTTCAACCTGTATAAAGAAAATATTGTTAGTGTGTAGTTACTACCAATTTCATTCACTATATGCTTCTCCTAATAGCTAAAATTATTCATTTGTAGTTGTTCATAAAATATTTGAACATTTACATTAAAAAACAACAAAATATTTACATTGAACATAGCCGAGTCGATCCGATAGCTGGATTGTCCTTTTTCGTTAATGATCAAGCACCAATGTTTAGCAAAACTTAGCAATTTTCGATATTCACAAGTAAATTAAGTAGTACAATAAATTTTTGGTACTTAATTAATATTATTTATATTGGAAATGACACAGTGGACCTTTTAATTACAATATTATAAATAAAGTATTAATTAAAATATTATTATAATTTTGTAGTGACGGGGTCGCAAGCCTTTTTACTTAACTTTTTGGGTTTTTCGTGGGTCGCGAATAGAAATGGTTGGGAAACAATGCATTAAGGTATTTATGGAAAAAAAAAAATGGAATTTAAACAGGTCAACATTTGTCGGGTCACTTAATTATTTAATATAATACTTGTTATTAGGTTATAGAACGTAAAGTTTGTTTATTTGTTACCTTTTTAAGGTTAATTTTATTTTGTAATTTTATAACAGATAGTTGACATGAAAAATTTTGTAATGCCCTTTACCGCAATTTACCGAGTTCATTTTTTAAACAAGATAAAACCATACTATTTTTGAAGTTAAATAATGTAATTGTTTAAATACTGTGTTTCAAAATGTGTTAAATGTATTGGCGTGATCAAATATCGTGATATGGGTTTTTTTCCATATTAAGATACGCATCAGAATAAAATTATAATTGAAAATAAAAAAATAAATTTTCTTTACCTTTCTGGTACAAAAATAAAAGAGAAAAATAAATTATAGCTGTATGCACAAATCCAAACGAAGAATACGACCCGTGCCCGGCCCCTTGCCCACCCCGGAGGTGTGACGTTGACGATCGCCTAATTAGGTGTAAAGCTCCCCCGCAAGTGGGCGATCCTGACTGTAAACCTGGCTGCCGGTGTGCAGATAACTTCGCTAGAAATGATAAGGGTATCTGTGTCCCCAGGGATGAATGCCGTAAGTTAAAACTTTCATAACTGTGTAATATTATAAGCGTATCCTGTACTAATTTATCGGAATACTAGTTTTTACCGGCAACTTTGTCTATGTAACCTGGATATATTGATTTGAATACTCTAGCAAATAGTCTATGTTCTATTTCATGCCAAATTTTGTCAACATTGGTTGGACAGTGAAGGCGCTTAATGAACGAACGAACAAACAAACAAACTCGCTTCACATTTATAATGATAAGAAGTTTTTATTGCTTTCAAAGTATAAAAGTATAGGTAACATTACAGTTTTATATATTTACCAGAGGGAGACTTTGTACAAAAGTCGAGTGCTTGGGTACCACTGTACCATTCATGTTTGTACCGTGAAGCAGTTGTGTTTGCATGGCTGTGTTTCGGTTTGAAGGGTGGGCGTATTTATGGCGTGAATTTACAGGGTACAGAGGAATAACATCTGAGTTCTCAGGAATGGCAACGCATGGAGGGAACAGTATACACTGTTATGTCCATGGTACTGCTCATGTCTATAGGCGACGGGTACCACTTTCCATCAGGTGGGCTGTTAGCTTGTTTGCTATTCTAAGTTGTATATAAAAAAAGAAAAAAATATGGTATGCGTGTACATTAAGTCATCATCATCATATCAGTCTTTAACTGTCCACTGCTGAATATAAGCCTCCCCCTACGGGGGTTTTTCCAGTAGTTGCCACGCTTGGCAGGCGGATTGACAACTGCAGTTAGGGTTTGGAGATGTTTTAAGAGGGAAGTTACTGCCCATTTCTCGACCATTAATTTCGCTTCTTACGATACCCACGAGACAGGAAGAGATGACTTGTTCTATGCCGTCCTGGCATAGAACAAGTCATCTTTTCCTGTATTCACACAGCAGTATTCATGCTAGCATTAGTTATGATAAAAGTTTAATTTTAACCACAATTTTGCACTGCCACATACACTGCCTATCTCTCGCCCAACCTTAATTACTTCTTACGACACCCACGGGAAAGAAAGGGATGGCTTATTCTATGCCGGGACCACACGGAATATTCAGTCAGTATTTGTACAAATCGTTATAGATAATATATCCATAAGACATTAATAAAATCGAATATTCATTTTCTTTTTCTATACAAAATATTGTAAATAATATAAAGCTATTAAGCCCAGATGTTAAAATATATTTAGTAGCAGCCTGCCAAAGATTTTAGAAGCGACTCAGAAATATCTAGAGTCGGGTTAAATACAATTATTATAACTTAGTATGTTAGCACACTAGATTTATAACATTGATTTGGCTTTTGCTGTTATAATGTTATAATTATTTTTAATGAATAAATAAAAATAAAAAAATGTTTAATTTTAAATATTTTCTAATTCAACAACAACAGGTATCGTTGATAAATCAAGAAATTATTTCTTATTGCCCTTCTTATAATTGTTTACAATCAATTATATTACTTAAATTACATTGAATTTTTCTTTTGATTTCAGCGCAGAATCAGTGTAAAGGAGCTAACGAGGAATATGTTAAATGTCCAGATTGTTCTCCACAGACTTGCGACAGTATTGGTAAAATATATCACTGTCCGTTAGAAAATGAAAGCAATTGTAAAGGTAGCTGCCGTTGCAAACGTGGATACTACAGAAATATCATAGGAGAATGTATCACGGAGGAGGAATGTAGTAAGTATTAGAGAGTTAAACATTTTTTTTATGTTTAAATACTTGGCCGTTTATTACCTATATAATTGTGAATTAATATAGAATATTTCAAAAATTATTACATGACAGTGATTATTGTAGATATTTTTTATTAATATTAAAAATATTTCATAATTAAAAAAACAACTACTAGATTGTTGATGGCTTAAAAAATTTTCGAGTTTTGAAATCAAGTATAAAGTCAACAGTTATGAATATATTAGGGTTTATAGTATCACAATAGGTTATTTTGCTTGCAAATATATCTACTAATATATCAAATATTCTGAATCAATTCAATGTTTTTCTTTAACTTTATGGGAGTGGGAGTAATACCTTCATTGAACTGCTAGATCACATGTCATATAAAAATATACTGCGAAAATACTCTCAATATTTCTATAATAGAAATGCGTAGGCATGTTAGATAAACAGGGATATAAGTTTTCAGTTTTGTAGCTATCATATAATTATTTTCGTATTTTGACTTGTTTCGGAGCATTATAAAAATGAATATTGTTAAACGTTTCGACATACAATGACACGCAATAGTGTGTCTCAATAGAACTTAAATGAAAATGTAAACGAATGAATATTTGACTTGAACAAAAGACATGACAAGTTGTTTCTCTATTGAATAATTCGATTTGTAAGTAATTTCATCTAGGGAGTGTTTCTGTATTAATTTCAATACTACTTCATGCTGTTAGATTGTGGAATTCTCTTTCCATGCCTATCTGTAATTCCTAAATATTTTTAAGACTATATATATATATATATATATATATATATATATATATATATATATATATATATATATATATATATATATATATATATATATATATATGATTAAACTTTATGTTAGTTTTGTGTAAACTTAAGTTTGTTTAGTGGTTTTTGTTTGAAAAAGAAGTTTGCTGAAAGAGAACTTTTCTAGAGTTAAGTTCACCTTTGCATATTTGTTTACCTTTGGAATATTTGTATGTACTATTAGTGTGTACAATAAAGTATGTATAAATAAACTTCACTTTTCAAGTTCTATTGAAATACACTAAGTATTTATTCATGTTTCTAAACTCTCTTGTTATGTGTAAGTAAATTAATGAAAAACGAATGAGCTTCGTTTATAAATAGAAGTCTAATATTTTAATTTATTTTTAAAATTAATATAGTGATGTGTAATCGAACACATGAATATTTCACTTGCGGGGGAGTATGTGACAATGTTTGTGCAACATTACAACAACAGAACCAAACGAACTGCCCTATAAAGAATATTCAATGTAACCGAAAATGTTATTGTGAAGAAGCCTATGCTCGTGATGGTGACAACAACTGTATACCTATTGAAGACTGTAAAGGTACTATTACAACGTTATAAAATTGGAATAATTCAATTTCAACTTTTAAAAGTATTTAACTATATTCACAATCAAATAAGTATCTATTAATTGTTTATTTAATTTAATCGAATTTCTATTTTCTGTGATACCACATATTAGGAAAAAAGCGTAGGATTTTAAACTACGAAATATAATCGAATTCTGATGTTAAATTTCTTTCACTTCTTATGATAAAACTTATTGTACTTACTTAATTTATGGACATAAATAACTTTATGATGACTATTGATGTCATAGGATAAGAAATTTACAAAATATTATTTCTCTTATTTATATATTAGTTTTCTTCCTATTCATATTATAATGTATTGGTAATTAGTTTATATGAAATTTATTTCATTAGAATAAGGACATTTTTTATTCGAATAAAGTTAATTATTAACATTTTCGATTAGTAATTTTTTTTCTAATCTACGGTAGATCTACTTTTTGGAACGCAATTTTAGCTAAAAAAAACGGCCAAAAAACTAAATTGTTGCTTTTTTAAAGTTAATTTTACAATTATAAACTTATGGCAATAGTGACTATCTAACAGTATATGTGGTTTCCATATGTCAACCAGACTTAGAATAATGTATTCAGAATCAATCTAAGATATATGTACTATATTTTGTAATATGGTTACATATAGTTATCTAAATATTTGAATAGTTCTAGAACATATTTTATCATTTGTTTGCAGAGGAACCATGTAAAGAGCATGAAGTATATGTTGACTGTCCAAATCCTTGCAGTCCTAAGAAATGTTCCCAAGTTGGTTTTCCAATCGAATCTTGTCCTAATCATTCAGACATTTCACTGTCATGTACAACAAAACCCGCCTGTGTTTGTGAAGGTGGATACTACAGAAATAATGACGGTGTTTGTATACCTTCTGAAGACTGTCGTAAGATTTTTTATTCATCATAACAGTTTATCTATGCTCATAACTTTATTTAGTTTTACACATTATTACAAATATAACATACTTGTTAAAATTGCTCATAATAAATCACCAAGAGACAATTATTCCTTTTTAAAAGGCCAGCAGCACACCTGCAATACCTTTAGTGTTGTGGGTTATCATGGGCGGCGGTAGTCACTTACAATCAGGTGAGCTGCATGCTCGTTCGCGCGTGTTGAGTAAGACAAGGGCAAGTGGTTGCCACGAGGAAAACTATTTGACAACTAATAACACTATAAAGTATAGGCATGCTATAGGTATCATAGATAAAACATTTGGTTAAAGATTCATAAGTTATTTTCGGCCACTTTATTTATTTGGAAGATTATCGGATTTTGTTTAGAATAATAAAAATTCCGATTTCGGAATTCAGAAACTAGAGAATATTATCTTTTCCAATTTTAAAATATTCCTGTCATAGGTAGTTGTTAGTAAAGTTATAGTTTACAGTTATTAAAAAATATTTTTTTTTGAACAGCTTCATGTGGCGGTGACCCAAATGCCAGGCCCGGTTGCGGCAACTGTAGGGAAACTTGTGCCAATTATAATAGTACAGATCCTATCATGTGCATACAGATATGCTACGAAAATGCTTGTGACTGTTTGCCTGGTTACGTTGTTGATAGTAATACTGGAAAATGTGTACTTCCAGAAAATTGCAGTGAGTATAAGTCACATAATAATGAAGTTTAAATTGATTATTAACCTTAAATTTGAATAAATTTATAATACAACTATATAATTGGGTAAAAAAATTTATGAACCATCTTTTTACACAAAACCTCTCTGTAGTGCAATATTTGACTTCTTATTTTGTGTAAACGCGGGTTCGATTCATAGTTGGCTCGTTAAAGAAGAAAATTTTTTTAGTTGGCTCAGATCTTGGTAATCTATGTTGTACGCCTAAAATTACATTTATTATTTAGTTTCCCATAGCTTCCGCTATCTGATAAATAATATTAGAGTTTTAGATTAGGAAATATATAGATTTTATTGATTTCTGAATTGTAGATGCCTGCCTAATTTGGGCTTCTATTAGTTTTGTAAATAAGCATTAAAATTTTCAACAAACAACAAACAAGTAGTTATTAGTATCAGAGTATTTATTTATTACATGGAATAAATTATGATTTATATTATACATTTGTTTACACTTCCAGCACCTATTTGCGGAAAAGATGAAGTTTACACAAGTTGTGTAAATGGTGGATGTGATAAGAAAAATTGTTCTCAACTATCAAAACCAACTCTCTGCATAGATCCAATTAAATGTTTGGGTGGATGTACTTGTCGTAAAGGTTACTTGAGAGCTCAAAATGGAACTTGTGTTCCGTTAGATCAATGCGAACCTGGTAAGATATTCAAATATTCATTGTATATAAATAGATATCTGAAATGACTGTAATTTCAATAACAGATCCTTATAAGATTTGTATATTTATATATTTGTGTAACTTGTTGCATAATTATCTCCGTACTTAGTTTTTTATTTCGTGTAAATGTAGGCTCGATTCATAGTCGGCCCAGTTCAAGAAGATAACTTTTCTAATTAGTTTAGATCTGGGTAATCCACATTATGTCCCTAAACTAATATTTTTCATTTAGTTTTCCATAATTTTCAGTTTCTGAAAAATATTATTTGAGTGTAATTGGGGGAATAAATAGATTTTCTTGATTTATAACTTCTAGATGCCTGTCTAATTTGCGATTTTATTACTTTGATAAATAAGCATTCGACTAAGTATAATAAATAAATTTTCGAAATATTTCTTTACTTCGAGTAAATTATGATTTATATTATACATATATTTACAATTTCAGCACCTATTTGCGGAAAAGATGAAGTTTACACAAGTTGTGTAAATGGTGGATGTGATAAGAAAAATTGTTCTCAACTAACAGAACTAACTCTCTGCATAGATCCAATTAAATGTTTGGGTGGATGTATTTGTCGTAAAGGTTATTTAAGAGCTCAAAATGGGACTTGTGTTCCATTAGATCAATGCGATCCTGGTAAGACATTTAAGAATTCATTTTGTATACATATCTGAAATGATTATAGTTCCAGTATCTCCTTATAAGATTTACAGTATTTAACCAATTAATGCGCGGATTTTGCGCGGAACCGGCCCACGCACTAAATTCGAATAAGCATACAATAAATATATACTAAGCTCTATAAATACAATAGGCGTGAAGGTATAATAAAAATAAAAAAATATAAATAATATTTATAAGTGGCGAGAGGTACTCGGAATAGCGCAGATCGAAACACGTGATGCGCGAGAGGGTCTTGTTCGAGACGCTTAAATGGTTAAACTAAAAGAGGTCGAAAAGAGATTATCGTGACTACATATCAGGATTATTTCTTTAAAATAGTTTCACATAAGATGCATATGTATAGTATGTAGTTATGTATAGGTGCATATATGAGTGTGTATTTAAAAAAATGTCCAGGTTGTCCTGCGGGAGAAGTTGCTTCAAAATGTCCTCCAGTCGGTTGCAACTCTGAATATTGCCCAACGTCGAATAATTACACTTCTTATTGTCCAACACCTAAAATATGTGGTCAGCCAAAATGTGTTTGTGAATATGGAAAACGTCGAGATAGGAAAACTGGAAGATGTATTTCTAATACCGACTGTCGTACGTACCAATGATTTTTTTTTTTACTTTTGATAAACCCTTAAACAAAATAATTTTAAGTTATTAAGGATTCCAATTTTAAATGAATTAAGATTATAATTTATACAATACAATATTTTTATATTTTAATGTCAAATACTTCTTATGATTATAAAAATCATCATATTTTGTGTGATAAAAAGAGTGGATAAAATCTTTTGAATGTTGAAGCGAATAATAAAATTGGTTTTAAAGATTTTCTTGATACGAAGATTTTTATACTAAAAAATATACTATTAATGTTATTAATAATATTTAGTGCACATTCGATCTGCATAATAAAAGCTCGTTTATTAAGATGTCTGAATAAATTATACCTCTTATTAACTTTGATCTAAGAAGTGGAAAATGACTTAATATACCTCTTAAATTTTTTAGCACCTTTTCCTTGTCTCGGTGGCAATGAAACTTATTATGATTGTCCTTCGACATGTCCTGGCGAGAATTGTTTAGATTATTTACACAATTCAACGTATTCCGATATAAAGATTCTTGTCAGGGTACCATGCCAACCACATTGCCGTTGCGATGAAGGATATTACAGAAACTCTTCTGGTTATTGCGTGGACAGAGGGCAATGTACTGGTAAGTTGCAAAATAACAAATAGACTTTGTTCCACAAGAAAAACCACCTACTGTAGTCGTTCTAATTTTGATTTAAAACTCAAATTTCGGAAATGATTTTGATGCAATTTCTGTGTTATTATATTATTAAAGTTTATCTTATATCATCATATCAACCATTTTGCAACAATAATTAAGCTTTGGTGACTTTTAAGACAGGTACCGCTGCCTATGCCTTGACCATTATTTATTTATTATTTAGCTCTTAGGGCACCCACGGGAAAGGAAGGGATCGTCGTTTTGCCGGGAATCATACAGCAATTTCGAATAGAAAACACGAGATAGTTATTTCATTTATGCAAACTAAGATGTTATATTTTCGTTAAATATATGATAAACTTAATCTATAGCCTCATACAACATTAAACAATTTAGGTATTCTATGTAAAAACATCCGTTGATATTGACGTGTTTTTTCTACTGTGGGTTTGCTGGAAGAGAATGTATTTTATTAGTGTGTACAATAAAGTATATATAAATGAATAAATATTTTTTATTTCAGAATGCCCTGAAGATGAATTTTTTACTAAATGCCCCCCAATGCAATGCGATGCTGAGTATTGTCCTCTTTCTAGAAACGAACCTTTAACTTGTAGTGGTTCTAAAGAATGTAAAAGACCAAGATGTTTATGCGGTTTCAACAGCCATAGAGATAGATTTACTGGAAAATGTATTGCAACATATAATTGCCGTATGTATTAATTAATTATACCAACTATTATTTTCTTGTATCCAATACACTAATAATTTTCTTTCCAATATAGGCAAATTATTATACACAATAATCTTAATATCATATAAATTTGTTATTTTGATTAGTTATATCATATTATATATATAATTTATAATTTAAAATTCAAATACATTTGTAGCTCCATTTCCCTGTGAAGGGCCAAATGAAGAATATCAGTCTTGCCCCCCAGTTTGTCCCGGACAGAACTGTTCGGATTATATAAACAACTCCACATGTCCAAATATTGGTAAAATAGGCATTGTAGTACCCTGCAAACCACAATGTCGGTGCATCAATAATACGTACAGAAATACAGATGGAGTTTGTGTGCCTGCTGATCAATGTATACGTGAGTAAGAACGTATAGGTTTATGTATGTATAATATTGATTAATGAAGCCGAATGATTTATGTACTATTAATAATGAAGTGCTTTGAAATGTTTACTTTGTTTTCTTTGTTTACTGTTCCTCATATTAAATAAAAACTTTTGAACAGATTTTGACGAAAGTGTCAATTTCGTCAAAATATATCCAACAGTTTTTGTGCAACTTATATAGAATGACAAACAAACTAACGGCCCACCTGATGGAATGTAGTAACCGTCATCTGTAGACATGAACAGTATCATAACCATAACAAAGTGTACTGTGTTACTTATGATATACTTAATATGCTGCAATTCCTGAGAATTAAGTTATTATGCCTCTGTATTCTGTAATTTTAAATGTCACCCTTCTATATAAAATGCACAGCCATGCAAACACAATTGTAACAGGTGTCTAAGTAAACAACTTCCATACAAAGTGAGTGGTGAGCGTGAGCTGGTGAGTGTAGTATTTAAAGTACATTTGTAGAAGTTTTTAGTTTTTATAAATAAGGGGATTAATATCTAAGTATATTATTTGTCACTTTTTAATGTACAATAGTTAAATAAAAATTGTCATTTTAAAAAATAATTATTTATTTTTTTATTTAATGAAAAATCTATAGGCGACGGTTACCACTTTCTATCAGGTTGGTCGTCAGCTTATTTGCCATTCTAAATTGCATAAAAAAATAAAATACAAATATTCGCTGCACAAATGACGTAAAATTAATATTGTGTATCTAATTGTATTATGTAAGTTTGTATTCATAATGATTTTAGTAGAAGCAACATCTACACCTACAACTCCTGATACAAGTTCATGCAATAATATCGATGGTGAATTGAATAATTTTGAACTAGGAAATACTGAATTCACAGGGAAATTCTTTTATGTTAGTAGTTTTATTAATGTCATATTTTTATTTTTATTGTTTTCTTATATCGGTAGTAAAACAATAACATTATAAATTGCAGGAAGTGGCTAAGAGCAATCCAGATGTTAGCATAATTATGTCTGCATTTTCTGTCTTGACACCTCTTGCTGAATTAGCTTTATATGCTTCCGGCCCATCACTTGAGGAGTTACTTAAAGTTCTTAATCTTCAAAATAATAATATTTAAAATATAAAATAATATAAAAGGATCAGGTACTTTATAAGTATAATAACATAAAAGAAACTAATAATATTTCATTCAGTTTAATATAATACACTACCTCGAGTTAAATTTAAATATTGGAGCTGTTACAGTTAAAATTTTCAGATTGCTTTAATGTTAATTAAAAAAAATCTAATAAAATTTCTAAACGTAATTATCTTTTGAGCATGATACTAATAACAGTTACTGTCTTAAAATTAAAACGTAAACGAAAATTTAAATTATATATGCTTATTTACACAGATAAGATGTGTATTTCCAAAAGTTATAAGTAAGTTGGAAGTGCAACAAAACAATACATTGAATTTGGGTGCTAATGTATTTGTTAATGAAAATTTTCCACTGACTGATAATTTTATAAAGGATACAAAGAATGTATTTAATGCTGAAGCAGAAAATATAGACGTGAACAATCCTGATAAAGCAGCTACAACTATTAATGATTGGGTAATTACTTTAAACGTATATAATTTTAGTGACTATTTATATTAGAAAATAATATTTGATAGAATTACGATCAAACTAGTCTATTGCTTGTAATTATAGCGCATTGTACAAATTTTATACTAATATTTTATTGTCTTTTAATCATTACAGGCCGCTGAACAAACAAATAATCGTATCACCGATCTTATTTCTCCAGATACGATTACATCTTTAACACGTTTAATTTTAGCCAATGCTATCTATTTCAAGGTAAATATTTTTAAAAGTCTAATATAATTCGTAAATTTTTATTAATGTTCAGATAACGCAACTGTACTTACAATATTTATATTTTAAGGGTACATGGAAAACACAATTCGATCCTAAAAATACTAAGGATCAAGATTTTTCTATAACCAAAGATGATATCATACAAGTTAAAACAATGAAAGTAAAGGACAAATTCAATTATGCAGAAAGTACGGATTTAGACGCAAAGGTATTTTTTTTTTGTGTAAATAAAACAAGAATTGTGTTTTTTATTTAATTTAAATAATGAAATATAATACCAAAGAACAAGTTACGCAATTTTTATTTTCTTTTATATTATAACAGTGACTTTGACAATGATCTGCACCAAGCTGATTTTATATGTATTTCTTTTCTGAAAATACAGAAGAAAAACATGTAATAATAAATTTACATGCTTTCACACTGTAATGGGTTGGCTGGAAGAAATCTCTTTTAGAGATAAGTCTACCCTTGATCACATTATTTATAATTGAGCACATTATTTAAGAGGTTTCTTCAGGGTCGGCAACGCGCGCGTAATACCTCTGGTATTGCAGGCGTTCATAGGCTACGGTAACCGCTTACCATCAGGTGGGCCGTATGCTTGTTTGCCACCTCAGTGGTATAAAAAAAAATTGCTTATCTATGTAATCTACAAGTATACAATAATAAAGAATATACATGTATAAAAATTAATACTTTACTTTTAGATTATTGAATTGCCATATGTAGACGATGTGGTAAGATTTATAGGTATTCTACCTAATGATGTTGAAGGTTTATCAGCCTTATTGGAGAAACTACAGGATCCGAATGTATTTAATAAAGCTATTAATAGTTTAAGCTTAGAAACAGTTACAGTTTTGTTACCAGCCATGGACATATCAACAACAATTGATTTGACTGATATTCTGCCGAAGGTAATAATAAACTATTTAATTAAATAAAAATAGAAATCTATAATGTTCACAGTACGTATTTTTTTATATCTTTGATAAATATATAAATCGATGTTATATATATTTTTTTAAGACTGATATAACAAAAATTTTCAATGCTGATACTTCTGGTTTGAGTGGAATTATAAAATCAAATGAACCTTTGTACGTTTCGGATGGTACTCAAAAAGCTACGATAATAGTTAACGAAGAAGGATCTGAAGCAGCAGCTGCTAATGGTACGGACATAAAAAATATTATTATACAAATAAAATTACCTAATTCTTTAATTAACGACTGTTTCTTTTTGATTAAAGACAGTCATTGAAATAAAAATATTAAACATAAATATATGTGATAAATTAGGATTACGACCATGCAGTGGATTAAGTTTTATTATTATGCAATGAAGTATTTGAGTAATTTCCATTAAAATCTATAAATTTCAACGCTTACGGTAATTTGTAACTCTATTAACTTTCCTCATTTACAGTGGTTGTAGTATCGACTAGAAGTATTCCAAATCCTTCAGTTCCTGAATACGTATTCGACGCTGATCATCCTTTTATATTTTTAATAAAATTAGAAAATTTAATATTATTTATTGGGACATTTATAAAATAAGGTGAAGATTTATATATATATAAAAAAAAACTTTTATATATACAATATAATCTCGAATAAATAACATAATTTGACAATAATATTTTCATAAACAATTTAATAATTCAAAATTGTATTTAGTTCCTTTATTATTAGTTATAGTATTCATTTTTAAGAAATGTATTACGGATTTTTAAAAGTAATTTACAATTTACTAAGAGAAGCTATTTCAGCTTTGCATCGCTAAATTATAACAATAATTTGTAGTATTTGTTTGAATTATTTTTCGTGGCGAAGTTATGTGATCTATTTTAGGAAATTGTTATATGTTATATCATAATCTGTACATAAGCTCCGTTAGAAATATACTTAAAGAGTGTAACTTCTAATTTTTCATATAAATTAATGCTATGTTGCAATAAGTAATTTTAAGTTCTAGTCGTCTGACTATTTCTTATGATTATATGATACTTAATCATAATTATTTGTTATATAACTCATATTAAAAACAATATTTCAGTTGTTGGCGTTTCTACGTACTCAGCTACATCAAACCCAGTGCCGGAATACATCTTTAATGTCAATCATCCTGTAGCCTATTATATATTATTTGACAAAATCCCTCTGTTTTGTGGGACATTTGTAAAGCCATAATTTATATGATTAATTAGATCGTTTGTTGTTATTTGATTTATATATTATCAATATTTTAAAGAAAGAAACGTTCTAATTTTATTCAATATCAACTTAATGTTCGCTACTTCGTACGCATGATTTCAGAAGTAGGAACACCAATGAAGCAAATAATTTCTAAATGGCGTATCAAAATAAAACATATACCAAATATTAACCTAAATCTTCAGAAATATAACTTTGAAAACTGCTTCCAATCATTGCACCAAGCAGTAGTTTTTGGGTAATGTCAGGACAAATATACAGATGGACAAAGAGACATGTACATATAGACAAAAGTCTAATAAATTATTGTCGTGTCCTCTATTGGTCTTATTAAGGCCACTCATATATTTTTTTCTTAAATATCTCCCACGTTACAACTTTGTTATATTATTAAGATAGAAAATAAAATTAGTATAATGAGCTAATTTAAATAGACTTTTTTTGTCTAATTTTAGTAATATATCAATTTGATAATGTTATATGGTTTGATCATTTAATGTTACTTCATTGGATATGTTATATATCTGGTGTTAATTTTGAAATATAATATTCTATTACAAAAATTGCCTTTTTTATTTATTCCTATACATTCGTACATGTTAGATATATACATTTATCGTTGTGTAATAAACTCTTTGTGAAAATATACCGGGGGAGGATTGTTAGTAATGAGGTCTAACATCGCCATTGCCTGTAATATAGCCTATCAGGTCGATCTCCACGCGGTTCCCTTTGGAAACCATTGAGGTTAATTCTTGAAGTACTTACAATGGGTTGACTTACTTGCTTTCATCTTTACCTGCCATTCATCACTGGTGCCGCACTAGTGTATGCGCAGCGCAGCGAAGGCGCAGGATTACAAATTCCATCGTAATCCATAAAAAAAAAATATGCGTGTGTGAATTTTTCTTTGTAGTAAAAATAACATCGAAATGGAAAAACTCAATCCTTTTATTATATATATGTCACGTGGAGGCAAAATTCAGTTGACAAACAAACCATTAAAATTAATAGTGGTTTTTGCAATATAAAGTTTGATAGGTTTTAGAGATGAGAAACGAAATTCCAGTTTTGTGTCTCGTTGCAAATTCGAAATACCTATTAAATTTCATGTCAGTGTCACGGTATTAACAGGATGCCTTCGAAAACTGGAGTTGCAAATTTCTAACATAGATAGGGAGAAACTTGTGAAAATGTATAAGGTAATATTTTGAATGCATGTATTGTTGTATATTTTTTAGAAAGTCACTTTGGTTCTATTCATAATTATACATTAAAATATTGCTTGGGGAAATTGGTAATGCAATCAATCTTGTTTGAATCTATTGGAACAGATTTATATATAAGACTATATATACTAAATGGCGTTCGAGAATACACAGTTTTTTACAATAACGTTTTATTGTTGAAGATTTTACGACTATTTATCGATCTAGTTTTACCAAAAAAGGTAAAGAGAAGGTAATACGTACTTGCATTATTCAATACCATTGTCATTGTAAGTTTGTTTGTTCTTTCTTACTGTCTTAACGGCTTATCTAATTACTATGAAATTTGGTATACACGTACTATACGTGACGGAAAAGGGCAAAGGTTATTTTTTATTCCAGTCAGTGAACATATCCCGGTTACATAAACGAAGCGCGGGTGAAAGCTAGTAGCATATAAAACAAACTATATTTTGAAAACATAGATTTAATAGACTATTATATATAAGAAACCAGAGTCTATGATTTATAATATAATATACTTTATATTTAAAATATAAAACTGCTAACAATTTTAAATCATCAATATAAAAAAAAATATATTATAAAAATTTAAAAACTAGGTAATAAATATGAAGTAGGTATCTAAATAAAAAAAAATATTAGTGGTAATATATGTACATATTTTTCACGATTTTCTTTTTATTTGTTTTTTATTGTTTTTAGAAACAAACATGAATATGCAAATAGTAACAACATCATTTGTATGCAATGTTGAAACAAGTGTTAAGTCGGCGTATTAAGTATAAAAGCAGCAATAAGTCTTTGATAAAGTGTAAATGTTATTTTACATTAACATGTTGAAGTTACTTTACATACCTCTTACAGCTGCTTTGTTTTTTCTGGCGGCATCTGATGGTATGAAATGATTTTTTTTGCATAACATTTACATACATATTTTATGTATGTACATACATATTTTATGTAATTATATGTATATATGCAAATGCCAAAAAATAATGTTTTCACCTTTATGTATGTAACTATTTAAATACCTCCATATTTAAATAACATATATTCACGAGGTAATATTTGATTTGTCTTAATTATGAGAAAATTAGCTTTAATGATGTTGTCCTCAGTACGCAAGTAATTTGTATTTATTGTGTAAATAATCTAAATTATTGAAATGATATATTCATTTATATTAATAAGATTTTTAATAAAGATTATTTGAAATTTGCATTTTTGCTTTTAATATCTACTTGTAAATGTTTTCAGAAACATGTAACGATAATGAAAGATGGGTACAATGTCCCCAAACATTGTGCATACCACTGACATGTTCTCAAGTGGAATCCTCCGTACCGTGCCCTATTCTTGGTCCAAGGGGTGAATGCCCAGGAAAACCAGCATGTATATGTAATGATGGCTTAGTGAAGAATGACGAGGGAGATTGTATTCCAAAGAAGCAATGTAGTAAGTAAACATAAAGCCAATAAAAAAAAATTTTGTAAATATACCATTTACCTATAGCAACGTATAAAGAGATACATTCCAATCGATAATGGAGACTTTGTGTTTTAAACAATATTTTGAAAGTATATATTTCATTGTTTAAACATTTACATAATTGAAAGAGCTTATTAATTATCACTTTATTATAATAAAACTGTTATCGTGTTATTTTATTTTCTCTTTATTAAATAATCCATATTGATACCATCCCTACTTTTCAAATAAAAGTAAAACTCAATTACTGGTTATTTTTCAAATAAAAACTAAACACAACTATCGGCATTATTTTGTTGGTCTACGACGCATTGACATATGTATGCTTGGTATTTAAAATGTCTATATTGACATTTCTTGCATTTTTATTTATCTCAAAATCTGCACATTTCATAAGTGAAATGTCACACAATCGTAGGTGTTTAACATAAATTTGTTTATACATATAAATTAACATTTTATTCGTAATATAAATGTGTCAAAATGACGCACAATTATATCATCATGACATAATGGAAATTAAAATGTTACCTATTATATGAAAAGGTAATTTGGACATAGACGGAAAATTAAAAGAGTCTTCATACAATTGCATACATATCTTTTTATTGCAATGTAACGATTTAATCGTGTTATGTCGTGCCATGCCACAGTAAATTAAAAGCGTCTATTAACTTAATCGACAAAGTGTACAGGCCCCATACATAATGCATTTTTATTCCATTATTTACATTTCCATTTCTGATAATATTACTACTATTAGTTGTAGGGAGAAAGGTATTGTTAGTAGTCTAACAGTGCCATCGCTAGAATTATATCCTATGAGGTCGACCTCCGTATGGGTTCTCTTGGAAACCATCGTAGTTAATTCTTGTGAAATTTGTCACGATGGGCCAATTGGTCTGTTTTCGTCATCATCTATCATCTCGCACTGACGCTCTGCCAGCATATACTGATAGTGCTGGAGAAGTTACCATTCCATTGTCATCCATTAAAAAAAAACGACTACTCGTGTGAGAGTGGTGCCTTTTGGAGAAAGAGTTCTAAGAGTTTCTGAGCCGACTTTTATTCGGTAGTATTTTTTATGTGTATTACCTCAATACTTCGTCAGTTATAAACCGATATGAAAAATTACTTTTTTATTTCAGAGGAGTCTTTTAGATTGATCCCTAATTTTAGCAAATTCGATTCAGTAATTTAGTTTTAAAATTAAAACAACATTACCTGAGCTATTAATGTATTAATATCATTAAAACAAATACTTATATCCCTTATTTCACTTCCCTTTTCCGATATCGCATCCACACACGGTAGACTGCCCGCGCTCACGTATAAATAATCTGAACTATGTGAACCGTACCTATTTTTTTTTTTGGATGATAATGTAATAGTAGGTCCGCTTGCGCTAACGGTATACGCTGGCGAGGCACCAGTGCGGGATGATAAGTGAGAATAAAAAGGCATTTCAGTTAGCTCATCGTGATGAATATACCTGGAATTCAGCACGATGGTGGTTCAGGACAACCTACTAGATTATATTGCTAAAAATTGAACTAGTAATTTGCATTACTGACAATTGTTCCCCCCCCCCACCCCTATGGGAACCGTATCGTCACAATGTGAAATGGCCTTCCAGTGACGTGTTTTCTTTATTTTATAACTTTGGATCTTTCAAACGTAATGTGAAAAAGAACCGGCATAGTGCTGCTAAACCTTGACAGTAGAACATATTTCAGTTGATTATATTCATAGACCATGTCCACATACAACATAAAGAGCGTTCGTTCAGAATGGTGTGATCACGTGTAAAAATATAACTCTTTTTAACATTTTAATGAATTCATTCATCTGTAATATGCTCTGAATAAATGAGGACAATCGATGATGACGATTACAATATTGGTGGTGTAATGGTTCAACGTACTTTACGAGTACCTTCCGATAGTTGAGGGTGCACTCGCACAATACAAATATTGGTATTCATAAACAGGTATATGTTTGTATAGATCCGAATGTTTTCTAGGTGTGTTTGAAGAAAATGAAATGGTAATCCCATCTGCGCTATTAGTTTATGCTGGCGGAGTACTCGTAAAGAATAATATGTGAAGTAATCCTCACGTGTCATGCCTAATTTTATAGTCAACTTTTTTCATAAAAATCAGTTATAGTATTTAGAAATGTCAGTTATTTAGTATTTGTAATATTAATTCTTCTTAGTTTGAGACTTCGAATAGGGATGGTACTACGTAATATGCCTGAAGCTGTTTATTTATTTTTTTAATTAACGTAATTTTGCTTACATGTATTGAGACATTCTGGATGAGACATCGTAAATTATCTGATAAATTATATTCTGTGTGATTTTGCAAGGTTGCGTAGGAAGATCTAAGACTTTTAGTTATTCAAAGGAATATACTGTAAGTATTTTTGTATTAACCGAAAATTTATAAAATAACATTGATGAATATGCTACTTCTATACTGGAATAAGTAAATTCATACTTATACAATTACAATATTTATTAATAGAAAACTTATAATTATAATAATCTACATCGTCATCTACGTGACCGTATTGTGTTGCATAGAATAAAAAGTATTCTGTGTTTTGTTACCCCAAATATCATATATAAATATACCAAAATTCGTGACGATTGCAAGAACTTTTAATTTGCACAGGAGGAAACAAAATTATATGTAAAAGGAAATGCGGGCATCGTTTTTTCTATACAAACCTATTTCCCTGGATCACATTAGAGTTTATCTTTTATTATTATACTATTTATATTTACACTATCGCTGCTGTGCACATAAGATCTACTTTAAGCAGACTACCTTTTAATCATAAATCGCGCTCCTCTTTTTTAAAAAAGGCAGATGTGCAAACTTCGTCCCCTTTTTTCTCACTTTCTCTTTAAACTTAATCTTGCTGGTTACTCTGTTTAAGTCATAGATTGTTATTTGCTCTTCTAATATAGTTAATTGTTTGAAATAGTTATATTTTATGTATTTATTTTTGCATGTATTTACGTATATAAATTAATTTAATTGAACATATTGTGTTTATATAAGTCTAATTATATATTTATAATATATGAATACATTATTATTTTATATTTATTTTATTCAATAATGCACCGCCTACTTATTCCTCTGTTTGCCCAATAGTTGACTGGTAAAGAACACCGTCCGGTGTTAAGTCTGGAAAATGTACATAGAATTTTACTGTTCATTAAAGTTGAAATAAATAAATAACGTAAAGTTATATTTTTTATATTAGTAAGATAATTAAAAATTCTCATTGTTATCGTAATGGTTGTTATTATTATGTTATTAATATGTAAATTTTATATTTTTTACACGTTTTGAAGTATAAATTACAATAAATTTAATTTGCATAATACAAGTGTGAATTCTGACGCATGTTTCATTTTAAATGGCTGAATGACAAAAAAGCTGATAGTCTATTTAATAGAAATGGGTAACAATCGTATGTGTCAGAAAAGGCGACCAGAGAAAACCTAATATTAATGGCCGAGGGATGGATAGCAGCGTCCCTCTTAAAACATTACTAAAGCCTAATTGCGATTGCCAATCCATCTAACAAGCGTGGCAACTACTGGAAAAGTCCTTCTTATGGAGGTCCTATATTAACAGTGTACAGTTAACGGATGATATGGTATGGTCCGGTAACAATCACTTATATACTTGAGTAATACAAAAGTACCACGGGCGTCATAGTATATTTCTTTCATCCTATTATATAAAGCCTATTTTGATATTTTGTAATCCAATTTAGTTTAATGTTATTTCCATGTTAATTTTATCAATATTGAATTAAGTTCGGTATGTATACTGGGGTTTTAATGTAATAATTACCGGTTTAACTTACGAGTAATTAGATCGAGAAAATTAAGCGACTATCACGCTCGTGCTCGCATTACAATAGCTCATGACTAAGAGGTTACGGATTGATCCCAAACTAGTCGATCTATTTACACATAGAAAAGAGCATAAGTTCCCTTTTAAAAGGCCGGCAGCACACCTGCAATGCCGTTGGTGTTGTGGGTGACCATGGGCGGCGATAGTCACTAGTAGTAGGCAAACGAGCATGCCGCTTACCATCAGGTGCGCCGCATGCTCGTTTGCCTCCTGTGTTGTAAAAAAAAGTAGGTTAAACCGGTAGTTATTGTATTGAAATATAATGTGTGTGTGCGTATTACGAAACTTTAAACAACAAAATATATATTCGGGATACTAAATGTGAGCTAAACGGCGGGACAAGTCATTATCTACTTATATTAATAAAAAAACCAATACACTCATAATAAAATGACAATGTAAAAATTCGTAATATTATTTTATAATCATCGTGAATTGTTTTAACAAGTGCAGTACGTGACTGATGAGTATAAAAGAGGTAATAACCTTGATGCAGAGCCAGAAGGCGTTTGTTTGTGACGATGTTAAAGTTAATACTGTTTGTAGCCTTTATGGCTAATGTGATTATAGTATCAACAACAGGTACGTTCACAGTTGAAATAAACACATAGTTAGTTATTGATATGTATAGTTATCAATATAATATTGAATAACCTTACCTATAAGTTAAATATGAAAATATTTTTTCGGCATTTCATATTAAATCTATGAATTTACTTTTTAACTTGAACTCTATAAGAATGAAGCATGAGGCAGAAACGGAGTATGAAACATGATTTTTTTAATTTTTTTATACGCCTTAGAATGGCAAACAAGCTGACGGCCCACCTGATGGAAAGTGGTAACCGTCGCCTATAGACAGGAGCAGTACAATGGACATAACAGACTATACTGTTTCACCCATGATACTCCCCATGCGTTGCCATTCCTGAGGGCTCAGATGTTATTTCCCTGTACCCTGTAAATTCACTGTCATATCCCACCCTTCAAACCGAAACACAGCCATGCAAACACAACTGCTTCACGGTAGAAACACGAATGGGACAGAGGTACCCAAGCAATCGACTTTTGTACAAAGTCAAATTATGAGTAAATGAAATGTGAGACAGAGGATGGATCGTTCTATAAAATTAAATAGATTTCGCAACTAATCAAGCTTAATTAGGTTTGGCTAAATAGATTTGGAAATACATATTGAAAATTTAGTATCATAATAAAGTTAGTATAAAGTATCGAACTAAAGAGAATAGACAGATGCATTCATTATTTATTACCTTTCCATACTGAAATATAAACAATTTTATTTTTAAACTACCATCGATTATCTCTGTACATCCTAAAGGTTGACTGATAGAGTATGCCTATACGATTAAGTCCGCTTTTTGTACTACATTGCATTGGTCAATAAAGTTTAAATAAATACATTTGCAGATTATATATTATTTTAATCTAAGTTTCTTTAGATTTACTTGCATAAAATGTTCATCTAAATCCCATAAATAAAATTCCGCAAAAAAGTTAAAGAACATTTTTTTAATAATTTTTAGAAGAAAAATCATTAATGATCAAAAAAGGAAGAATTACGTAGATATTTTACATTGGAGCACTAATTGTGTTTAATTATACTGTATTCTCTTATATTGACATATCCGTTTATAAATTTGTTCGTCATAGTAATTTTTATAAATTGAAAAAAAAAAGAAATGTGTAAATCGATCCATATTATTTTAGGCGAGATTAAATGTAATAAACCAAATGAAGTCTTTGAGATATGTCCAGCTAAATGTCCATTTAGAACTTGTGGGATTGATGATCGTGTCATTTTGTGTGCTGCACCTCCAAAAGTAGGGGACCCTGACTGTCCACCTTCAGCCTGCCGATGCAAAAATGGTTTCTTTAGAGACGACAAAGAAAATTGTGTTAAATGGGAGGACTGCCGTACGTACAGTCTTTATTTTATTCCAATTAATACAATATTACAATTAAAAAAAATTATAATCATGAAAAATTTTATGCTCTTATTAAACGTATAGTTTAAACATTTACTCTTGAAACTTTGCACCTACTTGTTGTAAAGTGTAAAAATACGTTCATAATTTGTTTATTACAAATCGTGTTAAGGTAATTTTCTAGCGACAAGGGTTTTGCCGCTTTTGTTGCAGGGTTTTATCACGGATAATTTATACAAAAATGGCATAGTAATGACTACTACATAAACAGAGGACGTTTGTAAACACGCAAATTAATGTGGTATGCGCTGAATGTGGTATAAATTTGAATCATAGTAGAAAGGGAGGTGGAGTGAGGTTGGCTTAAGAGGTCAGAGAGTAACCATTCTAAAATATAGCTGCATTAGTGCTGTTATCTGTGTGTGTATTGCGTGGCTGAAAATGCGATGTGTTTAATGATTTGGAGGACGTTAATTTTAGTTAATAACAAAATCTCAGTAATTAAAATAGTAAAATACGTAACATATTTATATAATATAAAAGGAATAGTAGAAAACGTAATGTACATTACATGGTACATGTGGTAACCGTATAAATATAAGCGCGAGTAATACCTCTGGAATTACAGGTGTTCATAGGCTACGGTACCACTTACCATTAGGTAGGCCGTTTGCTTGTTTGCTACCATTGTGGTATAAAACAAATGGATAGAATCTGTGTACAAAATTACATTTAAATCCATTAAGCCGTTTAGACGTGATCGAAAAATAAATATTTAAACATTATGAGTATATACATACACACTTTATTATTTTTTTATTACAATTATTAAAGAAGAGACATAAAAATCATAGTTTAAACAGAAACAGTATAAAAAAGGTTTTTATAGTTTATGCAATCTCTTCTTAATACCTACAGAGTGAATAAAGGTGTATAGATAACATATAACAATGAAGGTCATAAACAGAAAAATTCACACTAATGTAATACAAAATTAAACCTACTCATAATTATGTAAAATTTAAATACATATTATATATCGAAATATGTTATTTTGTGAAAGAAATAAATATATATTTACTTTACTCTACTCTACTTTACTTTAACTGAGACAATGACATGAAGTAAAACAGAAGAAAAAATTAATTTACAAAGATAGATTATTCTATAAATTAATTTATTCTTCTAAATAGGGCTTCCAAAAAGTTAGGAGTGCTTAATAGAGTGAGACGGTATTTCATGCCAGAACACTGCTTAAAATTGTATAAAGCTCAAGTTAGGCCACATATAGAATACTGCTCTCACTTATAGGTAGGAGCGCCACAGTACCAGCTCCTTCCGTCCTTCCTAGACCGTTTTCAAAGTTGGTCGGCTCGAATTATTGACGATCAGCACCTTACTGACCAACTAGACCTACTGAAATTACGTAGAGACACATTCATAGAGATATTGCATCTCTATGAATCTTCTACCGAATTTATTATGGGGAGTGCTCTGAGGAATTGTTCGGATTGATACCTGCTGCTGTTTTTCACCACCGTACAATCCGCCACAAACTTAAGTTTTATCCCAACTATCTGGATCAACACAACCACTCTTTAGAATCCACTTTCAGCAGTAGTATTTCCGAATCGATATGACATCATAACCCTCTACAAAAGAGCATATTACTTTTTAAAAGGCCAGCAGCACACCTACAATGCTTTTGGTGTTATGGGTAATCATGAACGGCGGTAATCACTCACCGTCAGTTGAGTATGCTGGTTTGATCTCCATGATATAAAAAAATTGTTCACCATAAAATTAATTGTCATAAACATACTATTAGGCCAAAATAATATAGCTCTTTAATTACAGCTCCGCGGTGTAGTGATCACGAAATTTATGAGAAGTGCCCAAATCCGTGCATACCGCAAAAGTGTTCCCAAGTTGGTTTTCCAATATTTTGTCCTGCTCAAAGTACCGGCAATCCACCTTCGTGTATAACTAAACCAGCTTGTATTTGTGAAAGTGGATACTACAGAAATTGTGACGGCGTTTGCGTACCTTCACAAGAATGCCGTAAGTTATTTAGTTGCTTTATATTGCACAGAACTTTTTTTTTGTTAAAGAATTTGAAAGATGATATTCTATCACAATATTATTAATTTAAGATATTTGTATTTTATTATTAGTAATTAATGCAGAAAAAAAAAATTTGTATGTACAGCTTCATGCGGTGGCGATCCCAATGCAAGACCTGGGTGTGGCAATTGCAGAAAAACTTGTGCCAATTATAATAGCACAGATCCTATTATGTGCATTCAGATATGCTACGAAAATGCTTGTGACTGCTTACCTGGTTACGTGGTTGACGGCAATACTGGAAAATGTGTACTTCCAGAAGATTGCAGTGAGTAGTAATTCAGAACCACTAATACGATAGGTATTTAAGCCGTACTGGTAATCTTTTATGATTCACATTGCACATTTACATAGATTATTAAATTAGTAAATGTAACTAAAGACATATATAAAACCAGCTAGATTCCTACTATTAAAACTTAAATACAACTATTAATGAAACAAAAAATAGTTGTACACATATGTCAGAACAATTATTCTCGAGATCTATACGCGGTTGGTATTATCTGAAGTCATTGTAAGAAATTTATGATGACTTTTCCATCGAATATTCTGTTTTTTTTTTATGTTCAAGTTTTGTAATCGATTAAGTGTAAAATAGTATTCGTTATGGTATGATTCCATATAACTTCTTATTATTTTAGCACCCATCTGTCCAAAAGACGAAATTTACACAAGTTGTGTAATTGGTGGTTGCAATAAGAGAAATTGTTCACAACTATCACAGCCAAAAATCTGCATAAATCCGATTAATCCATGCTTAGGGGGGTGCGTATGTCGTGATGGATATTTGAGAGCTCAAAATGGTACTTGCGTGCCAATAGACCAATGTGATTCTGGTAACCTAAACATTTTTTGTCATATTAATTAAAAGAAATAAAAATAATATTATAATATTTATAGTTTTTAGAATATGATAATTACACAAGTATATCTAACGGTAAATCTCGGTTTGTCAGAAGGAAATATGATTAACATAGATGAACATACTTACAGTACATCTACGGGCAAACTTTATTCTATCCATTAAACTTTTTATAGGCATGATTGTGCATTATTAAAACGTCATAATATTTTTTATAAATTTTTCAGATTCAGTTATCAGTCAGTCAGCTTTATTCCGCGGCTTCACTCATGTAAATCAGTAAATATCTTATATGCTACAATTTATATTTTACTTTTAGGTGAATTGACAGCAACTGCAGCTCCAAGTACAAGTTCTTGTGATAATGTAAATGATCAACTGAATGATTTTGAGGATGGAAATATTAGATTCACAGGAAAATTCTTTTATGTCAGTATTTGAGTCTTCTACATGTTTACCACTGAATATTTTCAGAATAAGAAGAAACTTGTCATTTCTTTTTTTTATTTATTTACTAAATCTTTAAAACATTACAGGAAGTAGTTAAGAGTAAACCAGGAGTCAGTGTCATAATGTCAGCATTTTCCGTTTTGACTCCTTTAGCTGAATTGGCTTTATATTCTTCTGGACCATCTCTCGAGGAGTTACTACAAGTATTCGATCTTCAAAACAAGGACGAGGTAGTAATGCGTTAAAAGATTGTAATATTGTTCTTTTAGAACTAATATAAGGAATAAGCCTATGTTTGTTTACTGTTCTTAGACAGACTTAAATGTGAAAATGAATACCTCATTAATCATCCTAATCTGATTAGGAGTAGTGTGTTTTAAAATTTTATTGTTACTGACTCTAGAAAAATTTTCATATAGAATTTTAAAAAGTTATATCTTTAAACTTTTTATTTTCACCGTAATTGTTTCTTTGACTTATTAATTGAAATTGCATTTATTTATACAGATACGATGTGTTTTTACACAAATCAAGAATATATTGGAAGCTGAACAAAATAATACGTTAGATTTGGGTGCTAAAGTATTTGTTAATCAAGATTTTCTACTAACTGATGAGTTCAAAAACGATACTAGAGATGTGTTTGATGCTGAAGCAGAAAATATAGATGTAGGGGATCCCGATAAAGCAGCTGCAATAATTAATGATTGGGTAAGTATTACATAAGTACAATAGTATTAAGATGCCACATTAGTTGTTAAGATTTAATAACGGTACATTACATATAATAAGTTTATTGGTATTACAGGCTGCTGAACAAACAAGAAATCGTATTACAGGCGTCATATCACCAGAATCGATTACTTCTTATACACGTTTAATATTAGCCAATGCTATTTACTTCAAGGTAAGAGAATATTAAAAAAAAATATACATATTTATATATTTTTAATACTATTAATATTTTCCTTATATTTTCAGGGTACATGGAAGACAAAATTTGATCCCAAGGACACGGAAAATAAAGATTTTTCTGTTACCAAAGATGATACAATTCAAGTTAAAACAATGAAGGTAAAGGACAAGTTTAAATACGCAGAAAGTACGGATTTGGACGCTAAGGTAAATTTTATTAAATGAACATTGTTTTTATTTGTCTACCGTAGTTTTATTTATTTTTTTAGAACCGACCTATTTTGTTCTACTATGACATTCTTAAGTGTTTTTTTTTATACAACTTAGAATGGTAAACAAGCTGACGGTCCACCTAATGGAAAGTGTTAACCGTCGCCTATAGTCATGAGCAGTACCATGGACATAAAAGTGTGTGTCTTAAGTGATTAAATATTCTCTGTTTTATAAGTAATATTTTTAATATATGTATTGTAAATGCTTAGTTATGTAAATATCTTAGGTTATTGTATTATTTTTTTTTTCTAAACATAAATACAAGACATATATATTTTTAATAACAAAGAATATTAATACTACTAATGTTAAAATAATCTTTGCATTAATTTCATTTTCAGATTATAGAATTGCCATATACAGGCGATGCCATAAGATTTATAGGTATTCTTCCTAATGATATTGAGGGTTTAACAAATTTATTAGAAAAACTTCAAGATCCTGATGCATTTAACAAAGCACTCAATAGTTTGACATTGGAAACAGTTACAGTTTTATTACCTACTATGGATATCTCTACAACAATAGATTTAACGGATATTCTACCGAAGGTATCTTTTACTAATAATTATAAATGTCAAAGTAACTTGTTTATAAAATTGTTATATATATTTTTTGTTCTATCTCAATGGTTAAAAAATTGTGGGCCATGAAAAAGGTATAGGTTGAGCATGTTCAAGTTACAAAATAAACTAATAGTACAAACCATGTAAACGAGTTTATAGTTAGAAGTAGAAGAAAATAAAACTAATTTTAAGCATTTAATTATCTTTATTACATTATTATTTTCGAGAAACTGTAGCCCAAATTATATCTTGTATAATTATATTTTTTTTTATTACAGACTGATGTAACTAAAATTTTTAATGCCGATACATCAAATTTAAGTGGAATTATAGAATCCAATGAACCTTTATATGTATCTGATGGTACCCAAAAAGCTAATATTATAGTAAATGAGGAGGGTTCAGAAGCATCAGCTGTAAACGGTATGGAAGTCACAGTTTTTCTATGTTTGTTTATATCACGAAGGTGGCAAACAAGCATACGACCTGATTGATGGTAATCGGTTACTGTGGCCCATGGAAGCACGCAATACTAGGGTTGTCACGTGTACATAAGCATCTCTGAAGAAACATTAATATAACTCTTTTTGAAGAACCGTAGTATCTAGAAAATCTTAGCAGTGGGCTCATTTTGTAGCTTGAGCATCCACGGAAAGAAATTCCTCTGAAATCACACTGTACGCGACCATTTAGGTTCTAGCGTGTGAGGATGAATTCCTTGTATATAACGAGCGGTGCGATGATTAAAGGTGGCTGTAGGTATGATGGCTTGTGATTATGAACTTTAAAATTTGACATTTTAAATATAAAATTTCGTACATTATAATTACGGGAAACATTTTATTAATTCTTTCGAATCCCATAGAGTAATAGATAAATCTGTCTTATTCATGTCTTTAACGTTAAGCAATTGTTCTTGCATGGCTTTTTTTTTCAGTTTAATGTTTGGGTCATGGTATGCGACTGGGCACGGATGTATAATAGTGTTGATACTCTCTAGTTAGTGCTATCGAATATTTAGGACATACTGCTAATCTGGAATATAATAATGTCTTTATATCAACACATATTGTTTCAGTTGTCGGCGTATCTACAACTTCGGTTGTTTTAAATCCACCAGTAGAATTGTTCTTCAATGTTGATCATCCTGTAGCTTATTATATCTTGTATAATAATATTCCTTTATTCTGTGGGACATTTGTAAAGCCTTAATATAATGTTATATGACCAGGCGTAATATTATATATATAAACAGTTGCAGTCAACACTAAGACTCAATTAATGCAATTAATGCATTCAAAAACTCCTAATTGCATAGATCTAGCTTCTAATTAGTAGCTTAATATAATAATTATAGAATTGCATGATGTGCTGAATATGTGCAAACATATATATATTTATCTAACGATGTACAGGGACTTTGGACAAACATTGAATTTTAGTATTGACTGTACTTTATTCCAATGGCTAATAGAAAATGTAAAATAATAACAATGTATATTTAATATTTAACTTATAAGTATTTGTATTTTTAAAAACATGTATTATCACTAAAAATATTTCGGTACATATTTTCGAAATAAAAATATCATTCTATAAAAAAGTTTTATTTTATTACCTACATTTCACATTATTTGTAAATACGATTAACATAAAAAAGAATTGCAAATTCTTTGATTATAGAGCATATAGATAATTACATAGACAATGGACATATGTAAGCCACGATAGGCATGTTGCTTATAATACTCGCCTGAGGAAAAATATAAGGCAATGATATTTAATCACCGATATTAAGTACATTTTTTCACTACAAAAAAAAATCATTTTAAAGGATAAATAAAAATATACTGATGAATGAGGAGATGCATCGTACATGTAATGAAAATATTTAAATTTAGAACGCAGAATCGCGAGTCACCGAAGAGATTTTGTGTAGCAATAAGCAGTTTTTTTGCTATCCAAAGAATCTATTAGCTTATAAAATTTATAATTAGCTTATTTTTATATCACTGTTGCAACGTGAAAACCTGCGGGCTACCATATCTTATTGAACCGACAATTATGTTAGATTATGTTACAAAATTTTATAGTATAAAAATATATTCTATCATGTATGTAGACTGGTTTTGATGAGTATTTATTTAGATAGAATAAGGCTTATACGATCGCTAAAAGTTAGTCAAGTTTAAATTATCGACGTCCTTCCTAATATTAATACTGAGTATGAGCAATGTTATAAAAAGATAAACAATTAGTTTAAATAAAAGCTTTATCAGCGTTATATCTATATAGATGTTGGTATAAAGAAGGATATGAAATATGCGCCTAAAGGTCTAAATTTCTTAATGTGGATCTTTCATTAATTTACATTATGCATTGAAGAGTACATAAAACTATTAGTCATTGAGATACGTCGGTTTTAAAACTCTTGGTGCATATGGTGCACATGACAAATATATATTATATAAAAATAGAATCACATTTTTTTTATACCACTGAGCTGGAAAAAAAGCATACGACCCACTTGATGGTAAGCGGTTACCGTAGCCTTTGAAGTTCTGCAATACCATAAGCATTACATGCGCGTTGCTAATCTTGAAGAAACCTCTTTACCTTTTTTTCGAAGAACCCCATGCCGTATTGTCTCGGAAAAACCTCGACAAGGAGCTCATTCCATAACGTGAACATTTATGGGAGGAAACATTTCTGAAACCACGTTGTATGCGAAGATCTTACGATCATAGGCTCTAAAATATGGACGTAAGATAAGATATAATGTTATTGTTTATTAGATTAAAATATGTGTAATAATTTTTTGTCTATTAAACAATCCAAAAAGTCAAATTCGTAGATTTGTATGATTTTTCGTACATGAATATTTAGTTGAAAAAGATTTCCAAAAAAAATTTCTAAAATGTAGATGTAATAAAAATCTGTAAATGTAAAAAAAAAAATAGTTCTTACATTAAAATTGCTTTCTGTAATGTCGCTTTTTAGTTTACTTAATAAAGGTCACTCTGGTTAGGTCCATGTTGGCTGATCAATGGAAGGTTTGCGCAAATTTATAAGGGTCCATGATAGCTTACGTATCAGACCCTAATAAATAACAATAGGTGAACCTAGGTAAGCATCTGATTATCCATGATGTCTACATAAAAAGTTTTAGTATCAATATAGTTAATAAACTACGTACTTATAGTGTTTAAAATTATTACCTGCAATAAAGAAAAAATCTGTCTAAACTTTTGTGGCGTAGGCACTCCCTAAAATTCCTGCTTTGTAATAAATTTTAACGCATGAATTAACTTTTCTTTAAGTGGAAACATTGATAAAAAATGTTCACTTTTTAGTTATCAAATCAAGATTTTAATAGGTAGGTTAGCTAAATTCAATTTTTTTTTAAACAAAGGAAATAAAATAATATAGCTTTTACTCTATTTTCTATTTTAAGATGTTAAGTGGTTATACTCGGATATGTTACATATTAAACAAAGATCTCAAGTTGAGATCTTGTAATATCATGAGCTAGCCAGTTAAAATAATACCTAATAGATGTAGTAATACATATCAAATGTGATATAAATGTAACATCAAATAATATAGTAATTGTGTTCTTCAAATTCTAATTACAACTGCACTGGTTTCAACTACGAATAGATATTAATTGTGACAAAATTTGTATGAAGCTAACACCTAAGTGTAAAATGGTCACTTAGGTCTACCTACATAATATGTACAATTTTATATAGAAGAAAAGTAATAAAAGTCGGTTTAGAATTCGGAAAGACAGATCTGTGCGAGTAGAAAAATAAATGAATAATTGCATTTGAATTCAGCTTATCCTTTTGAAAGTCAATTGAAAAATATGAAGCATGTTTTTTAATACAGAAAAATAAAATGCATATTATTTATTTTTCGAGACAATTAACTTTGTTTACTTAAGAAATAAATGGGAAAAGTACAAATAAAATAATTATTTTATGTTCTATCTATTATTGAAACAAGTGAACAAAGTCTATGTGTTTAAGTATAAAAGAGCCAGTAAGTCCTTAGTAAGATCTAGAGTTTTTTTTAATAATGATAAAGTTACTTCTGTCTATAGCTCTTGCAGCTAGTGGATTTATTGTAGTTTCTACAACAGGTACTTAGATATTATAATATATATGTTTAATATTTATAAATTCGTTATAGGCAATTATTACATGACTGAAATAGGTGCTTTTCTATATTAAATCTCTAATTTAATTTTAAATATGTTAATTGCAATTCTGCAGATATTATCAATATTATTATATTATATAAAATGTTTTTTTTTTATAACAGTTGAAAAACGAACATGCGGCTCACCTGAAGGTAAGTGACAATAAGAATTCTCTCTTTCCTTGTGTTTATTTTATTTGAGACGGATTTTAATTATACACGTAGTTTGATAAAATACTTTTGTTAATTATTACGTTTTTTGTACTCAAATTTTTGGTAAATATCACTTTTAGTATTTCTTATACAGATATATTGTAATTTTGTACTATTATTAATGACTTTTATTTCAATAATTTAATTAATTTCAGAAATAATATGTAAGAAAAATGAAAGATGGGTAAAATGTCCACCGCTTTTGTGTATACCACTAAATTGCTCGCAAGTGGGATACCCTATACCATGTCCATCACTCGGTCCAGATAGTGAATGTCCTGGAAAAGCAACATGTATATGTAAGGAAAACTATGTAAGAAATAATAAAGGAGTTTGCATACCAATAAAAGAATGCCGTAAGTATTTATCAATATACAAGTTTATTTTTTAAAGATGATATATATCTATGTTATGATGATAATCTATTGAAAAAAAATGTTTTAAACTTGGTATTATCCTTATTCTCTACTATTTCACAATATTGTCCAATTGAATGAATTACACAAGAATAAGTAAGATTGGCCATTTACACAGAAGTGTATATAGACTCTAGCTTGTATCTTTTTCTTTTTGTCATTTTTAATATACACATAAAGTTGTAATGATGAGGGACTTCTCAAGAGAACAAAATTTTTCATTGTATTCGTCAAAGAACTCCTACGGTTTTGCATGTATTGTGCAATGCAATTCCTCCTCGTTTATGCAAACTCACAAAGATAAATATATGGTACCATGTCAAAAATAGAACACATATAATTACTATTTTTTGATTCCTCGATTACTTTCTTACAGCTTCTTGTGGCGGGGATCCCAATGCCATATCGGGTTGTGGTATAAACTGTGGACGACTTTGTTCGAATTACGATAAGGGTCCTGTTGCGTGTGCCGCGGTTTGTAAACTCAATGCTTGTGATTGTAAAAAAGATTACGTTTATGATGTAAACTTGAAAAAGTGCGTTTTGCCTGAAGATTGCTGTAAGTATAACTGATATTTTTATCAATTGAAATTATCAATACCGCTTGAAAATGGACGTTTGTTAGTTTATTTCGTTAAAAACATTACAAAATAAAAATAATTATAGCTAATTGACTGTCTTCTGGGAATTTCATGCGAATCTGTATATATCTATGTATGTTCCGTGGTTTTAAATAGTCGCAAGTTTATGATTGATAATAGAGTTACTCCAATTAATTCTCTGGTGATGGTAATCAAATTAATTCAAATAACGTCAGTAAACTTGATCTTTGCTGTATTGAATTCAAACGTACTCAGAGAGTACTACGGCAACGGCAGTGGCAACAGTGAAGTTTAGCTTCTGACTGTTTTACTTAGATTTACGTACATACATACATACATATCTGTCACACTTGTCTTCCATTAGGGTAGGCAGAAACAATGAAAAAAATTTAAATTTACTTAAATTTATAGCTGTATATATTTATTTTTAATCTTTTATTCAAAAATATTGTAGCGCCCGTTTGTGAAAATAATGAAGTATTTTCTACATGCGCCAACGGAGGTTGCGGAAAATGGAATTGCACGCAAATAGGACAACCCGACCTCTGTATAGATCCTGTTGAATGCATTCCTGGATGCGTTTGTCGTAAAGGATATTTACGGGCACGTAATGGAACTTGTATCGAAGAGAATGACTGTCTAGGTAATACAGAATAGTTTATTGAAATCACTGAACGTTGTTTATAAGAAGTCATTTATTATTTTTGTTAAGAAAATAATTTTATTCTTATAAAATTCTTTAAAATATCTCTAAGTACTAAGTAATATAAAAATTGATAATATTTAATTGAAATTAATTTATATATATCATTCGTTATTTTTATAAAATATTAGTATCGTATCTAAAAATTAAATTATCGTTAAAATTATTGTTTTTAGTCATAATATTGTTAAGAGTATCATATCTCCTAAAAATAATAATAATTTATATAAGTCGGAGTTCAGATTGCAATATATCATATATTATGTTCTGAATGTTGTTTATAACATGCAACAAATGGCTTTAATCTTTTATTAGAGCCGCAAGCATATTTATGTTATTTTTTATTAATCAATTATTTAAATTGTTATCAGATATTCCTTCATATTCATTTATTTTCACCAACTATAAGATTTTAGAGTTCATTTGTCTTTTCTACTATAGATGATATATGCCCAAATGATAGAGAAATTTATGATCTATGCCCATCCACTTGCCCACCAAGAAAATGCGGTGTAGATGAACGCATAATTTCATGCCGATTGGGACCGCCTGTAGGAGATCCTGACTGTCCGCCACCTAAATGTCGTTGTAAAGATGGCTTCTATAGAGACAATAAAGGAAACTGTGTCCCCTGGGATGAATGTCGTGAGTATTTGTTCCAGTTGTACCAGTTATACTGTAGATATAGCGAGTTTATACTATTATATATTATATATATGTCAAAAATTAATGTTGGAATTTTTGTTATTGACTTTAAAGTCTATTTTATGAGAATTACATATCTCGATTGCTTTATTCATACACGCCGGTTTTTGAGTAGGAAATAGCAGTGAATACAATATGATATATGAAGTGTCTGATGAAAAAATAATATATGACAATGCCTACTGTTTTTTTTATTAGTTTATAAGCATCCATTAGAAACAATTATTTATAAAAATATCTTGACAAATTTCATAGGGTTTGCTTTACTGGAGTATTAAAATAACAAATACCATAAAACTATCATAGAATTTTGTATTTGTCTAAGCTCAGTGTGTTGATTTTAGCGAAATGCGAAAGACCTTATGAAGAATATAACGATAACCCAAGACCTTGTCCTCCGAAAACCTGTGACGCGCTCGTCAATAAATGTTATGACTGTTCAACCGAACCAGACCCATCTGAAGAACCTTGTGTATGCTATGAAGGATATTACAGAAACAAAATTGGAGAATGTATTTCTAAGAAAGATTGCTGTAAGTTGTTATTTAAATGTAATAAGCTAGTCTGTCCAAAATACTTTAGAGTTTAAAGACGAAGGTCTTTAACCAGTGAATGTTGCCAGTGATGATCTACAGAACTGAAGCATAGTCCTACATGGGAGCCCTTACGCAAAAGCTTCAAATTACTCAGCGAGCTTTGTTCTTTGCATGATAGAATCAGAAATGAAGATATCCGCAAGTAACAGCTGATATGAGTTCTCTTTTTCTTTATAATTGTATTTAACCATTTTTTAAAGTTACACATTACTAAAACTGATTATAGTCACAAAAGCCTGTTTCTAGGGTTCCATATTTAAATAGAATACGACGCGTCTGCGACGTTTTCCGTCTAACTGTCGTGGATTTATATTCTCAGTAGCTATTATATCAATTTAAAATTGGAACTGTTTTAAGATATTTATCACTTATCTTTTAGTCTAAAAGAGTGCTCAAAATTACAAAATAGGCCTACTAGTCCAAATGTGATATCGTTAACAAAAACATTATTTTGTGTATTTTAAAATCGTTTTACATTTAATTTTTTCTACAGTTTTTGACAGAAAATATAACAAAATAATAATGTATATGCATTAATCCGTTTAATTTATATTTTCTTCTAATTTACATGTTCCTTTCAAATTTTTTTATTTTCCAGATAAGTGCACGGGTCCTCACGAATACTTCTCATGTGGCGGAGCTTGTGATAATGTGTGTGCAACATTAAGTACCCAAAATCAAACTAATTGTCCAATAGTAAATGTAAAGTGCAATGAAAAATGCTATTGCGAGGAGAATTATGCTAGAAATGAAAATAACATATGTATACCTATCGACGAGTGTAATAGTTGTGAATAAAAATATCAAACTAAAATGGTAGCGTGCAAGATACTAAAATTATTTGTATTTATTTTTTATGTAAAAAGTAAAAACTTTGAATGATAAATATGTTAATGGCCTACTTGAAGATAAGTGGCAACCCTCATCTATAGACATGTATAGTAACATAAGCTTTACCGAATATACTGTAACATCTAACATAGTACCCCACATGTAATGCCATTGAGTTGTACCGCCATAAACTTATGGCGGTAACTTCTTGTGTAATGGGATATTGCACAAGAAATAGGATGAGAATCCTTAAACTAAAACACAGTCATGTAAGGTACTTTGGTTTGAAGGGTTGCAGTGATATTTATGTTTATAAAGATATAACATCTCCTCAGGAATGGTAATATATCAACGGTACAGAAGACATTATAGTATTCCTAGCCATAATGTGATATATGGATGTCACATGATATTCATGTCTTTTTTGCAGACGATGGTAACCACTTTCTATCAGATTAGTCATCAGATTATAAATTAATCTATTGTTGTTACTTCTGGCTCTTGGGTTTAGAGTCATAACTACTGAGATCCATCATTCTATTTTCTAAACGAATAAAATGAATTTATAAAATGATTAAAATATTCTCATATAGCAAAAAATCTCTTCTTTCAAATTTTATTCTTATAAAAATATTACAACTCCAATCCCTACTCCTAATGATTTCGATTATACCTGTGTAATTAAAATTTATTTAAGAACGTTAATAGTATTTATAATAAAGACGCTAAATGACGCCTACAATACAAATTTAAATACCATAGAATAATTACCAGTGCAAGAGAAGAACAACTTATAGTGTAATCGTATATTAGACATGGATAATATCGGTACCGCTTTGATGTCTATGTATTGAGCTTTTGGGATATGATTAAAAAAAATCATCATCCATTTTGATATCGTTCGTATCGATTGGATATATTCTATATTCTTTTCGATTGGGTTTAATAGGTATAATTTTTAACTAAAGCGATAAAAATTACAACTAATTGAGATTGGCTAGTTATCCTTTTCATATTTTGTAAATATTGTATCCTCTTTCTTTGATATTGACGTTAATTGAAGCATAAGCTAGAGACATATAGGCTAGAGACCAGTTTGGGTGCCGAATGATTAACACTAGGCTCCGAGCAGCGATCTAATAATTTGCATGAAGATGCTCCGTTTAGAGGTAAAATATGTGTCGCAAAACGTATGTGAATGAAATGGCAGTCGGAGTTTAATGGCTAATATGAAAGGATGGGGGGAAAGGGATTATTAGCAATAGAGTTTGACAGCCCCATTGCTAGCAATATGTCTTATTAGGTCAACCTCCACGTGGTTCCCCCTGGAAACCATCGTGAACAATTCTTGTTGAATTCGTCACGATGGGCTAACTGACCTACTTCATCCTCACCTATCATCCTTCACTGGTGCCCCGCCGGTGTATACCGATAGCACGGGTGGGGTTACCATTCCATTATCATCCATTAAAAAAAATGGAAGGATGTGGAACTTCTGATAGTAATAGTAGTGTTCAGTCTTCGAGTGTTGGCAGTCATACACAAACTAGTGGTAGCGAAATTAAATAAAATAATTCTAATCAAGTAACCACTAAGTATTCTTTATCTTCGCGATAATTCTTAACGGATAGAAGGAATAAAACGGTAAAGCTATGCTCATAAGACCCAAAGTCAGAAATGTAGCAAGTTAAAACTAGTTTATGGCATTGAAACTAATTTATAGTCATATGACGCATGTTTATGAAGCCTGTGAAACTGTATTGTAAAAGCATAAAACATGTGAATAGAAACTTATCTCCATGGTATTGAGTACTTAAAATAATGATTTTTTGAGTAAAATCAACCATCTATTTGAACTCATATGATTGAGAACACCTTTTTTTATTACTGGTACTTATTTCTTTTGGACACAGTTTATTTGGTATTTTGATAAACAAATGTGTCATACCATTATTATCATTATTTATTCAGATGTAAACATACCGTCACTGCAAAAATGGTTTGTCAAAACGTTAAAAATATTTACTTCTAATAATTATTATATAAAGTACAAGGTACCTACTACAATTTGTAAGTTTAAAACTTGCTTATATAATATTATTAATAAAATTAATGATAGCAATTTGAAAAGTGAACGAGAAATATACTCTATTTACAAAACTATATACATTATATTGCTTCATTTTAAACAATTCTTTTTTCAAAAAACTTGAAACGGTAAACAAGCTGGCCCATAGTCATAGAAAATGATGTATAAATAGCTCCAAAGAGATCACATAATATATTGTGATAGCCATAGAAACTTCATGTGATACCTTTACTGAGGGCTAAATTATAATCTCTCCGTATATAGTAATCGTATTGTTATAGAAACAAATCTTTTAAACGAAATATTGAGAGAAACTTGAGTAGAATAGAGGTACTCATAATAACGACTTAATTACATAATTATAATATATACAAGTATATATATATATATATATATATATATATATATATACTTGTATGGAATTTCACATTTCAAGTACAGCGTAAATCGTTTGATATGTGAAATTCCTTACAAGAATTCTTTATAACATAGCATAGGAAATGGATTTTCAAAAATTCAAGAACTAGATTTTATTATGAGATGAATATATGTATAAAAATTGTTAGGATCTTTGGTGTAACGATTTAACAATACTTGTATTACGTAGTTTTGAATGTAATAATTTATTTATTTAAATAACTTTATTGACCAAAATAAAATAAGGTACTAAAAGCAGACTTAATGCTAGTAGCATACTCTATCAGACAACCTTTAGGATGAACAGTGAATCATGAACGCGGTCGCGGTTCATTATAGGGGCAGGTAAAGAAAATAACAACTAACAATGTATATGTATACAAAATAAATAATACATAGATAAATATAAAGAAATATGCATATATACATATACAACTAAAGAGAAATATAAAATATAAATAATATATAAATAAATAAGACGTAAAAGATAATGATTAGCTACTATTGTCGTAATTAGTTCATTAAGTGAGCATAGACTCTTCTTTTGAACATGAATGATATATGACATCTCACTAGTATCCTTCCAGCATATATACTTTCCGCACGAGAGGGGTTATTATTATATTTTTATCTTTCAAAAATTCATTCTAGATTCAAGTGAGACGTAAATACGAGTTGCGGCACAGAGTCTTGTTTTATTTTAAAGGGTGATAATGGAATGATATCCCAGCCTGCACTGCCGGCAAAGGCTAGCTGGGCACCAGTGAGAGTTGAGATAGATGAGAATGAAACGGATCATTTGGCTCATAATGACGAATTTCTAAAGAATTAACCAAGATGGTTTTCAGGAGGAATTTTCGCGTGAAAGTCGGCCTAATAGGATATACTGGAAACAATGGGGCTGTTAGATTCCCATTACTAACAATCTTAACCTTTCCCCCCACAGAGTCTTTTTTTACAAGCAGCAGTTACTGCAGATAAGATACTTATTGCTAAAAATTATTATGGACTTTTTAGACCTTAATATTTTTGAGTCATTTGAGTTGTTAATATACCAATCTGAACTTAATCCAAATCCGTACCTGATTGACGTATATTTATTTTAATTATTGTAACAAGTGCACGTGTTCTCAGATATAAAAAGGCTTGAAGATATGAAAAGGTGTTAGAACTGTGAAGTATCTATAACTTTACATATCTACTTGAATTTTATTACTAATATTGCAAATTAGCAATGTTTAAGACACTTTTGCTCTCAGTCCTAATGGTCCACATAATTTTTGTGGTGACTACAGGTATGAAATATATATACATTTATTTGCTTTTTTTTTGTCATAATTTAACAATTTAATTGTATGTCTGTACTGGATATGACAAAAAGAATATAATAATAAAAATCCAACTATATTGTTTGCAAAATTATATCTCAAGCAACACGTTGAAAGTTGTATAAAACATTTTTTGAATATTATACAGGTATACATATATTTAGAAATAATAGGGTCTTCATCGTGCCTCCAATCAAACTGTTTATAATTACTTTTCTCCATCCAAAGATTGCCTGGAAGAGATCGCTTTTAGCGATAAGGTCGCCCATTGTTTTCTCATTGTGATTATTTCTTGTAATTGTGTATATCTAGAATAAGTTTACTATTATAATCTTTTGGAGGAAAAAATAAAGAGTATATATCTATCTATATGTAAAAGTTAAAAACTATATATTTTGTTTTACATTTTTTTTTAAATTTCTTATTGTAATTTTATCATCATTTGTGAAATTTTGATAACAAAACAAATAAAAGTAATTGTTACATGTATTTTATGTAGCTATCTAACTACTGTAAGAACTTTTTATTAAGTTGTAAATGAGTGAGATGTTGGCTTGCCTTTAAAATAAATGCTTACATTTGTAAATTTTACCGGTGCTGTTACTACGATTTTTCGAAGAAATATATACTTGTTAAAGTTTTTTTTTATGTTTAGCCGGCCAACAATGCCCAGGAGTGAACGAAGAATGGGATCCGTGCCCAAGTTGCGCTCCTGATACTTGCGACAGTATTGGTAAAGAATATCACTGCCCAATAGAAACTCAAAATAATTGTAGGGGTGCCTGTCGTTGCGTCCCACATTACTTCAGGAACAGTGATAATGTTTGTATCAACGAAAGTGACTGTCCATAAATTAATTAAATAACTACCTTTTTGTGGGTTATTGTGCAAATTAAAAATGCATAATAAATAATATAATTAATAATTTTTTTTATTGTGATATTCTTTCTTGTTACCCTAATATTTTATTTATTGTGATGATAAAATCAGGCTGGTGCGAGTTTAACATACGTATCTACACACGTCGAGGATTTCGTCCGAAATATCAGATAAAATGACCTTTAATCCATATCTTATGCAAAATATACACTTAATAGTTATTATTATTGACTACAATACTTTTTTTTTTTATTTTGGATCATAATTGTGGTTAAAAACTGAAACACATAATTGAGTTTGTTTTAGGACGTTTTTTTAGAATGACATGCAATAGACACGAAAATTTAAAAACAAAAATTTCACATCTCACAAAAAAGTATGATAATTATAAGACATAAATCAATTTGGTGAATTAAATAACTGCATCACTTTTTACCAATCAATAAAATAATAATGTGTTCGGGATGTTATTGTCCAGATACTTATTTGTATATCTTTATTTAGAATTATACCCATGGTCATCATCATCAGCACATCAGCCGTTAACTGTTCACTACTGAACATAAGCTTCCCCATACAGGAGGGTTTTGCCAGTAGTTACCACGTTTGGCCAGCGGGTTGCCAATAGCAGTTAGAGTTTAGTGATGTTTACGAGGAACGCTGCTGCCCATCCCTTGACCACGGCTGTGTCCATGCTATCACTATTTATGATAAATTGTTTTTAATTAAATTAGTTTTAATTTTAACCACAATTTCTATATTCCACGAAAAAAGTAAATGGTAGTGAAGTTTAGTGTAGGTTTAGGAATTAAGTCCGCCAATGTACTTTTCGATATTGTTGTGTTCTCTTTAACAATAAAGATTTCAATCAGACAATAAACAAAAGT